TTGGTCTGTGATGCCGATAGAATAGTGAAATATGTTAAACATATGTTCTGTTGTGCCGCAGTAGAATAAATAGCATCGACTAGCGATGAGTGAATTCGAATTTAAATGCGTAGTTCCCGTTCGTAGGATGATAATAGTCAAGTCGTGAAATGATATCTACATCAACGGGTGATATTCGTTGCTGTACTGCAATTGATAATAATCATAAAATGCAAAGTCAGTGAACGTTGTCGTCTGCGTTGTGACAGATGCATTGAGTTATCATTAAATATGTAATGGTAGAACGACCAGAGGAACAGAATAGTGACTGAGTAGACGAAGTACGTAGAGTCGTATTCCTTTTTGGTCATGAAGCCTAGAGTGGTTTGTATGGTTTGAGGGAGATGCGCTCGATCTCGTTTGTTACAAAACCGTACCAAGGCATGACAAAAATACCAATACATATGATTAGCGATGGCGACATATGAGACTGACTTGGATGAAAGGAACAAGAGTGTATCTTTGAGAGACTAGCTCTTAACTCTATGTTCTGATATACCGTGCGATGGGTATAGAATAGTAGTTGCAGTACTCGAATAACGTTTTTGGTTGATAAATGATGCGGCATGCAGTTATGCATGTGAAAGAATCGATGAGATGAACGTAATGGTTTCTAATCAGCTAGTTAGAGGCATCCACAGACATAATAGGAGGCGATTTCGAAATGAAGAATGTGTGTTATGATAACATAAAATAATGACCTTGACTAAGTGAATGAATGTAATATTAGATCAAATGACATGAAAAAAATTAAAACGAACTCATTTAAAGCAGGAAAATTTCACGTTTTTGAATAGTAAAAATATTCCAGTGAGTTTTGAATGTCATGAAGTGAAGTGTTCATAAAATGATAAATTGTTCGGTGAACAATACGATTACGAAAATGTCATAATTTAATGACAGCACGAACAAGATTAATAATTCCACATTCAGTCATGATATTGAAAATAATGTAATAATAAGCATATAATGATAATTCGAATAGTAATGGAGCAAACCGACGAATGAATCAATGAGAATAGTTGACATGAGGACAAAGTAACAATAAGATAATACGACTTGAGCATGTCCATGTCATGTTGCACAGGCTTTGCTGAGTGCGTCGGATTGGAGATTGTGCTGGCTTCGCTGAATTTGTTCGTCGTCCGCGGGTTTACTATTTTTGAGAGGTTTCGTGGTTTTGTCGTCGTTTAAATCGGGCGATGTTCGTCGAAAGGTGCATCATTTTAGTCGTCAAAAATATGGAGTGCCGTTGTTCATGCATCGACGTAGCTTGCTGCGTTGCGTTCGTCGTCGTCGGGCTTACCAATGTGGCGGCCCGTGATCTGACTCCAATTAGATTGTATGGAAGATGGCTGGGAAGCCAACTCCTTTTTAAGCTAGGCATTACTCAATATTTATAGGCAGACAAAATAAACCACAGACATGTGATGAGTCATGGGACATGAAGTGTACATACATACGCTCATATGAAAACAGTCAAGGCTAATAAGCGAATAATTAACAAGGTCAAAATATGACTCAAATAGAATGAAATGTCCGAAAACTAGAATAAGATATATTATGGGCTAAAACTTATGACTAACACTACACATCAATATGTTTATATTTGTGTGGCTCAAGACGACTGGTAATAAAGTCACTTTTGTTTAAACTCACAGCTGTGGAGCTAGGAGGTTACTTCTTTTCGATCTTAGAATGTCTGCTGGAAACGTTTATTGTTTGTCTTGAATCTTAGAGACAGAAACTTGATCACTTTCTGTTAAGAATATTATTTCCGATTCTAGGGTGCTTAACAGTTGTATTTATTTACCACCTTTTGTTTCACAGTACTTTATTTGTGCCATGTAAACTTCTGACTGCATAGTGGGTGGGAGGCATTGTCGAGGTATTCAAAAGTTTTTTATGTTATTTATTACTACTAATTTAATGTAATGCAAATTAGCAACAGAATCTGTGATTTGATGTAATCATTGATCGTGAGTGGCCCGTGGTTTGAGTGATTTCACCAGGTTATTGGGTGGCAACAGAGCATGATGAGATATCATTCACAAGACAAACTGAGATAAGGATCAATGGGCACAGTGACCTCCTAATCTTAGTACGCATACATTCAATTGCTATCAACGAGAAATAGAATATATGATGATTTCATAAGACCTTATCCACCGTTCTCCAGAGGCTGCTGATGCTTACTGAGTTAAAGTGAGATTTTCAGTCGTTGTTCCACGAAACGCACTTGCCATGACTACTCATTTTGTTGTCTACCATGAAAGCGTCACCTCTTATCCTCCCACCACTTGAAGAATATAGTCGCTACGAAGTCAATCTTCACAAGGTTTTTTCCTTGATTTTCCAAACCATTATGCTCAAATTCTCTAGACTGGTTCCAAAAGGTCATCATCACTTTGTTGATGGTACAAAGTTTGTCTCAAAATACAGAGGAATGAAGGTTCTGAATTGTTGTCAGAGTTTTTGCTCTCGCTCGTTACTGGAGCAAATTATATAGAGTTACTGGTAACTCACGATTCCAAAATTAAAAATACGACCAAACTCAATTTCGGGCATCAAAATTTATCCGAAAATTATATATGATTGACTCAAATATCGTCCTAAAGTTGGTCATAATAATTACGAAACAAACCTTTAATTTGTTAGTTCCTGGTGCAAAAACTGAAATACTAAGCCAAAGACAAAAAGAAACCAAGATTTCCGAAGCCAAACAAGCTCATAAGTTGAATAAATCGAATAAATCCAAAACACAGTGAAATTAGTCATATTCAGTATGACAGTTTTAATCAGTTAAATTTCTTCACTTCTGTAACATCAAATAATACCGGAACTAACTAAGTTGAATTAATTTAACGCAAGTGCAACTTTTAACACTTTAGCAGGAGTTGTAGTGAATGAGAACATAAGTGGGGACAGCCAAATGTATTTAAATACAGTACACAGTAGGTCACTAAAAGGTTTGGTACTAATTTGATGCAAAGCATAAACAGTTTAACTGAACGGTTTTAACAAAGAACGACTGTATAGACAATTTATATTTTCAAAACATGATATAAATATACTGTAAAGCATCAATTGCAGATATACTTAGAAACTCCAGAACTTATTACTTTTCAGAGAATGAATTGTCTTATGAAGTTTAGTCTATTTTAGGCCACGCAAAGGTGAAAACCAAATCTGGAAGATAACAAGTAAATAGATTAAAAAGCTGTTCCAATAGGCTGAAGAAGTACTTCACTCCAAAAATAATTCATATCAAGTAATTCAAACAAGTGAGATCAGAAGACGGTTAATCAACATGGCGGTCGCTATGATCAAAGGCCAAGTAATGCTAGGTAGCTATCAACCATAAGATAACAAAACAGTGATAACATTGCAATCAAAAACAGTTATAACTAAATACCAGCTTTAAACCAGTCCTAGATCAAAGGTTTGACATGGCACACAAAAAAACAGATCATTGGTTTGGAAGCACTGTAATAAAAAAGAAACAGAATTCTGACGTCGTTATATAGCAGGTTTTTTTCGCTATCACACATATATGCACAATTGCATACCGAAAGATCATATAACAGTACATACGGAGAGCTTGGTTCTCCCTGATTACCATAATCCTTTTATAGTTGTCTGTGTCAGAGGTATAGAGAAGGACACGCAAAAAATTTTACACACAGCATAAAAGAATGAAGATTAGAACATCAAGTCAGTTTAAATGTTTGGACACTAATTAGATATAACCGTGTCGCAAACTTAATCATGTACTCCGGAACACAGTAGATGACCTGCCGAGTTTGTAGTTGACACTTGTTTAGACTGTGACAAATTGCAGAGGGTGGCTGATACGACATAGAGGCTATATAGTACAATGAGTAGTGGGCATAATACATCATGATATTTTAAATTTGCCTGGCCAACACTATAATGCTCACTTGGAGGAAACTGTTGTTATAAACCATGATGTAATTCATGACTTTAACTTGCTCTTTATGCTGGATAAGAAAATTACTACATTTTTTGTCACTGTATCTATCACCAACATGTTTGCGAAGGACAAGGTCTTACTGCTGAAATCACTTTTAATAACGGCGGATTACCTTTAAACCTTCAAGAAAACACTACATAATGTTCAGTAATTCACATAATTGAAGAAAGAAAACTAAGTGAAATCACGAATTGTGTAGCCTAAAGACCGTATAAAGTAACTGTGCTACAGCCGTAGCTTCCATAGTCTTTTAACTTGGTCATTTCATCTCAGTTCTCAGGCCTCTGTATTCTGAATCTAGTAGAAAGTTAGAAGTCAGTATTCATATATGTTTAAAATAGATTTAGATTCAAAATCTTGGGTATGTTATATCAACAAGTTCATATTACATCAAGACGTAATATCACGGATTATTGGTCATAATTACAAAAATCTAGACTCCGGTGTTGATGAAACGGCATGGGATTTAACTAACTTGCTTAACTGACGACATCTCAAACTGACAGTTCATACAGTTCATTTTGTCTGTATTACTAGCAAAAGAAATCAACCTCTAATATAGCTTATAACTTTCAGCACTCTAGATTAATCCCGATTAATCGGTATCCAAAACTCGTCGTCGTATGTTGACGTATATATATCGGCTATATGAGGAAGCTTATCAAATGATCCATCTTTATGGAACATTACTCCTTCTGGGATAAAATCTCTCGGATTAAAAACAACTGACTTGTAGTAAGAACCACTACCTGTAGATTCAAATCGTTATTTCCATAAGCTGTCCTCCAACTTTCAGTATAATAACCCCTTTAGATACCGATCTGAATTATTAAAGAACCACATAACTCCTTACTTTCAGTCACCTTAGTCATTTCTTTTCTTTGAATGTAGATAGAGGAGGAGTCTTAAAATGTTATTGAGTAGCATGAACCATGTATTGTGTTTGCATGCACTAATAGACGTCCTTGTTATTGTTTCACCAATTATGAAGTTATGCTTCGACTGGTGGATTATGCTGTGGTTGTTGGATATGATTTCGAAAAGTCAGGTATGTTTCCAACCGAGGTGTTCCATTTAAAAAAGGATGTAGAACTCGACAACTTCTTCGGGTTCAAACTGTGGACACTTTTCTACATGTTTTATGAAACATTAGTGAGTGGTTATTTCTGTATGATGCTGAAGTACTTCAATTCCACCCACTTGTTGTATGATGATGGATTCCTTGAGGCGCACTATCTCATTTAATATATAGAGGTTCCATGAATTAGTTGCTGTAATGATGCACTACACAGTGAAAGTATTATCACCTATGTTTATTCGACGTGTCTCAAACCGCTTACCAATATTTATCTCATTAGTACATTCGTAGCTCGCAAGTATCAGCTATAGGGCACTATGTCGGTTAAATGCATTAATCTTGGTCATTACGATCAGCCAAAAGCAAATTATCGTGTAATGGGTTTAACTATCATGACTCACGACCCTAGCTCTAGTTAAATTTGTAGTCTTCGTTTTCCCACGTCACTTAAATGAACCGGACATACTAGGTAATCGCAAAATTTTTTAAAGGCTTTCCAGTAAAACACTCATAGGTGAGCTGTAATGGACATTTCACTCATTCTGTATCTTACTCCAGTATTCTACCATGGGTTCATATTTTTGCTTCAGGGTATGTAGATCTTCTTAGTAACCAAAACCTAAGAAAGGATGTCCTACTGTTAAGTGCATTAAAAAAACAGCCAACACGTCGCACACATCCATCTTCGGATTCAGAAATGTAAGTTGAATTTTAAGTGCCGCACTGACTCCCACCGCAAGTAATCAAAGAAGCAAAAGTATGGAGTAGATTACGATATAAGTCGTCCGACTGTAAAGTAAGGGTTTGGAGTTAGTGCAGTCTTCTTGGCTGAGGCTGGTACAATACCTGTGATCGATGGTTGATGACGGTCAACAGCATGAGATCGGTGTAAATGACATCGTCTCATTCATTCTGTATCTTTTAATTTATGTGTTAAGTGTTATATCTAAGTTTCCATTCTTCGATCGTGTTCGGTTCTTCAGAACTGCATTTTCCACGACTAGGTTTTTATTGCTGTTGGAGTTATTTCCTCTAACTCGCTTTCCATCTGGTGTTAGGTGTGTCTACTGAAACCAGTACACATGCAAGGTTCTACACTGATGATTACCGATTGACTGACTGCATTTGCCGATCACGTCACTTTTTCCGCCCCGGACGAATAAATTCTTTAAACCTAGTAGTCATAACCACTGGTATTCGTGGGACCAACTTAAAGAATGGCAAACAACTATGATGGGAAACCATGAGAGTAAGCAGACATTGCTATGAAAGACGCATGAGCACCTCATAGATATCGACGACGGGAAACAAAAGGATCAGTAACAAAGCTCATCACCCCGAAATGAAGATTTAACTTAGTTCCTGTGAAATCGGCTAAAAATATACATTAACTATGCACTTCTGTGAAACAACAGGAAAGTCTCTGACTGCTAAAGTGCAAGTAATCTTTGAATTCATGGTCTAATATCACGTCTTTAAAAGCAGGTCTTAGAGGGAATCATTTACAATCGAATAATCACTGGATGCTGATCAAGGTAATGTATTTCAGGTCCTTAGTGCAAACCAAATTCTATCAGTCGCGACCCGGATAGCTCGGTGGTAACATCTCTGGCTGTGAAGCTGGGTGACACGGAGTCAAACCCGTCAGGGAGCATCAGTCCTTTCAAGATTACAGGTATACCTTGCTGGTGAATGCTGAGTAGCAGAAAATCTAAGTCCAGGGCTTCCTGTTGACTACCTCCAATTACTGTCTTAGGGGGAATCATCTTGATTTAGTTGGTTCAAATGGCATTTCATTATAAACTCCACATTGCTTCGTTTGACTGGCGATGTCCGAGTGAAAGGCTTTCAATAGGTTAAAGTAATTTATCAATGCATTTTTAACGCCTGATACTGCCATGAAGTTTGTTGACTAACATCCAAGTTCAGCCGTCAGGTCAAGAAATACAAATTTAATCGGACATCGGTATGCATGTTCCAAGACCTGACGGCTGGTAAATACTTGATCTGTACACCCATGTCCATGCCTAAAACCAGACTCCCATTTTTCTTGGTTTCCGATAAGGCGTTAGATGGTCACCGAAGCTAGTATTCCAGATACATCATTGGTCGAACCAATTCCTCTATGGTAATCACTATAGAATTCCTGTCCCCCTCTAATTCACAAGTATCAGTCTGACGGGATCACATCTGATTTTTGGATAATCTGCTATCTGAACCGATCTAACTTAAAGCTAGGTTATTGTCTTTAGAAACACTCATATATAACTCATCCGAACCAACTGATTTCCCTGATTTAATTAGTTATGCTCTTTTTCAACTTTTATGAAAAATTAAAGGCCTTATGTTGATCTCTTTTTCACACTATGAAATGTGGCTGACAACTAAATAGTAACTTAATGGCAGTCAAGATGTCCTTCAACATTTTGCTCCCATCGTTACATTTGAAAGTAGTCCCATCGATTCCATCGTTATCAGAGTTCCCGGAAGAGCTAAAATATTAACCACAACTCCTTTGGTCAGTTTAAACCAGTTGCTTATCTTTCCCATTCCCTTTCTGTCGTTCATGATGAGTTTTAGTCGATGCTTCTCATACTGATTAAGTTTTCTTAATCTTTTGGTTCAGGTTGCTGACAAACTTCATTGTTATTTTCATAACCGATTACGAGTCATATTAGGCTACCTCAGTATGAACATCCTCTTCTTGGTCGGTCAAGTTCTTAGTTGGTTTTAGGCTAGACATGCACTAGATATTCTTTCTTTTAATGAAAATTGAAAAGGTCTTGTTCCTGTTTATCAAGCGGCAGACAAACGCATATTGTCGTCTGGATGTGGTCTATCACCTCAGATGTGTTCCGATGGCAACAACAATCTCTTACTGATCCTTTCTAGAAGTGTATGATAACGATGTTACTGAATTCCATAGACGTCAGTTCCCCCAAGATTACAGATACACCTTGCTGACGAGTGTCGGGTAACACAAAATCTAGGCCCAGTACTTCCTACCAATTAATTCCATTCACCTAACAAAACTATAATTTATCTTTGTTCATCATTGAGTTAATGTTAGTAATCACCAGATCATATTAAATCGCTACGCTTAAAGTCGATACTTGTTATAAATAAATGATATTCTGATTATATTTGCAGCAAGCACACTGTTATCTGTCAGCTAAGGAAACCGAAGGAGCTGTTCAAGAGTCCTTCATACTGGCTTAATCTATCTGCTTAAGTGTTGAAACTACCCATCACAATTAGATTTAAGCGTTTAGAGTTCTGTAGGCCAGAGAGTTCCTGACAAAACATATCTGGTTTAGTCAATATGTCGTAGCGTAGGCGTTGAGAAAAAGCAACGAAGTATAATCTGATTTTATCGAGTTCTTACTGTCCAGTTTAAAAGGCAAACTCAGAAGTGAGTACCTACTGTAGTCTCATCTGACGGTGCGGGTTTGCACTAGTTCTCCTTATTGACTAGGTGATATCAAGTGGATAATCATTCTAGACTCTAGTATGTAGATCGTGTAGACAAAATACGTTAATGATAAGAGTTTCTAAAGTCTTGAATAGCTAAGCATATCATTCGATCTGATACTGAATTTTAAGGTCGATTTTTCTAAATCCTTTTGTTTGTGGGAGGTAATATCTCTAAATATATTGGTTATTCACGTGAGAACTTACTGTTGTACAGCTGAGTACAGTCGGTTTTGGAGCTTACGTTTTCTGCTTTTGAGAGTCCCTATTCGATCAAGCTACTTGTTATAATGGATCCCAACGAATAAGTGTTCCAGCTTTTACTGTAGTTTTTATTCTCACCCATTTTCCATCCTCTTCACAACGTGGTTTCTTGTTATGTGCATGTTTTGGTGCTGCATTGTACCACCCATCTTTAGGTTTACTTTTCTAATACAGTTATATACTTTTTATCGAGTTACATCTACCTTAGCATTTTTTCTTGACTATAAACTCTTTATTTTCAATAATTATTCCCCTAGTTGGCGGTGAAAGTGAAGGGCAGGTCCTACAGAGATTTCCTACAAATTGTTGGGATGATTACCCATACAATTTCAAAATTGAAACAGTAGGTTATTTGTTACCTTTCATATTGATAATTAAATTTCAAATTTAGTTTTGTCAGCCATGTGGTTGGTATCTCAGCCGAAGTAAACCACCACCAACATTCTTTGTCGCTTATTTGACAGATGTTGATGGAAATCCTTATTTTGCCGCATGTCTAACTTTTCATGAAACTGTGTCTCCTAGTCAATTGATAAATTTGAAAATCCCTCATCACACTCCTCACAGTAGAGTTAGACCTACAGGAAATGCATTCGGTAGTTATTCTCAAAATGGACCTATTAATAATGGTTCATTTGTTGTAAATAAAAATAAAACTTTCTTGCCTACTACAAATTCTGTTTCTAATGATGAAAAGTATCAAATTGATTCTTTAGTTCATGTAACGAACTTGAATAGCAATGCTAGTTCACCTGCCAACTCACCAACCGGATTCCAAGATCAAGTATTGAATTACTCTGGTTTCAAGTCAATTTATAATGATACTGATGATCCAAATTTAGTACGTCCACCAGAATTTTATGCACCAAAATGTTTAGTGTTCCTAGCTCGTCATCAACATTTTGATGTATTGAAAGTAAGTTATTGTTTTCAGTGTTATATCTTTCGATTTTTCAAAAAATTGGGGTTTCTGAGGTTACTGAACATTCCTTCAACAAGTAGTGGATTTTTTGGAGTAGTTTTAGGTTTTATTAATATCTTTATCCCCTCTTAGTGAATAAATTAGAATTATTTTTTATTTAACTGTAATTCTTTCATATTTTATACAGAATGTATAACTGGTATAGACTTTATCGACTTATACATTAGTGATTTGTTACTATATATATACCTTTGAGAATAAACTAGTGGGATTATGAGTTTAAATATTACACCACTCGTTTTGCCTTGTTTAGTCTATTAGTATGAAGAATTTTCACCCAATAATTACGATGCGTAATTTCTTCTACATAGACGTAGTCACTGAAAATTTTTATTATATATGAACATATACTGTATAAAATAAGTTGTCTGTAAAATCGAATCTTTTCGTGGAGATAAACTGTAATCCAGATAATTGCAAACTGAAGAGTAAGAATATGTAAACTGGTTTATAAACTTAAAGATTCAGTTGCGAAAATACTATACTTGTGTCGCTAAAGGTAGGTCTTTGAACGTTCAAAAGTTTTAAACACCTTTAGGGTCGCTTAAACACTTATGATTCTCAACACGAAATATCCAGTGTCACTAAATTATCCCATCTTGTATATATAAATAAATATCCATCAACGGTAGTTAGCTACTATTCATCTCCAGCCACAAAGGTTTCGACCAGTTTTGCTCCACTGATGTCTTAATTATTGTCGTTTGATATATTCGAAGTATGAATTTTATCGTCTCTTGTCTTTTCAAAGGACAGATTCAGGACGAAATCTACCAACAACTGTTATATTGCAACCTGAATTTCTCTATGATTAGTTTTTTTCATCGGTTATGTCGCATAAAAGCGTATGAGTTCATGAGGTTAATATACTTGTTCAGTTAAAATAAATCTAAAATGGCACTTTATCACAACATTTACACAGTTGAAAAATTAGTGGCCCAAATTCTTGACTGTCATCGTCAGTTTAGAACTATATCAACACTATATCAACCCGATCAATATGTTCTTTTCCACATATTGATACGAATACGTCGTTCATTATGTAAATCAGCATCGGTGCTTTATTGTGGTTGGTCTTAATCCTGTCTGTGAACCAATTCAAATATGGAAGTAGTGATTTATTGTCACGTTTTGTTGTGATACACATTATAAATGTTCACCGATATTATATATATGTTAATGTATATAGGTCAGTATATAAAGATCCTTAGCACTGATCAGCCACTGTTTAATGAGCCGCTGTGGATAGCCTTAAACTAATCGTATCGATTAGCAATACTTTTGGTTACAGTTCGGTTTTTTTGGTTTACTTGTTTTCAAGTTTTAAGGCAAATGATATAGTGTCATCTGAATGCGTTATTTTTCATATGAACCAAAATTAAATTTGCGCAATCAAATTTCACCTAGTTGCTTAATTCTCATTGCTCAATAATCCAACAAACAGTATTTGTGGTTATAAAGGTTGAAAGGCTGAATTAATATTAAAATATGACAAGTTATTAGGAACAATTAAATAGTGTGAGAAGATTTGTAGCTCAGATGGATGATTTTGATGGAGCTTTGTTCTCTGAGCTGGATGGTTTGGTCGTGGAGCTTCCATCGTTCTTTTGAACGACATCAGCACAAACACTTCACTTCTACCTGAAGTTTGTGCTGATGATGTCGTTCAGAAGAACGATGAAAGCTCCACGACCAAACCATACAGATCAGGGAACAAAACTCCATCAAAATGAAATAGTGCCCATTACTACTGACCAGACAGAGACAAACAAAACAAAGAATGACGGAAACATTTCTATGTTTCTCAACAATGAGGAGAGAAGAAATGAGCTGTAAATGTCATGAGTATATGTTGAATAGTAAGAAAAGTTGTTAGTGGCCCTTCAATGTTAGTTATTCTTTGATTGTTGTGGAATTGATTGTTAATAAGATTGTGAGTTGTAAAGTAGCATGATGCAGATTTTTCACTACTGTTCTATTGTGTCCCACACGATGGTACACTTAGTAGGACAGATTAATTTGTTTTGCCTCCATGTATATCTAACACTTCAGCTGCTGGTGCTGTAATTTCACGCTAGACATGCAGTTAGGAAAGTTCATTATCTGATTTCGGATCATTATTCATTATGATATGACAGAATGCTAGAAATGGCACAATTATGTATCTGCTCAAGTTTTCATATCAGTACAGGAAGTTAACAAGGATGCAGTGATAAGTGAAGACTAAAAGAAATATATATTTTATGTCCCAGGCTCAAATAAACATATGTACCATTACAGCTGATTATGAGCTATATCATTCATTTGACAGTCAATGATTATGGCCACTGTACCTTGATACTTACTTCAAACTAAGAATCAGTGATTTCTTAAAATGATATATTTTTATTGGTTTACATACTGCTGTTAACCTTTTTCTAACCTACTATACATATCGAGTTGAGGTAAGTATTAGCTGAACATAGGTGTTCTTTTTCAACCTTACTGGTTAGCAAAGAGGTTATTGTGAAGGTATACTTTTCTTACCTTTCACAAACCTCTTTCCAAATCTTTGTCGAGTTAACTAATGTTTACAGATTCATTTTTATTATACCGTCACGTTATAAGTATATAAACACAAACTTTTCTGTTTCATTGAGTATATTATTATTTATATTTTTATTTAGAACAATCTCAGCTTATTGTATACAGTGTTTGCTGATTCACTACATCAGTATTCGATAGAACAAATGATCGCAACTTTATTGGGTGGCATAGAAGTTCCACCAACTGGTTAGTTGAATTCTTTAATATATTCCTTATCCATTCTTACTCGAAGTAAATGAATACTTTACAGTATCTTCTCAAAGTAGCATATAAGTACTACGACAATGCAATAATACATATTATGTAAACTATAAAATTCAACTCTTCCTACAAACTCCCCTATACTAATGATAATAGTCATAAGGTACACTCTAGTAACTGATTTCGAAAGGTAGTTCTCAGTTCTAGTAAGAATCTGTATCCATCGGAGTTCAGTCACGTCTAGTGTTAGGCAGTTGCTCTCTAATGTCATTGGGAAATGTCGCGAATTGATTGAGGTCCACCGTTTGTCTCGAGACTTTAAGATCCTGAGTTTAACCCATGGAGGAGTCGTAGATGTGCATTGTTGATAGGTCTCATTTTAGGACGAAACAGCTGTATATCACTTACTTGTTTTCAATGGTTATCTAACTATGATCGGTTCGCTGTGTAAACTATTGAAAATCAACCGTATTTGTTTTATTCATTTTTACGTGAATTCCTAAGATTTTTAAAGTGTCTGACTCTGCCTGTTTTAATTTTATGTGTCCTAATGATTTACTAAATTAGTAAGGTAGATAAAATCAGTCTAAGATAAAAACAAAAGACCTATTACATTCTTATATTTTTTCTTACTGTGTTGACAATTGAAGATCATTTATTCATCGATTACAAGAAATATTCATTTTGTTCAGTATTATACTTAAATATAGAGCGAACTTTGCTTTATTTCACTAAAATACATTTAACACTTGTATGAAACTTATAGTTTATTATTTGATAGGTCTATTTTTTGATTATGAAAACTCAAAAGCAAGTGGCATTATGTAGACAGACACTTGAGCATATTTTAAACCTTACCTATTAGGAATTGATGTAAATATTAACTAGGCATTATATTGATATTCAACAAAATGATGTGAAGATAATATATATTCATTTTATTGAAGATTCACTACAATTTATGTCCTTAAATACAAAAGTTTATCATTGTGTACTGTCTGATGTCATACTATTTGCTTACCAGAACATTTTCAATGTGAATGTATGGATAACTTCTTTTTCAACTACATTCACTAGATACTTTAATTCTTCTTCTACTTCATTTGGCTTAGTTTAAAAGTTTATTTATCCTTTTTTTTAAGTCTTAAAATGTCAAAAGTTCAAGGATTTTCACGGTGGTCGGTAGTTTTCCATAAAAATTTATATCATTTGGATGGTAGTTTTTCTTAATAAAGAAAAAGTCATTTTATCTGTTCATCTCTGACTTGATTTTAATCCCTATTTAAAAGTAAATACGAGAATTGAAAGAATAGTATATATGTTAGTCAGTTCGTAGCACAGCCTCTTTTTAATACTGAATCTGCGTACTATTTCAAGCGGTTCTAAGCATTTTGGGATTTATCTAGTGGGTGGGTGCTGCATACAACGTTTTTTCAATCCTGTCTATTTTTTAGATCAGGCTATATAGATTTAGATAGTGCCTTTTGAATATTTAAAATTATACTGTTTATATGATTGACAGCCTAATACCCCAGTAACGCTTACAATATTATTTATGACATAACAATTGTGTAGTATGTTTATCCATTTTCGTTTAGTTAGAATCATTACCAAAAGTTTATTAGTTTTAAAAAGTGTTGAGAAATAACATTGTAAAGAGAATACGTTAAGGGGTTGGACTCATCTTCATCAAGTGTATAACACTTTTTATCACAGTGAAGGGTAATTATGATTTGCAGGGAAAAGTTAGTCTTGTTAATTTGTTAAAGATGATTGTTAAGATACCTTGCTCGATCTAAGTTTCGTGCTATTTGGTATTATCTCTATGGAATTTGGACCCGCATCATCCAAACGTCACAGCCTAAGACGTTACCACTAATCTGACATTGATCACTACTCAGTTATCAATCAATCAATTGTAAAGTATATCTCGTTCTAGGTATCATTACCAAGGTTCGACTTGATAATTTCGAATAAATTGAGCATTAGATAGATTTTTATAAATAAATATTTGTAATATCCCAATAAGTTGAAAAATTAGATTTTCTGACGTTTCATGATTCAGTGTAAGCTACTTCTTCAGAGAATAAATAACCGAATCAAGATTAGTCCAAGTTTATATAGTACAAAGGAACAAGAGAGTATTCTTGTTCTGTTTGTGTTATGTCGTAGCACTGACCAATGCTCATAGAAAACCCTAAGCAACGAATAGGCAACAAGGACAAGGAAACTTACTCTGTACTTGGCCCAATGCTAACTAGCTTCGAACGAAGAGAAGAAACACAAGACTAATGATCACCAGTCTAAGATCGTTCTTATATTTTATACATACGTAGTTTATATACAAGCAGATCAAACCGCATCACATCATAAAATAGACAATAACAATTATGCATTATCAAGCCAAAAAGTGGCTTAGAGTAGGAGAGACTGCGAATAAATTGTATAACAGTGTTTAATGGGTTAATCGAAAGCTTATGAGTAGAGAAATATATATTTAATAATAGTCCATAAATTAGTCTTGGAATTTACCGTTCTTTTAGTCTTCGTTTGGATATAATAGTCTGAATTATAGAAGAAAGGGAACTATTAGATTAGTCAGTCATAGTAGATATTCATTAAAATTTCATAAGATGGCGGTTGGAGGTAGTCGACAGGAAACTCTGGACATGAGTTTCGTGTTATTGAGCACTTGTCGAAAAGGTGTGCCTGTAATCTTGAGGTAACCAAGGTTCCCTGGCAGATTCGACCCTGTGTCGCCCAACTTCACAGTCTGAGACGTTATCACAGCTGTTTGGACGGCGACTGACTTCCTGTAGGACAGATGTATGTACAATTGATTTATCACTAATCTGTGATGAATGTCATGTATCTTAAATCATTCTGAGTAATCGAATTCTATCTGTTCCCTCAAGATTACAAGTACCCCTTTCTGACAAGTGCCAAGTAACACAGAAGCTAGGTTGATTAGGTTATTTCGACTATCTTTAATTACCACCTAAAATTTCAATGTAGTGTAAGCGATGTTGAGTCTTTTAGACTAGTGACCACACTGCAAACTGATCGATAGAATTCTGTCAACAATTGTGAATTAAAAGATATTTTACATTATGAGATTTTGCTGTTTGTTGTTCATTGTTTAGGTCAGAAACTTCATGGATCTTCTTTTCGATATGATCACACTTAGTTTTTAAGTTTTCTTCTCTTATCACTTGAGGATTACCGATACTGCACTATCGACATACTACAATTTTTCTATGTTTTCATAATGTGAATTGTTTGTTACACATTCAGATAAAATGTAAGATAACTGAAAACATTAGAAGCTAAGTTTAACTATATTTCACATAAGTCTGTATAATTACTAAAGTTAAATTTCGAGCATAATAAACTTAGTAGGCTTCGTGCTAATGAATTTGTGATTAGTGGTTAACTGTTTTTAGCTAATAATTTAAATCCCGCCTACTGTAACATCCAATGTTGACTAGCATAATAATAAGTGTAAATGTGGCTGGGTATAATCAACCCGATAGTATCATCTCTCTTTAGAGTCGATCATTAATGTGATTCATATCGATAGGTTCTGAGTTTCTACTGTAGTTTTGTGCTATAGTATTGACTAACGTTTGAGGATTGTAAATAAACGGTTCAATGTCACTGTTTCATTCTTTACCTTATAGTCATCAATCTTATTTCGTATGTTAGGTATGCCTAATCACCATTTACCTTGATGAGCAATGCTTTTCATTGTGGAAGTAGGGTAAAAGTAAACCGGAGGCGAGTAACAGAAGGACAAGTCATTCGTTTATAAAGTCATTAATATTTGATTAAAGCCATATCGGTAGATGTAGACTACCTATTTGGGGTCTACGTGATAATCGCAATTGGTAGTTGAAGATTTTGTGTTGAGATGATTCAGAATTAGTCACAGTGGTGCAGATGCAAGGACTCTTTGTCTTACGTTAGATCTTCAACTCCAGCATTCCTTCATACATCCCTTCTTCTTAAACTATATTCTCAATAGTTAGTTCCACACATTATCATTAGTACTAAAATTGTTTCGACCGTTTTGCTCTTCGACGACTTGCTAATTTTTCTTGTTATACAGATATTTCAAATATAGCAACTTAATTTAATGTACATTTATGCTGTAGTTTAATGAAATGTAAGCCGATTAACCTAACCAATGAACTACAATGTGGAATAAAGTACTAAGGTAACTAGATTATATTTAAACTTATGGCTCAGCGGTAGTTTTATGGTCAGAACTTCAACCAACATCGTAATTTCATTGGTCGAAACAAATGAAATTTCTTCTGTTTTATTATTTTAACCTCGATTGGTAACTTTTTTTTTCAAATGTATTTTTTATATTTTATCTGTAATAGGTGGTCCACGAATTACATTCAGTTTAGGGGTTGGTGATCGACAGACAATTCAACCTGCTCATTGTAGTACTATACCTGTGACACGGAATTGTGTAGCTTTACTATTTAAACATTTAGGTAAGATGTTGTTTTAAATGTATAATTTAATACTAGATTTTTTATTCATCTTTCTTTACATAAGAATGTGTATATATGATGACTATTTACTTGTTTGTTTCTGCTTGCTTTTTGTTCCCGTTACCCAATCATTTATTTACGTTATGTTCATACCTACTTCTTATAAAATCAATCAGTGTATATACATACATGATGATTTTCATTTATTATACTTTGCTTTTAGTTTTCTGAATAATGAAAGCAGATATTTAGTTAAATGATGTTAGATAAGTAGAATGTCAGAAAATCGTTATATATTTTTTTGATTTAGTGTGGAGTTAATGTTCGTTCACTTTATTGCTAAAGTGATTCCCATCTGTAGATATGAGAGATTCCTTGTATTTTTATTTTCTTCATCAATACAAATATAAACTGAAGTCATTGTATGCGAACCGGCTCGTGTAGATGCGTATCGTATTGGAATATAGTCAAAAAGCGTATGAGTGTTAAATTTGGAGTAGTAGCTGTAAACTCTGGATTTTTCAAGACTATTAATGCTTTATGTTTCATCCTATGTTATCTGATTTAATCAACGATATAAAGTGTGTTCATAATTTAACACGTCATACTTAAGTTCAATGACTGATATACACAAGTATTATTATTTAAATGATCAATTGCTATATACTTCTGACTTCAGAAATTAAACAGAACAATAGTGTAGTGATTGTTAATCGACAAATATGAAATAGTATAAGGTAAAAGACGTTACTAATTTTTAGCATTGACACATAAAGTTTGAGTTTTCAGATTGGCAGAATATAGTTAAGAGAAATATATCACCAGTTTGATTGTCAGTATACAAATCCTATTTATAAGCAAAGATGGATGGTGGCTAGCAGTGGAATTCAGGACACGCGTTTCGTCCTACTTGAAACTCAGCTGGATATACCTGCATCCCAGAATTGACGTTCACTCCGGGACTCGAACTTAGTACCATTCGCTTCAAACGTCATCACGTTATCCACGAGTCCTGACAGCCACCTGCTTGTGCAATGAGGTGAAGTTTAAGTTCATTTGGGTTCGAATCCCGTGAGCAGGATCGTGGATGCACACTACTGAGGAGTCTCACAATAGGACGAAACAGCCGTCCAGTGCTTCCAGGTTTTCAATTGTGATGGTCTAACATCAATCGGTTCATGATCTCAATAAAAAAAATCATTTGGTATTGTTTGTTTGAATCTTCCCATTGATGTTTAAGATTGCAATTGATCAGTCTCTTATTGGTACTTATGCATCTTGTACGGATTGCCTCGATATTGCCTTAAGTCATAAACATTATAAGCAAATAGGACGAAACACGCGTCCTGGATACCACTGCTAGCCACCATCCACCTTTGCTTGTAATGCTTGTGACTTAAGGCAATATTGAGGCAATCCGTACAAGATGCATAAGTATGAATAAGAGACTGATCAATTGCAGTCCTAAACATCAATGGGAAGATTCAAACAAACAATATTAAATGAATCTAAATCCTATTTGGTATTAATAATTGAATTACTTAAATGATACTTTTCAAAAAGTAATTAATAGTGTATTTGAAATCTACTTCGATTTAGGTTTTTGTTTGTTTAGAAAAAGGCGCCCATGGTTACAGTAGTATAAAATGTGACACCAGAAAATCCATCAAGTCATCTAGAATTTCAAACTAAATAGTTCTATCATGAATTAATTTGATCATCAGCTTAGGTGTTTGATAAATGTATTTGTACTATTGTTCATCCTTTTTTGCTGCATTATATACATATATTTTATTCATTTCTAGGCATACATAATGTGATTTTATTATTCACTGCAATTTTAAGTGATCAAAAAGTACTGGTTTGTTCACGTAGTGTAAATCGGTTAACGGAAGCATGTCATGCATTAACTTCTATACTATATCCTTTAAAATATAGGTAAGTTGATTCGAAATAATACTAATAGTAATGATGGTAGTGTAAATGGTTGTATATCTTGGTTTTAAAATTTCCATTTCACAACAAATATGGGACGATTGTTTATTATTCACATACATGAACACATGCATATCTTCATTGAGGTTTCAGTAGTGTAGACATATATACGTAGGGAAATGTCAAGAGAGATTCATTCTAGTTTCAAACCTATATTTTTGTCTGGAAAAACAATTTTTTTACTACATAATGTTAAAAACATTTTTGCGACCATATGTATATTCGTTCGTTCGTTGGTCGTATGTAATGAACTAATTGTGTACGTAAATGTTCGTATGCAAGTTTTCAGTTTATATGTGAAAGAAAAGTTTGTTTCTTTTCTTCTTTTCGTTGATATATAAACTTCCTGACAGTAATCATAAAAATAAGCAGTCAAGGAATTCTTTTGCTAAAGTTTACTGATGGATAGTTTGATCATCGTGTGTTAGAAACTACCAAATTGATAGGTACTTGATGTTGGGAAGATCTAGAAAACTCGAAAAAACCCCCAAAAAGGCTCTGAAAACATTGAGAAGCATTTTATCCAATCAGCATTCATTGGGAGTTTCGCCAGAAACATCTAGAAAGTGAAAAGTCACATATCGAGTTTTTGATTGGATGGTTACCTATACTTCTACTGTATTTAGTATCGTTCCAGAATTTTCCGGAAGCTCAAGGCCATCAAAAATACTATAAAAACCCTAAATTTTCTGTACTTTTGAAGTAAAGCGTTTCTTCCATATTTCGCACCTTTTCCACGTGTACAAGTTGTTGTATAGATCTAGCCTGGGGGTTACTTGAAGATCTTAGGAACCGAATCTAGCGTTCAAGAAGAAGAATTACCACCCCGTCAGGCTCTTAACACGATTAGGTGCGAGATCAGTTAAAATGTAAACTGGCAAAAAACTACACAATAATCATGAGTATTGGTGGGCAGTGAAAGCAGAAAAGATGGAAGAGATGAGTCCTCGTGATTATCGAAATCAATGATTGCAGACGGGTGAATTAGTTCAAAATCAGTTGGAACGACTCAAATGTATTCATTCTCTGTCTATCTCTACATCCTGAATCTTTGATTTGTTTTATCCCTACTGTTATTCCACGAATTCATTCTTTTCAGTTTACATCCTCAATGTTTAGTCTTGATTTGTATCACTAATTTTACTAATTTATAATTTGTTGTATCATATCTTCTATGCCCGATCTTTCCTATTTGCACTAGTACTGTTACTACCTCTACTACTCTGAAATTCGCCCTTAGAATCCCTTGTCTGTGCTAATGGTGTATAGAAACTTGTACTGATTTACTCATGAGCCAGGTTCTATGTTACTTATGACTGATTGGGTGAAAGACTATTACTACTTAACATATAAGTTAACATTTTCTCTCTTATTCCATCCTACGATGTACCCGAGGTAGTCACTAAACATGTGTAACGTATTTCAACTACGATGGTTGGTGAAGTTTTGGTAATTTCATCAACCGACTTACATTATCACCCGATATTCTTTGCTCAACGTCGATGTTACTTGTTTATTTGTCCCGCCATGAACAAGAAATAATTCCATCTATTCCCTACAAGCTTATGACATAATGGCTTTCGAGGCAATTCGCACTGGATGGACATTGTGTAAAAGGGACTGACCAAAATAGTCGAAATATCAACGAGATACTCTAAACCGTTACAAATGCAATTACGATACCCCTAGTATATTTGAATCCGTGTGATCGGGCTGTTATTTACGGAAGCAGTTGTATTATCTGGTCTGATTGTTGGTTAATTCACCTACATAGTCTGTGTAGGACCAATGACCTTCCGTTAACTAGTGATATCATGGTCTTTTTTATTTAAACTACGGTTAGATGATAGTGTGAAGCGACCAAGATCAATACTTAACACATACTGATTCAGGATACAGTTTTCCACACTATTTCCCTTTGTAATCAGAACATAACAAAGTACAGTAGTTGGAAAAACTTTTATTGTACAAGTTCAGTTCATTACTTGGAACTTGTGTGATCATGTAGATCAATTACCTTATCTCATAACAGTATGAATAAGAAAATATAATGTACATATAATTACACCATAAGGGCAGAGGAACTAAATAACAGATCTGTAATAAGTTAGCAACAACTTAAGAAAAACTCAACATACTCAGTGAATGCAGGCGAATATAGGAATACAATAACCCAAATATCTAATTATCATTGTTGTAAAAATATGAACAATGATTCATTATAACTAAGTTTGGGGATTTGTGGAGATTGTAGTGGTGTTAATAGTTAAATTCACGACTCGATATAAACTAGACTACCACTGAAAATCTGGAAATACTGGACGGCCTTTTCGTCCTAGTATGGGACTCCTGAACAATCCGCATCCACGATATCACATGCAGGACTCGAGTCCTGAACCTTCAGCCTCGCGCACGAACACTTAACTTTTAAACCACTGAGCCGGTATCCAATGATGTTAATGTCTATCTTCAATCGATTTATGATCTTGCGCAAGTGTGAGGTTACAACTTTTACAATATTAGCCCCGTTATAACAATATTGTAAATCCGACTTCTATAGGTAATACTACACTACATATGTAACATATTCTACGTAATTTCCAGAAATTGTCTAATTTTATTTTTGTCCATTTTGTTTTATTTATTAACATTTTGTAGTCATACATACGTTCCTATACTTCCTAAATCATTGATTGAATTTGTCAATGCTCCAACTCCATTTCTTTATGGCATTCATTCAGGATATCAGCATTTACTATCTGATATGGTAAGTTTAGACGGTTTTTCATTCAATGAACATGTTTCTTTTTGTATGTTAAAAATGGAAACATTGAAAGTAAAAAAACATCAAACAACATGAAAGTTATAGTTGAATAAAAATAGCGTAAAACGTTTTCAACTGTTTCATTTCTTTGTAAGGTAGCGCTATGTGATCTTTATGCTGACAAGTTTAGAATTAGAGAAAATTTAAAACTTTTTACTAGTATAAGTTCTGTAATCAAATGCACTATTAAAATACAACTAAGTTGGCTTTCAAATGTTTTTTAGGGTACTAGTGGTCTTCATCAACGCTTAGTTTGACCATGAGGAGTGAAGTAGTTGTACATGTTGACAATTTCACTTTTCTTGGAAGTTCCATCAATGCTAGTTTGATTTGCTTTATTATGACCCAATTACTTTTATGGCTTAGTATTCTTGAGCATTATTTCTTTCGACAAGTCCACAAATGAGAACATGGTTTAACAGGAACGCAATTATATTCCAGATGGATGGAAGTAGGTATCGTAATAAGAAAAACGTTAGTATATTTATAAATTTTACATGAGAAGATTCTAAAGTCTTCTCTAAGTATCCACTAGCACTGATTAGTCAAGGGGTAGCCAATCAGCGTGCTCCAACGCAATCACACACGGAACATGCTTTTATCCAATCTACATCCTGTTAACACCTCTCCGTTGAGCGGATTCGTTGGATCTGGTGTTATGGTCCACTTGAAACCGCGTGACTGGTATGTACTTTCGATTTGTCCACCTAGACAATAAAGAAGTGATATTATTCTTTGCTTGCACAGAGACTGACCTGCCTGTTCCAGGAGTATTGATTTCAAAGGTGTTCAGCAGAACATCAAGAGGTATTCTATGTCAGGTCTCGTTGCTGGTGATCGAAGTTGCTTTCGGTTGGTTAGTATGACACACCCAAACCTCTGAACCAATTGTCACTTCATAGACTACACTTCCTTTCTTTTGTGCGATTCAACTAGCTATCCATATAGGATGTTTTCCCCGATAGTCCATAGCAAGTAATTTTTGACCCACAGTGAACAATCGTCTTTGTGCTTCATGATGTCGATTGAATTGCTTCTCCATCGTTATATTTCGTTGAGTTTCAAGAGCGGGCGTCGGGCGAATGACATTGAAATGTATTCGTATTTTCCTACCAAATAAAGCTTCTATTGGAGAGACCTGTCAATTGTCTGAGGATTCGGTGTAGAACGATAGATAAACAGGAACCTCTCTAAAATCTCTTCGGTGGTCCGCCCCCCTTTTGACTTTCGCGGAGTATTTTTAAATGTACAAAATTAGCGTTCTACTTGGCCATTGGATTGAGGATGGAATGAAGGTGTTCGGACATGCTTCATTCCGTCACACTGACAAAATGTACTGCGAAAATCAAAGCTGAAATCATGGCCAATAGCGCAGTCACATTTGAACTTCTCTGATCACTTCATGGAAAAACTTACCGTTCGGGAGTTGATGCATACAGCGAGTGACCAGGAAGTTTTCACATGGGACAACCTACACAGTCAGAAAACTACGATAACTGTTTTGTCGTTTTGGGGTTCCAGAATTAGTAGTTTGCGACAATCGAACACAGTTTACGTCTGCTATTTCAGAATTTTGTCAGCAAAACGGAATCAGTCCAAATGACACAGATATATCTACCTTTTGTCTATCCCTAGATTTCGAATCTGAAATTTATTTTATTCCTACGTTTCCACGAATTTATTCTTTCTTCTTAACTAATATACTTTATGTATCACTGATACTTGAAATATTTTTTCTAGTTTTGTTATTCATTTTAGTAATTTCATCTAAATGTTCTGATTAATGTAGTTTAGTAACTTGAACCAATAGATATACATTTATTTATTTATTTATTTTAACACATAGATATTGGTACAAAGAGGCACCAAATACATATGCGCCACACAAGTAACTTGATTTGTATGTGGGCTGTGATACTGCCCGGGTGCCCAAACAGAAGCATGTGGTTTTCTTAGGGGGCCACACCCCGAGTCTTCGACCTAAAGGTCTGATCCACAAGACAGTGGAGCATCGTAAGGTTTTGCAGTCCCATGGAAGCCGGTAACCAACGATTGGTTCATACGTCATTTGTTCCCGCAGGATACTGGAACCCATGTGCACCATTGGTTTGGAATCCGGTTAAAGCGCCGGACATTTGCTTTTCGTCCTCTCATTTTCGTAAACAACAGCCGTGGTACGAGAAGGCAGTGAGTAGGACTTCCGTGGCAGAGGCTATATACTCGTGGCCATGTGAAAGCATTTCGAGAGGGAGGGCGGGTCCACCCCACTCTCGGCCGTACCAGGGAATTTGGGGGCAATGGATATACATATATATTGCTTTCTACTGGAAGCTGTATTCATAGGCTTATGTTATGAACAACTCCTTAAAAAAACAATGCACTGTCAACTAGCTTCCCTTAGCCTCCTAATGACCACATTTATCACTGAGATTTGATCAAACTTACAGATTAAATATTGTAACCCCAGTAATTACTGTTTACCACTAATACGGATAATCGGATTAATTGATTATAATTTAGCATTAATTATTGTCTGATCGCTACTTGGCGTCATGTAATTAACTGATTAACTAACTAACTGCATAATTCATTGATTAGTCTGTATCAAATACATTTTTCTCTCTCTCTCCATGAAAAAAAAAAGAATTAACTAATTAAATTAAACTGGTTTATATTATTGTATGATGCTTCATGCTAATATTTATGTATTGATTGAGAAATACATTTGGTTACAAAAAAAAGAACGATGTGTTGTGCATACGAACCATATACATATATAATGACTAATTTAAAATTCGGATAAACTTCACCTTTTCAACACGTCCTAGTTTCTACTTAATCTGTACGGTACTAATAACACTTAGTGAATATATATATATATATATATGGTAGTACCTGTCATCACCCCCAGGGTAAAGATAAATGTGGATGAAAGTGGGAATATAGAATGATTTTGTGGTTGAATTATTCATTGATTGGTTGGTTGTCCATTTCAAAAGTTTATGGGCAGTTATTTTTTTAAAAAAAAGAAAAAGTCATAGAGCTTTGTTGAAAATAACGATGTGTTAATAATAAGATTACTATGAATGAAATGGACTAGTTGTTTAAAACAAACAATAAGCGTTTTTATCAGTATAGGGGTTGTAAAGATTATTAAGTTTTTGATTGAGATTATGAACCGATTGATGATAGACCACCATTGAAAACCTGAAAGCACTGAACGACCGTTTCATCCTATTGTGGGATAGATCAGCAATGCGCATCATCGATCCAGCTCGCGGGATTCGGACATCTAACGTCAATCGGTTCATGGTCTCAATCAAAAACTTAATAGTAAGCGTTTTGATAATAATAATAATAGTGTTGTAATAAACGTATTATATATAATGTCCAAAACCAATGACCACTTTATAATCTTTGTCTAGGTATTATAAACACTTAAGTCTAATATATCATAGAATGCTTATAATATTATGTAGTTCTATTTTCGCCGACAAATAAAGCATTACTATTAGTGTTAGTAGTATTTTAAGAGATTATAGTATGTGTTTACTAGTGATAGTGTATCACATGTATTGTTACATAGTTTTATATCGATTCTTTTGTTCTCTATATATGAAGTGCAGGTTTGAGTTGATGAGCGGTTTTTTGAATCTTCTTGTTGTTGATGTTGAGGTCCAAAATTAATCTATCCCTTTTCACATACGCACATCTTGAATTTTACTGATAACCACTATCCAAATTTACTAAAAAGTGCTCACAACTTAAGAACAATATCTAGACAATCCACACAACATGGGTATATGTCAAAGAAGATTGATCAATTGCTTTCTTTAACATCAACAACGGAAACATTAAAAAAAAAACAAATGGGATAAAATTCACTCTTGTTGCACAAGCCAATAGCCAATGGAATATATAATTTGTTAGGTGTTTGAATCGAAGGATACTGGGTTCGAGTCCCACTTTGAAAATCAACACAGTGGTCATAGTGTATATGGCTGATTAGTCCTATACAGAGTGGCACGCTCCTTCTGTTATATTTCGGGAGTCGTCGCTGTTATGTACGTACTGAATTTTTCACGTCCTCAGTCTTACTACCATAACTTGACAGGTAGGAACCACTTAAATCCCTCAATGCTGCTTGTTATACTAGTAGACAGGAGCCATTACTATTCCCGCGACGCAAGGCGAGAACACGAAAAACTGATGCAATGAAAGTTTATTGACTCCTTAAAAACACCTCTTTAAACAAGTCTTAAAATCACGTCATCCTTAGAGCACAATATAATCATTTATATACCAGATTTTACACAAAATGATATCACATAGAGGGTAAATGCATGAATACCCGAACGTTTCTGCTACATTGACGCGGTGGTCGGATTTGCCTATCGTAATGAAGCAGTGGGGCTATACTGGCTTGAACAATAGTTCCCATCTCATAAACTTCTAGAACGTGAAGACTCACGTGTTACGTGCCTAATTGGGTATTTACCTATACTGCTATCACATTTAGTACGGTTCCAGAAATTTATAGAAGCCTAAATCCATGTGTAATTTCGTAAATTCCCCACGTTTTCCTGTACATGAACTAACTTTGGAGCAAAACGTTATTTTCGCTCTGGAGGTTACTTGAAACGGCTGGAAAATCGGACTAAGCTTCGGTTTAGTATACTTATCAGTTGAGAATCAAAATTTGAATTCGAGATTATGCTTATAATGAATTATTAGCTTTTAAGGTTAAGGTTATCTTGAAAAGTGCGTAAAACTTAACAAAATCTAAATACACTTATTTTGTATATATATATATCATGAAAGACTAGTCGGTTTCCTTAATTGTCATTTCGGTAATCGCTTGGATTTTTAGTTTTGGCATGTTTTTTTTTAAAATTTAAGCTGAATATTATTAGGTTTTACTTAAATTCTAATAAAGTACAAGCTTACCATTACCATGTTTTGAATTTCGCGCAAAAATGCTGTAACTGCTACCTTAAATCTGATTGGTACGTTGTAAAGTATATATTCGGTGTTAATTAATATCGATTGTAATATATTTGATACAAAAAATCATTTTCAATGCATAATCGGTTTGTTTTTTCCTGTACATAATCATCCTCGTGAAATCGGGAGTTAGTCGTCATACTGTCTACATAATCTTGCGTAAACTAATATCTGTTACTTTCGTAGTTTCATTCATGAATTAAATTACAGCTAGACCATCGTTGAAAACTGTGAAGCACTGGATAGCTGTTTTGTTATGGTACGAAACTCCTCAGCAATGCTCATCCAAGTTCACTCATTCACTGATCTTCCTGTACTAATAAGGATTAGACATCCAAAAGAATAGACAACTATTTTTACATCTATTTCTTTCCTTTAGATTACTTTTCAATAGTATTTGGCTTTGAATTCTTTAGAAATCAGATTCGGACACGATATTCAGATACGCTACTACGATAACATATGCTTCTAATGATTATTGAGAAACAAATTTATCAGAAATATGAAGTTGTAAAATAATTTTTTTGTAGTTTGATTTCGAATCAAACGATAATATTCATGGCAGGTTTGGACAAAAAATGATACATATATGCTTTTATCAGTCTTTAATATGATGTTCTAACATATCGATTTGTATAAGATTGGATTTAGCTAGTAGTGGAAGTTAGGATGGACATTTCGACCCGTTTGGGACTCATTAATTGGGTGTATCCCCATTTCAAGAGATGTCTGTTGCAGATAAACTTGTAATATAATGGGTATACTGGGGCAATCAGCATATGGTGAACTTAAGTCGAAAGATGGTAAAAATTTGGTTAAAATATTAATAACGGGATAATCCAAACCATTGAAAATTAAAATATCTAATTATAGTTGGTGTTCAAGATCAAAGGATCTGGGTTCGATTACCGATGATGGGGTTATGAATGTGTCACATTAAGGAGTCGCTTACAGCGAATATACTGCTGCCCTTTGCTTCCAAGTTGGCAGCAGTTGTTTAACTTAGATCGGCTTGTTTTCTCTAGGACGTTTAGAAATTTCCACAACCTCCTTACAAGTTAAAGTTATAAATTAGCAAAATAATTGTGTAATATGATACTTTAAATCCAAACAAATAAAGGCTTTAATTGTTTGTTTTTTGTTATCATTTTCGTGGTCGTATGTAACTAGGTTGATGTTTTTGTTGCGGATCTTGATGGAGGAAGTGTTGTGTGCCCGGAAAATATTCCTATCCCTCAACTGCCTGATCCATATTTTACTGAAGTTGTGGAAAATTTATTCCAGGTAAGTAAATAAGTGTACTGAAGTAGGTAATTGACTAGTTGATTATCTCGTTTTAATGTTAAAAAGATGACAGCATTTCTATCCTTTCATTCATACGTCTGTAAATAAAAGAAAGGCGGTTACTTGGAGAGTTGAAGATCCTCCTTTTTATTCCTGTTTGATTACTTTTGGAATGTTGTGCAGTTTATAATTATTGGGTCACTGAGTAGTATCCAATGTCTTGTTTGCCTAGTCTTTCAAATTTGATGGAATTTTATCTATATCGAGCTACTTAGACTTACAGCTTCATTGCAACTTGATCGGTAGAATTTCATGTGACGGACAGAAATTAGGTGTAACAATTAAGTGGTAATTGATTGTAGACTGGTAAGTGATTTACAAAATGATTTCCAACTGCCTATGTTATTTTTTGTAGGATATTTTGTATGTGTGTTATTTTATTATATAAAAACGTATTCTTCTGATCAGTACTTTTGTTTTTGATCTCGAATCCTTCGAAAAATAATGTTAATAATTTGGTCCCATAAGAGGCCATCACTCAGTCATATCGTATTATTAGATGTCACTGGTTGGTCAGCATTCTTCTCATTGATTTCGACAATTGAGAACCCGTTCATCAATCAACAAAACAATTCATAGAAAAATTCAATTGACACTAGAGGATTAGGTAAGCTTGACACTACTCAGTGGTCAGATATTTGGAAATATCCTGACCTTGCAGAAGTTCAGTTGCTCCCCAAATATTTGGGGAATAACGTCTTAGGTTATGACGCTGAATGTAATATTGAAGTGGTGGTCTCTATCATCCTATCTTCAATTAGGCACATTAATTTATATTTGAGATTAATGATGAATACTAATCCAAAGTTCAACTGATGAGGTTTATATGATTACTTAGCTCTCAAATCTATTACATAAAAATCTCCACTTTTCTACTGGATAAATTTGTTATATGATTCGTGTTGGTTTTGGGAAAGGTCCATGTATTTAATTTATACCTTGTGGTGTTATTTACATTCTGTTAGTATATTTAAATGTTGAAGTGAAATTACGTAAATAAGAATATAAAATTCGTCCTAATACGATATATTTCGCTCTAATTTATTCTAAGGTATAATGTGTTTTTTCTCTCGTTATTAATAAAGAAGACAAATACACAGTTGTTATTACTATGGGGGGATTGTGAAGATTGTTGATTTTCAGAAGTTAACATCATGGACTACTGATTTCATACAACCATTTAAAATCAGTAATTCGTGAACGACTGCCTCATTCTCTATTATGGGACTCCTCAATAGTCCACATCGACGATCATATTAGGAATCGGTTTCTTGTCAAGCTTTTAATCCTTAGATCATTAAGTTGGAATTCAAATGATTCACATGTCTAATATCTTTCGTTTGAGTTCAGTTATGTTACGTTTGATTATGTATCTTGGTTATTACATTCATCAAGTATATTTGATAAATATCTCTATAATGTGACACTTTAATTATTTCTTCTTTAATAATGTGTGAATTACAGTTGATATGATAAGTACACACATATCTCTTTATTATTTCTTATTATATGTATATAATTTCTATTTGATACATATTTCAGATTTTAAGTCCAGAATTAATGACAGCTGATTATATCTATCCACTTGTTACATCTAATCAATCAGGTGATTTAATTTCATTGGATAAACGATTACGAGCTGTATTCCTTCGTTTATTTACATCTTTATTTGCTGGTTATCGGTCGTGTTTAACAATTACACGTATTCATCCTAAACCAGTGATACATTTCAATCGAGTAAGTAATATACAAATAGCATAAATGCGTAAATAAATTCTTTCTTCTATACAATGTATATATTTCATATTTTGATGTCGTGATTTGTGGGAACGTGGTACTTTTTCTTTTTACTTAGTATACTATTATACAATATTTTATAGTACATCTCACTAGAATCTGTCAATCTCACTAATGATAGTGTTATAACTTGTGACCTGTGTGCCCTGTTAATGTATACATAATGATACGGCCAATTAGGGAGCTGTGAATTATCCATCGGACTAATGACGCCAAAACCCGTTTGAGCAGTCTAGAGTCCTTATTGGTCCTGCTTCCCACCTAGCCTTGCCTGTTAAGTCCAGAACACCAATGCGAGCCTCTGCGATGTGAATCATTTATTTCAAACATACTGGGTTTATATTACCAACCAGACAAACCACATAGTACCATAAAATATGAAACAACATTTGTACAAGAATTAGCCAAATGTAGCTGTGGATGGGGAAGATAGTGATTAATAGACAGGGAATAATTAAAGAATGGTAAATCGTATAGTAACAGTTCATAGGTTAAAATAAAGCTTATAATAAGAGGGAAATGAATATGAACAGTTTACTTATTTAACAATTATACGATAAAAATATATGCAGATTATTGATCCATAAATGGATCCCAAAAGTTACCATTCATTATGCTTATCGGGACCTAACAGATAGATTCTTCTTCTTATTGTATTTTACATTTTTATCAGTTGACTTTGAAGAGTTCTTTCTGAATAATAATCTAGACAGATTTATACAAAATGAATCCAATCTATTAATCAAAAGGTGTTCAAGTGTTAATTACTGTATTGTAAGATGGAAATTAGTTAATTTTTGGGTTCAATTAACTTCAGTGGTTTCTGTTTATAAAATTTCTATATGTGTGAATACAACCTGTTCAAATATCACTTGTATTATTTTATACTAATTTGTTAACATTTTTGTTGTTGCTTACTTCGGTTTCAAATTATTTCTGATTGTAATAGTAATTAGGGGAATATAACTTCACATCTGCATATAGTTTTATTATTATTTTTCTGTTTTTCTGTTACCGGTATTCATTCATGCCAATAAACAAAATGATTATCTCCTTAACTACATATCTACTTACGGATTTACTTATCCATATGTTAGACATTTTCTGTTTTTAATTGAATGTTACCTAAAGTTATCCGACTGGATCGATTAGTATTCTGCACTTAAAACGGCTATATTTGTAAATACTTTTTTGTTTGTCAATACGTTACATTAGATGTTTGTTATTTATCCCTTTTTATACTATTTATGCATCTAGTCATCGATTCGATACCAATGATATATGTATATTCGTACAAGGGGATCATGGAGATTGTTTAGTGTTATTAAAATCATGAATCGATTTTATTTAGACAACTACTGGAAACCAGGATGAACTGAACTGTTGTTTTGTCTCGGTAAGGGACTAAGCAGTGCATATTCATGATTGTATTGGGGATCGAACCAAGGACCTTCAAGTTTCACGGCAAGTGGTTGACATTTGGACGGTATCGATTCGGTGGCTTAGATGTTTATTTTCAGTCATTTTACGAAACTATCTAACCATCTCCCTTTGGTCGTGGTGGATAACTGTCATACCTCAGTCAGTCAATCATACCTGTCATACCTGAAATGGTGTAACCCCTTTAGTCATGACTTCTCACTAGAACTTTGGGAAACTTCTTGAAGTTGCGCACATGATTATTAGTCATTTAGAGAGTTTTTGGTGATTGCCGACATTTCATAGCTTACATCACAGACTGATCTTGATTGGACAAGTATAAACTACTCAGATTTTTCTTTGAAGCGGACAATTTTTCCTTATAGCATTGATCTCTTTTTACTGTTCAGCGTCTAAACATGATGTCACTAACTATTATGTGGTTAAGTTTAAAAATGACGTTTTGTGGAATTCCGTTGAATACAAATTAATTTTACAAAATTATCTCGTTTGTTGTCTAGTTTTGTTTCAATAAAAGGTATGATGATTTTTCTTCACATGAAAATTGAATTCATTGCGTCACGGAGTGATGATCATTGTCGCTTTTGCCTAATCCTTTAATGTTGACTAATTTCCATTGATAAATTTGCACCGTGGTCACTAATTTGGCTGACTCGACATCTCATGCAGTAGATTGAGATGTTGGGCTATCTGGTCAGAGGTAGTTGGTTGAATACTTTGAACCTGGGTTTCGTGTGTGTTGGCACTTATTAGTAAGGTGTACCTGCAATCTTGAGGAAATTGATGCTAACTGTAAGATTTAAACATGCAGTACCCGATCTTACAGTTTGAAACGTTACTGTTGAGTTCCTAAGCCCTTCTTAGACCATAAAAATGGTGATGTGAGTTCGAATTTACTAGGTGGTACTAGTTCCCTTGTGATTCCAGGTACAGCTTGATGATGAGGGTGAACTAATACGAAACCTTTAGACTAAGGTTTTCTTCTGTTTATCTCCAACTACTTTATGTTTAATGAAATGTTAACCTCACTCTTCCTTGAATTGAAATTGGATTGTTTTAAGAAAATTTTTTTTTTAACCAAAAATATTATTAGAATAAATTTAGTAGTGTTTACAGTTGAATGCTTGTTAAATTCCATTTTGAAAATATGCAAGGAATATCATTGTCATACTGAACATTTATATTTATATAAGAATAGTGTTAATTATATTGCTTGATCAATAAATTTGTATTTTTCAGCAATTTTGACATTAAGATGCATTCAGGACATTTATCGTATATACCAAGCCATTTCCTACCTCGATGGAGGATGTGCATTAGTAATATGGAGGAAGGGTCTAAGTCGTTTTATCAAACGTGGTATCGGTCGATACATTTATTAAATGTTGGTCTATGCCATATTGATATGTTCACACCATCTGGTCATAATCGGATCGTTGACACTGCGGCTAGTGGCTTGAGACGTTGAATTAAATAGCTTGGAGTTGACCACAATGGTACAGATACATTCACTCATCTCATACATATATTTTTACATCGCTTCCTATCGAAATATATTTTCAATGTACCATTTTTCTTGGCATTACTGCTACGATTATTTTGACTCATTTATTATTAATATTGTTAAATTTATCTCGTACTAATGTTATGACATAGTAACTTGTGCTAACTCATAGTTATGCAAAGCCCTATATTGATTATGATTGACTGACTTAATTATGTAAATTGTCTACTGGCAGTCCATATTATTCCAAAATTTTTGGTTGAGTCTGTTTTAGATAAATCTATTTGTGATTTTAATGACTATTTAGAGAAAGTTTATGTTAAAATATAATGCAACAGCAAAAAGAACAGCTACTTGGATTGTATTGCATCCTGTGTAATAGTATCGCTTTTACACTTGGAGTTTTATTCTTTAGTCCAACTATTGATTGGTGCACCAATCTTTGTTCTTGCTCTCTTTAATAAAGGGAACTATGTATATGAAACTTATTTGTATTTTTCCATGTTTTCTTAACTTTCAGACATTATATTTACTTCTACGTGGAAATAGTGCACATAATGAATTCTACGATCGTTTATTATCTAGTATGCGTTTTCATCAATTCATATTAGAACGTGGTCCACCATTTCGTGTATGTGATATATTTGATGAAGTATATGAATCAAATGTCGATGATCATTCACTGTTTGATAGTAATAATAACTGGACACTGAATAGCAGAGATTATGAATATGATATGTTCAGTAATCATAATCCATCACAAATGATCACTGGAAATACAGCCAATTTCAGTTTAATAGAACGACTAAGCACAAAACTGTTCGATAATGTAAGTGACACTTTATTTTTATATTTAATTTTTTAAAGCTAATTTGGATAGTGGCTAGCAGGATAGTCTAGAACACGCGTTTTATATTGGAGACTCTTTAGCTTTTTGTTTCTGTACGTTAGCGTTAATGTTCACTTTGGGACTCGAACTCGGCTCCTTTCTCCACAAGCACCTAACGCACTACATCCAGTTAACTACTGGCTCGTGCAACAAGAGTGAATTTTAACTCATTTGTAAGGTTTGTTTGACTGTTTCCGTCGTTTATATTAAGAACAGCAATCGATCAATCTTCTTTGATATATATCCATGTTAAATAGTTGGATAGGATCTATCAATCGAACACATGATGCAACCTTCCCTGGATGTACATATGCCGAAATGGACTGACCGATTCCGACCTTGAGATGATTTAAACAACCATTACAAATGAACAGTTTTTTTCTTAGTTTACAACAAATCTTTATATTTTGTCGGTTTTGGAAAAAAAACTCTTTAATCTTTCTTCACTGAATTCTTTATGTATATTTTTATCTGAAACACCTCTGCATATTATCAGGATGTTCTGATTAGTTTTCCATTTGAAATGTTGATTTTATGTGTTATGGTGAGAGTTTTGTAAATGGTTTGAATAGTTTTGTTTTACGTTAATAATAAGCATTTACAGAATGCTGAAAATGGAAGATGTTTATGTGAACTTATCGAGAAGTCTGTTGGTCGGAGTATGTCTATGAGTTGGAAGCAGCAACTTCATCTGATAGCTACCGGATACTTTGTCATCTCATCCGAGTCACTAGCAGCAAGAAGTCGGATGTGTGCGAAATAATCTGTGAAGATGGCGAGATGCCGACTACTAACATCTGCCGATGTCTTGGACAATGGACAGTTTTTGGAGGAACAGTTCGACTGATCTGCTGGTCTGTTTTACCTATACGAAAAGCGTTGAAGGGATTTTGATGTTTTTCTGAGTGACGTTCTCTCGAAAGCCGATACAATTACATTGTTTCCTTCTATGGATGCTAAAGTGTATGACAACGCTGGACGAAAATAGCAATGTCATATTAAAGTTACGTTGCATCACTGCTAGAAGTTTTACTCTGGACAACATACCACCTCCGTCCATTCATACAGTACAGCATTGAGAACTGCAATGAAATAAAATTATGATAGAAACAAGTTACCGGAATATTACAGAATCTGATCAAATACCCCATTGTTTCTTAAAAAATTATATGTACACATAAGTAAGATTATCCGCTTAATTTAATCTTGTCAATAACTTAGCTTTATCTAATCTCATTGTTAATCTTAGTAAAAATAAAGTATATCGCCGAACGGCTATGAAATTTTAATCTCTTTTACCTGACTGGTAAACGGTAGAGATAAATGAATGTTGTGAGTGAAAGCTAGGATATGGATTTTAGAGACCTTGTATTATGGGTGATATCAGTTGGTTATGAAGACACTAATCCTAGATTCTGACCACCATGACTCTGAAGTTGCTTTCTTTTGTTTAGGTTTGGCATTATATTGTTTGTTAAACCTAAGCTTTACTTCATTCTTTTTATTTCAATTTTGACTTAGAGGCATCACAGTTCCAAATCTTCTCACGGAATCTCACTAAACAAATTTCTAACATTTGTAGAATCCTAGGAAATGTTCTGTTTTTCATAACATTCATAACTTTCACACACTACTTCTCATAGTTTTCTTGTTTTTAAAAATTTGGATTGTAGGAATGCGGTGATCAACCAGCTACACAGATTCTTCCAAATGAGGCTATTGAAGCTCACAAACGCATACATCAAACACCATTTCCTGTTTTAGACGCTAAATTAATCGATGAACTAACTGTTCAGTATTCTCAAAAGAAAACTAAGTAAGTTTTTTTCAAATTGCTTTAAACTTTTATCCTTCCATGTTGTTGAGTTTTTCCATAGTTTCAATTTTCACGACCACAGAACGTTATATATATATGGTGATAATTATGACATGTAATATCTAATTTTAATTACTATGATAGTAAGTGGTTTCCATAGTTGTTCTTATTTTCAATATCGTGCTTTTTGAATATTGAAATAATACACTAAATTGTTTCATCAGTAATTACATGGGTTCGGTGATTGATTTTTTTCAAAAAAATATCAACATTAATTGCATGGGTTGATTAAATGAATAAAGCATTTCGTTGAATTGAAATGTTATTACCGATTATGGGTGATTAACACGTTATATTGAGTATTTTAATCTGAGAATTGTAAGGTTTCGATTCGGCACAAACTCTTTTTTTTTGCATTTCGCATTTTTATATCAGGTTAATTATTTCTAAGTGTTGTTAAGATTTCCTTTATTTATTTATTTATTTGAACACATAAATATTGGTACAAGAATGCGCCAAACATATATGAGCCACGCAAAACAATGAGAATTTAAGGGGAAGGAAAAAAAGGAGGGTAATAACGAAGAGATTGATGCAAGGTGGTGTAATAATAATAATGTTAAAAATGGGGGAACGGAAAGGTACAATCAGAAAAAATCTTTCAGTTAAGGAAGATACAACCACTTCCTATGAAGAAAGTAAAAGGTTACAGAAGCTTCGCCACTGGCTTCTATTCTGAGCCATATCTGATAACGTCTCTAGCCACTGTGTTGCACCATCTCTCGGACCCCAGCCAGGGAGTTGTAAAGGACCGACACAGACCAGCCCTTTGTAGCCTTCTTTCATACCACTACACTATGTCATACACTGACCATCTTTCCGCCTTTTCCAACCAGTTCCAGAGTCGGCAAATAATGCACGACGTGGAATTCTCAGGGACGACATTCGTAGAACATGTCCAAGCCACCGAAGTAGATATTTCAAGATGGTGACACCAATTGCATTATCGTCTCTCTGCCCAAACACACGATGCCGAGCCTCTGCATTACTAACATGGTGTTGCCACTGAATGTCAGCAATCCTTCGCAGACAACGATGATCGAACACAGAGAGTCGTCTAACATCCTCAACTCGGAGAGGCCAGGTTTCACAAGCATAGAGCAAAACTGCTCTCACCGACGCGTTTAAATTCGACCTTTTACAGCCAGACTAACATCACGAAGGCGCCAAAGATGGCCCAGATTGGCATAAGCCTCTCTAGCTTTCACTATACGTGCATTGATTTCATCACTCATGCCACCACCAGCACTTATGCAGCTACCCAGATACACGAACTACTCGACTACTTCTATCTGCTCACCATCCAGGGTGAGTACAGGATTGGAATCCTGCCAGTCTTGTAGAAGTACTTTGCACTTCGAAGGTGCAAAGCACATACCATACCTACAGACACTGATTGCCAACTGATTAAGTGCGGATTGCATGCCTTGGGCATTATCGCACAGTAAGACAATATCATCCGCATACTCAAGGTCGAGAAGTCTTTCTCCAGGCAACAGATCCACACCACCATTACTTACATTCATCAGAGCTGTTTCCAGAATGTCATCGATGGCAAAGTTGAAGAGGAATGGTGAGATTGGGCAACCCTGCCTATCCCCACTGCTTGAATGGAACAATTGAGAAAGGTGGTTGTATGCCCTCACTGTGCCTGAGGTGTTTATATATAGGACTTTTAAGATGTTAATAAACTCCTCAGGCAAACCTTTTTTCAATAGACAATCCCAGAGAACAGTCCTATTCAACGAATCGAAGGCAGCCCTGATGTCAAGAAACACTACGACCGTTGGTCTTTGATAAATATGGTGGTGTTCTAACATTTGGTGGAGGGTGAAGATATGATCAATAAATCCTCGACCAGAACGAAACCAGCCTGCTCCTGGCGTGTCAATCTTTCTCGGGTTTTGAACAACCTACGAAGTATGACGGAAGCCAATAGCTTGGACGCAATCGGAAGTAGACTTATCCCCCGATAGTTGTTACAGGAACGACGTGAACCCTTTTTAAAGATAGGGACAACTATCGACTCATTCCATGACGTTGGTACTTTCTAGTTCCCAAACCTTTGTAAACAACGTCGTCAATTCCTTAGTCAAAAAGTCACCACCATCGTTAAAGGGAGCCGGAGGTAAATCATCTGAACCAGGTGATTTGTTACGCTTCAAGAGTTGGAGTTCCTTGCGGACTTCCTCCTCGTTTAGTGGATCAGTCGTCACCGGTCATAGAGGGCAGGACAGTCTGCCCGATGTTGTCGGAGCAGCAGGCCAGTTGAACTGTCCTTAGAAGAATTATGCCCATTGTCCAAGACGTCGATGGATGTTGGTGATTGGTGTCCCGTCATCCTCACAGATTGTTTTGTTCACACCAGACTTCTTGTTGCCAGTGTCTCGGATGAGTTGGAAGAGCTTCCGGTAGTTGCTAGATGCAGCTGCTGCTTCCAGCTCATTAGCACGCTTCGACCACCAGGCTTCTCGGTCCTTACGCAAGCTTTGCCCAATTTCATTAAGTAACATCCTTCGTTTGTGGTCAAACTCACGGTCAACTGGAGTAGACCGACGGACTTCAATGAGTTGTAAGGAGCCTGAAGAAACCCAGTGCTCATAAGTGGGACGTTTCGCAAACCCACAACTGACTGTTCCCGCCATTTTCATGGCGTCATGCAATTGCAACCAATGCTCATCTATACTTTTCGGTGGAATGGTAGCTAGCCTAGAAGCTAGCTTGGTTCGATACTTACTTGCAACAGAAGTTGCGACCAGCTTGCTAACATCAATCCGTTGGTGGCGGGCACTTCGTTGGCAACTGAAAAGTAGGGTAAGATTAACACAGACCAGGTCATCCTCAGAGTCCAGATAGGTAGTCCAAAAGGAGCGGCAGTCTTGTACACAACCACTCCAGCAGTAGCTGATCGCGATATGATCAATCTGAGTCCAGGCTTGAGATGCCGAGGGAGGACGCCAGGTGGCACATCGGCGATGACTGTGCCGGGAGTTAGTGCTAGCCAGAAACAGGTTGTGGTCTGTGCACACTTGAAGTAGACGGTCCCCATTATCCGTCTTGAGACCAACAAGTCCCCATTGGCCACCTAAACGACTCTCTTCTGTGCCTAGACGCCCGACCTGAGCATTCAAGTCTCCGACCAGTACTACAATATCTGTCGAACGCACTTTCTGGAGAAGAACAAATAACTGGTGGTAAAACTCATCCTTGATTGCATCCGGGCTGCAATCTGTCGGAGCATAGGCAGAGATGACGAAAAGACATCGTTTCTCACGCCGATTTCTCACTTTGATGGAAGTTTCTAATCTAACAGCACATAACCGACTGTTAATGGGGATCCAATCGATTAGTGCTGCCTCAGCTCTAGCGCTTAGTGCGACACCAACACCAGCAAGATCAGATGAAGATGCCACAGGGTCCCCGGATAAACGCACGTAAAACAAGCTTTTTGAAGCGACAGATGGAAAGCGAATTTGTAGTACTTCACCAGAGTCTTGAATATAGGTTTCGGATAGAGAACAAACGTCGAAATTAAGACTTTCCAAAGACATAGTTAGCCCTATCTGTTGTCCGACCTGCACTAGTGTGACAACGTTGAAGGCAGCCAGTTTGAATGGTGCATGTGGTTTCAGAAAAACTGCTTCAGTATTCGTATTTGGTGGTAGCATACTATTTTCAACCAGGCAGTGACTCGAGAACGTTTAGATAGAACCGAGTTTCCACCAAAGACGAACTACTATGTAAGTCGAAAAAATAAGTATAGACAAAGGGGAATAAAAGAGTGTGAATAATGTCGTAGTAAATAATAATAATAATAATAATAATAATAATAATAATAATAATAATAATAATAATAATAATAATAATAATAATAATAATTTGAATCATTTGATTGTTAGTCGAAGCAAGAAAAGTAGTTTCCATAATTTTAGACAGTTCATCATCTGTGTGTGGGCTGTGATACTGCCCGGGTGCCCAAACAGGTGGTTATCTTAGGGGGCCACACCATGAGCCTTTGACCTAAAGGTCTGATCCACAAGGCAGTGGAGCATCGTAAGGAGATGCTGTCGCATTGTAGCCGTTGACCGAAAATTGGTTCATACTCCATTTGTTCCCTCAGGATACTGGAACCCATGTGCACCATTGGTTTGGGGTCCGGTTAAAGCGCCGGACATTTGCTTTTCGTCCTCTCATTTTCGTAAACAACAGCCGTGGTACGAGAAGGCAGTGAGTAGGACTTTAATATTTAAGTATTTGTATGTGGTTTCAGTGAAACGATAAGTACTCATTATATTAATAATTGATGTATATATATAATTAAAATGAAAATTGTCTGGACAGCTGATGAATTTTTATATAGGACGAAATGTACATTTTTCATTCCATTACTAGATACATACCAAATATATTATAAACGTATGATTAAAAGCTTTATTGAGGCAATCCTTTCGGAAAAGACATTAAGGAACAGAAATCGATTATATGCTGCAGTTCATGGTGATAAATTGATTGATTTTAGTCTTATTATCACATACAACTTGAACGTCAATTATATTTACTACTTATAATGATTTTAAATATTTTAACTATTCCAACTCTATAGAATTCCATGTTGATAACAGTTTTTAAGCAATAAAATATTAATCATTAATTTGGTATATCAGTTAAGATGTAACAATATAGATCAATCTATGTGAACATTTAGTTGTTTTTTTGAGATACCTTTTTATTTTATTGATTTTCAATGTTTTCACAATATATATATATTTAGACTTTTAGATCTGGTTATATAATGTTTAATTCGTTGAATTATTATTATTATCCAAGATGATTTCTGTTAAGTTCAACTTTTATCACTTTTCATTCTTTAAATGTTAAAAATTCCAGTATCCATGTTGGTTTTTACCTTCAACTGGTGTATATACGAGTAATAATAAGTATGAAATTATTTGTACAGATAATTCACAATATATACCGTCTATTTTTTCTCTTTATGATGATATAAAGTTAACTTGAACAAAAAAAAGAAATAAATGTATCTATGGTGAAAAATGAATAAACAAAAGAATGTCTATTCTCTGTTTTGTTATTTAGTAGTATATTGTTATAGTTTAAAATCAAATTGTTCAATTTAGTCAATGTTTCTTGATGTGTTTTAAACGTTTTTTGTCATATTTTGTATTTGCTTATTTGATCTTGTATAAAGGTGGTGAATGATCTCTGTAAAGAATATTTTATATGCAATTATATGATTTAGTTTTCTATTCACAATCCTGAGTTCTGTATTGAAGCATTCTTACTTGGTATAACACAAGATGTAGATATTTTGTAGCTAGCGGTGAATTGAACTATGCGTACTTCGTGTTATTTGGGATTCTTCAACTGTATATACCTACGTTCCAGTGTTGTTGTTCACATTGAGATTTTAATCCCAATACCTTTTGTTTAAAATGTCAACACGTTGTTTACTGAGTTATCGAGTTTAAATAACTGCTAACGTTTTCAATGGGTATGATAATTACATTATAATTAGTAAGAGGTTGTGTTATAGCGTTGTTGAACTCTAGCTCTGGGATACAACTACATTCTACTTACGAGTCCCAAATCAGACAAAACGCACATCCTTATTTTTACTGATAGCCACAGTTCTTCTTTTTAAACAAAAATACTTGTTAACAAATCAAGAGAATCTAATCAAACAAAAGTGTCTTCTGAATATCAGTAGCGGAATAAAACCTAAAACTTTATTGATCATGATATAAAAAAACCCTGTATATTTAGAAGAAATCTGGTTTAATATTTCCACCATATTTTTTCATTGTTCTTTAATCAATAAAAGGAATGTTGTTTATCATAAACCGGAACCACGTTTTGTACCACAAGGACTACAATTAGATCGACAAATATTCAAAGCAGAAATGTTTCCTGATAAATATCGTGTAATTCATGAATTTGTTGATGATATTTTTAATCAACATATTACTGAAGCTTTAAAAGTAAGTTGGATTGATTTTAATTTCTAATAATGTTTTCAATTTTATGACAATTTGATATTTATATAATCTAATAATTAGAGCATTAAACATTCAACTTTGTTATAATCTCTATTTGAGTTACATTTCTTTCTTTCTTTCTCTCTCTCTCTCTCTTTGTTCATCTCTTTCTCATATCGTCCACTTTACTATTTTTTTTTAAAAATGATTGTAAAATGTCAATAATAAATATGAGTTGCTTAGTCAGTATACTGGAATCTTCATTTGATATTCTATATGTTTACTATTATTGATCAAAGAAATAACAAATTGGTAATGTGATAACTGTATTTCTATTAAATAGATATTTTCTACAAACTATTAGCTTAATGAGATTGATGAGTAAATTAAACCTTTTTCTTGTTGTTGTTGTTGTTGATTTGTTATAGTTAGAAATGTAAATTTTTATATTGTGTGTATAAGTTCTAGATATTAGAAGAATTGATTTTATAAAAAAGACATTTGAATCATCAAAAGAAAAGTATTGCGTGGAAATAAAACTTTTGATATTGTATATTGGTAATAAACTACTTTTTTTTTAATACTTGGAGACAATTGTCAAAGTGTGTTATGTTACTCAATTAAATTACACTTTATTAATCGATAGCTCGAGAAAAAAAAACACAGTAACCTAAACTCTGGTTTATTCCTCTTGAATTCATATATGGTGGTTCACTAGTAGATTGATCACATAATTTGACCAATGAAGGGTGTAGACTAGCGCAGGTCTAGTGAACGAACAAATCAATTGCGGAAAACCAGTTTATTTGTTTAATACAAAATTATAGAATGTCTTCGTAAAATATGAGAAGTATACATTAAATACTACATTCACACATTCTTTATCAATTGTCTCTTACAACGTTCATCGTTTCTTTATTCCTGTTGTTATTACAATTTCTCTCTATTGGCACTCCTTTTCTTTTCAGTTCGATCTTCTCAACCTTTTGTTGTCAGACATTCCACTCCTGATTGATGTTACATACTACTTATATATGTCAACATAAGTAGCGTACATCACATAGATAACCCTGACAACTGGCAAGATAATCTTGACTATTACTCCCCCCCCGATATGAATGTTTTCTTTTTTCCCTCAGTATTGAGTCCGGATAGAGAATACCACAGACAAGCTTCCGTTACCATATTTAAAAGTACCTAGTGCATTCATCTTAAATAATCTTTAATCGTCAGATTGCAACAAACACCAAATAAGAAAACATACTTGAAGCACAATCACATCGTAAGAGACAGATAATAAAGCAAACAATATAAATTTAATGATTAATAATTAAGAAATAATTAAACGTATAACAATAGTCAATAATTTAAATGAACACTCACAGTGTAAGGAATATAATAACCTAGTTATCTATCTAGTTATCTAATTGACAATAAGAATGTATGCAATGACAGTCCGTAAAATAGTTCCAAAGGTTACAAAATTATTCATTTACAATTTCATTTTATATATATAAATAATGTAAACTGAGGCTCAGTAACTTAACCCCATCATGACAATGTCTACTTACTTTCCAGTGATCAGTTAGTTGTGAATGTCTTACACGTACGTATATGAAGTCATTCGCCAGCTGAACAGTTCAGTAGCAATGTCTTGGATTGTGTAGTTGAGTGACGCAGGCTCGAATCCATCAGGGAAAATTAGGTCCCTCACATTTGTTGGTGCACCTTTCTGACAAGTACTAACTAGCTCGGAACTTGAGTTCAGAATTTGCTATCATTTAATATAATGATCTTCAAAATTATATGTCATGAATATAGTTATCTACAGTATAATCCACCATGATATTACCAACGTTTGGTACTCTCCTTTTTATTATTCTACTAATATCTAGATAATTTTTCTATTTTCTATTTTTATTTTGTAGAGACGAAATACAATTCGTCAAGATTTAAAGTCTAGACCAATGAGACGCTTATTCGTTGATGAATTACGTTCATATATAATTCCGGAAGCACCAGTATCACCAACTGTAGCTATCAATAACTTCCTTGGTAATATGACAATCAATAGAAGTACATATGAGAGACGAGCTGTTTTGACATGGGAACAATTTGAATTGATTGTTGACCTATTAGATGAAGCATTAAGACAAGAGACACAATCAAAAGACAGTGGAATTACACCAATTATTATGGATATAAGTACTAGACTTTGTACAGTAAGTGTGTGTGCATCTATGCATTTATCATGACTCCTAGTAATTTTGATTTATCCAGTCTTGTGGTGAATATATGGTAACGTTATAAGAATATAATATTTATTTTATTGTATCATTCTAAGATACTGTACTTTATAGTAGTCAGTTGATTTGGATCATGGTGCATCATTAATCCAACAAAAATGATCGATAAACTCAATAAATTGAGGATGTAATCAGTTATTGCATATAGGATAATATAAAACACTTCACAATTCGTTATACTTGAACTATTACCAAAAAATATGTGTTCGAACAGTTTCTTTAGATTAAAAATGTCACCATGCATTGTCTCTTTTTCTTTAACTGTAACAGTCATGACATCGACTGAGGTTTAAAACAATAGCGTACACTGGTTCCAAAACTGAATTGTCTAAAGAGTGAATAAACTAATCAGTTAACATTTGGGCGTATGTAATCTCTATGGATAAATTTGAAACAAATTTGAAACTTATGTTGATCACTGAGTACTAGTGGTCAATGACATGTTCATCTAATCCTTGATACTGACCGAATTCTATCGATTAAGTTACTATGTAGCCACTATTTTAAATGACTTGGCATCACACGTTCAGATGCTAAATGGTTACAAATTGTTCTGTGCGATTCATACAGCACTAATGAATATACAAATATGACATTGGCCATTACTCATCGATCAATCGATCAATGAAAATATCTCTATCTTACAGGTGATCATTAGCGATATGAATATCTCAGTAGTAGTTTTTCCAAATTGTAAAGCTGGTTGAACCTGGTTTGAATCTACTAGGAATTATTAATCCGCCCAAAACTACGTATTACATCCTTCTGATGAGTGCATTGGTTAACTGTTTTTTGCCAGTTACCTCCAACACTCTTCATATTTGAAGTTACCACGCAAAATTTCAATACATTTCGTAACACAGTGTTCCGGTTGTGTTGAGACGGCTTCGTAAAACACGTCTAAGCCTTCAGAGTCTCTAAAGGAGCCGAAGAGATTCCATCTAATTAAAACTTAGTAGATCCTTCAGGAACATCAACACTGCATGCTACGATTGGGCGAATCGACTAAATTAAAATGATGTTGTAGCTAATACTAATAACTTTAAATACCCATGTTTTTCTGTACATTTATCATTCTTACCTGATAATCATTTCCCCCGCTTCTTCCATCCTCTGATTTGAGACTGTGGGGTTCTACACCTTCAAATGCCGCTAGTTATATATCTTATTCTACCGTAATCAAGTAGATGACGTAAAAGGTTTGAGTTCCCGAAAATAAATTTAAACAAATAGTGTAATAATATATCCTAGAAAGTATCAAATAATTCGAAATCAAATTCGAAGAGTAAATGTTTGTATCTGAGTAATAATGCTCCATTAAATGTTGGAGCGATAATTTCTTGTGACTAATGAATATTTGTAATATCCGTGGTCTTTTATTCACCGTCAATTAATAGTAATGAAAAATTCTAGATTATACCTCAAATTTCTTCTACAAGAAACGGCGACCTTTCGAAACAAACATTTTTATTAAGTTTTACTAATTATCTGGATTTTAAGTGTAGTTGGACAGTTCACCATTTTTGTCTGTCATTGACTTTTGAGTGAGTTTAACATTTAATCAATTTCTTTGTATCTGACACTGTCATTCATTTTGTAAACTAACTATGCTTTTCAACTTCAATCGTCTAATGATTATCACTTTGATTTATAAATAGCATGAAATCAGTAATGCCTATTATCAGTATAGTCAGTCAGTCACTAACAACTGACTATTATTAGAATAAGGATGTAGTGATTGTTGAGTTTTTGATTGAGATCATGAATCGATTGATGTTAGACCACCATTGAATATCTGAGAGCAATGGACGGCCGTTTCGTCCTAGTATGGGACTACTCAGCAATGCACATCCATGATCCCGCACGCTGGATTCGGACCCAGGACCTTCCGTCTCGCACGCGAACGCTTAACGTTTAGACCACTGAGTCGACATCCGACGGTGTTCATGTCTAACTTCCATCGATCGATGGAAGTTAGATTTTAGCGGAAAATCGAATAATATATGTGACCAAATAACATTTTGGCATTATAACCTTAACTCTTATTACCATCCGTATTTTCTAACTCTGAATCTTAATCTTATTTCCTCATACTAATGTTTAATCCTCTTTTGACCTTAGTAAGTGGTTGAATTTTCCAAAGGTTATTTCAGCATTTTTCATTGACCGCTTTTGTTATTCACTAACTTACCTTAATATAATGATATATTTGTTAATGAATTAAATCTGAAGGAATTAGGCGATGTTCGTTATTATGCTAATATGAGTCATCAAATTCAACGTCATGAAATCTGGCGTAATATGCCATTTTGGGAGAGTCTTTTTAATGAACAAGTTAACAATCAAATTCGTTTGTTATATATTGATTTTTGTGAAGAGGAACGCAAATCTCATAAATACCAACAAGGTAATCAATATCAACATTCGCACACAATGAATATATCCAATGGACATTCATGGTCATCATCGTCGTCGTCACCATCTGACAGTAGGACAAAACAATCTATTAATTCGCCTGAGAGAAATGATAAATCATCTGTGATAATTGTTGGACGAAAGAATAGTAATAATAATAATATTAATAATAACAATCAGAAATCGAATGTAAGTCTGATTATTATTCTAAACCTTGGTATTTTTGTCTTTATAAATTACTTATTTAGTATAGGATAACCTGTAATACAAATAATCAGTTGCTTCTTGATAAGTATTTCATCTGAACCACTAGGGATTATTTTTGTATCCGTCTAAAGCTGTCCACAGCGACTAAACATCCATGGTTTATAGCAATTTTAGTACACAGATGAAGTGATCAACGTTTTCTACCACCTTAGTCCCTATGATCATGTCTGGAAACATATTAACCATGAGACAACATTTTATGTTTAAAGGCAAATAAATAGGATATCTAACTTTTGATTGTTTGTTACTGTGTTTGAAAGATTGAAATTATTAAGCATATTCATTGGACAGAACTACTTCGTCTGTTTAATTTGGATTGATAAATGAATTTTACCATAGAAGGTTGATTACTAAAAAAGAAAACAGCTCTGACGAGCACCATTTTTTTGCATTTAATTCAAGTGATAGTTTGTCTTAATATATGACTCAACTCTTATTGTTGAACTGGCGAACCTTCAATGGCGGCTTTATATGTTTTTTTTTCTTTCGGTCCCCATTTCTAATGACAAGCACTACCCTTGAAACTCTTGATCATTCGAGTTGTATGTTGCGTTCAGGTTATGAAATTTGACTACGATCAATTGTTGCTTTGCATGCTTGTGTTTGACGACCTAACGAATGTTGGATAATCCGACAATAGATCTATGTCCAGGCCTATAAATTTTCCCGTCCCATCGAGTATTCCTTTCCTGATCTCTGTAATCATCATTCCTATCACAATGTGATTACTATCCTTTTTCATGGAGTAGAATGATAGAAACAATTTAAGTGAAATAACTTCCAGCTCTTAGGGTCTGTTTATCATCAATGCTTTCCTTGTTCCTTGCTTTCGTTGCGCAATAATATTTCACCAACTGTTCTTCAGTCCATGTTTAAGTTTCCTCCGTTTCCAACCAAGCTTGATGATTCTCTGTGTATCTATGTATTCGATAGAGGCTTTTGAGATCCAATAGTCTTGCTTGACCTTTAGCATTAAATTGGCGACAGATGCCACTCCTATATTTTCAACCACTTACCGAGCTACTTCAGGACAAATATCTTTAAAACTGTTTGCTTAACTAATTCTTTAAACCAGTTCTTAGGATTTGTCTTTTTACGTTAAGATCTTAGGGGTCTTTCTGTAGTAACGTTTCTACACCTAGAAATATTTGGTTGGATGTATAAATCGTATCTTCGAACCCTAATCTTGTCTATCACCACTCATGCTGTTACTACTTCTACTATTCGTTGATTTGGCATGACAATTTCATCTCCCTGTACCAATGGTGTATGGAAACGTGAACTGACGTACTTGCGTATCAGATTCTACTTTTTGACTGACTGAGATAGAATCTACAAAGAGGAAAGCTTCACATGTTTCTGTCTTTAGTTCTTTTAAAGTGCTAAAGTATATATAAAGTACAGTGAAGTCATAAATTTGCCTAGATCAATAATAAGTAGATACTGATGTCGAAACTATTGTATCTTCAATCGATGATCGATAGTTTCAAAAAACAATTTTCATTAAGTTATCTGAGATTCTATGTTTAGTTCTCTTTTCTAGTGTAGACAGGAGGACAACTCCACTTAAAAGCTAATTCTGTTTTTAAAGTCTACCTTTAATTATCTCATGTCTGTTATAATATATATATATATATATATATTCTTCTTTCTACATATCAATAAGATTACAATTCAACAACAAAGTTATACATCAAATATGTCAGCATTAGAAATCGCTGCGGAAGAAATGCGAATTGGTCATATGCGTCCAAAAGAAATACAACAAATATTAGAAACACGTGAAGAAAGTACTATCTATTCTCAAATTATACATTTTGTTAATTTAATCATTAATTTTCGTATACCAGTTCATATTGGTGCAGCGGTGGCTGATATATACGGTGAAGATACTCAGAATAATGATGAATTAAAAAATGATATTACTGGTATAAATGGTATGGTATCGAAAATACCTGACAGAATAATATCCGATAATGATAATTATAACAATAATAAAACAAATAATAATACTAATGATCATAATTATCGAAAACAATATACTGGCAGTACTAATTCATTAAATGATATACCAGTAACTAATCAAATTAATCATGCTCTCAAAATTATTTCACAAACTGAAGGATTTATTAAAAATACTAGTCGATATACTTCAGACAATTATTCTAATCATCTATCAATTTCAGATGGATTTTATAAGTGAGTAGTAGTATTATGGTTTACATTATATCAAACTCTTTATGTATTGACTAATTTTGTTTATTTAGTGAAATAATGAAAAGAATTAAACTGAAGTAATTTATTATTTATCATATATGTATTTTCATATTTTGAACGGAAATAATTCGAATTTATCTATCCAACGTTTTATACTGAATGATTGTCTCCTTTTGGAAATAATGTTTTTATATGTCATACTTATATTGTCATTGTGTAAGAAAATTTTCTCATTTTTAAGCTGAAATTTTTGTTCATAAACTTATCACTATATAAACTGTCTTGCGATTCCTTATCAGAATAAATGGATTGAAACTAGTAGTAGGAACTAGGATACGTATTTCATCCTATTTGAAACTCATTAACTCTATGTAACTTCATTCTAGTGTATATTTTATTCACATTACTAAAAATAAATACCATGAAACAGTTAGGCAACATTAACTTGAATACGTGATTATTTTCCCAAACGGCGGTAATCGGCATGTATGCATTTCAGTTTTTCAACTCTATTTTGACAATTGAACATATCTATTGCATACATTTTTGAGTTCTTCATTTTTTTTCTTCATAAATTTGACTAAGATCTGATGTTACCTTAGTATGAAGAGATAGATAGGTGTACGTATCAATAAAAATCCATGTGGGTAGTGATTAGATCGGTGATATTGTGGGAATTAATCTGTTTTCTTTGAAATATACATCTTTAAACTAAATTTTTGTGATTACCTTTTATTCCATCAAATCCTACAAATAAATCTTTGTGTTCTAGCTGTAATGGCTAGATATGGTTTTTAGGACATCATTAAAACCATTGAAAAAATCTGCAGTTTCAGTTTCATTTAGCTTACGAACAATCACTATAGTAGCTGATAATCATATTGTTTAACTGTATGATAAAATCATTCGGATAATCTTTTATGTCATGTTTTCTCTTTTTACAAAATATACATATTCAGTTACTAGATAGATTCAGTCAGAAGAAGTGTAGAATTTTTGATCACTTTTGTAGTTATGCACAATTCCAAGGTCAAATTTACTGTTTGTCATTATTATTATTATTATCATCACAATGGGAGTTTGTTGAGATTGTAGCAATTTAATAGTTGAATTCGTGAGTCAATTTAAGCTAGACGACTATGGGAAACCTGGTAGCACTGGATTATTATTTCACTCTAAAGATCACAAATATTCAAGTATCTACGAAATGATCAATTCTCATTGTTCATGTCATTTACATAAAATCGCATAATTAATTGATTAATCTTTTTAACCTTAAAAATAGCCGGAATATTTCAACCGATATTTCTGTCTATTGTCCTCAGTATTAGATCATTAGATTTGTCAAAAAAAAGAATGAAATTTTATCAATGGAACTGTCAAGTTTGTTGTTGTTGTTGTTGTTTTTGACTAAAACGTGCAAATAACGAATTGGTAATGAACTGAAAACTTTAATTTTGTATCCCTTTTAGTAGGTCTATTTGTTTATGTGAATATATAGTTGGTTATTTCAACAAACAAATTAATTATTGTGGTGTATGTGAAAGTATAGTTTATCTTATCAATATTAGAATTATTCACTTTCCAATTGTTTGATCTATCGGACATTATTTGAAATTTGTAGTTATTAGAAGAAAAAGCGTTTTTTAAAAGGAATATTCTGTCTCCAACTTTTCCCTCGGTTACATGTACTACATTTTTTAAAATAAAAAAATCTTTACGGGTAATCTATTCCTGTCCGTATGTTATTGATAAAATCTAACTCCTTTTTATGCGAGCATCATCTAAGCGGATGTATTAGAAGTAGAGATAAAAAGATCTATTCATAAATGATTGTACAAAAAGGAGTTATCGTTTATTAATGATGTACTGATAGAAATATGGTACGTAGGAACCTTTTAAAAATACAACGTTATCATCGAATAGGTTTCGTTTTTGACAAGGTGCATGCATGTATACACTACTACTATCTATCGACTAAAGTCGTTAACAAATATTTCCTCATTGTTAGCTTTTTATATAACCCGGAACAAAATGTCAATACGTGAAAAATCTCTAACCAATGAACAATGTTTTTATATCTTTTAAGATATTCGCCCGTGAAAATTATTCTGATATAAACGTTTTTAATTTGGATAGAAAAATCACAGTGTTGGATCGTTAGAAGTTTATCAGTCAGTAATTTACAACCTAGAATCTGGCATATATTTGTAGTGAACGGTTTAAGTTTCTACATTACATAAGCATAGCATAAAGAAATTATGATAATTCTCATACTAATGAAGGTGTCACTACTAGTAAAAAAGGTGTGTAAAGGGAATAAAAGTCTTAAAAGAGGATTATGGTACTCAGTATCTAATGGTGAACAAATGTTCCACACATTTTCAAGAAAATCATGAACCTAGATTATGTGCTAGTTGACACTCTCCAGGAAGGCGTATTTACAGTCTTCATTGACGAAATTTGATCAACACTAAATTTCTTGACTAATATGACGCTTGTCACCATTCACTGATCAGTAAGCTGCAAATATTTCAGTCTTACAGCAAATCAGTCCTAGTTTTGATTGATTAGTGGTAATATTTTACACATTGTAGCTGGCCGATATCGGTTCGAATCTCACGGGAAGCATTAATTTCACCAAGGGTTGCAGATAATCCTTGCTGAAGAATTTCTATTTGAATAAAACTTGGATCTAGGGATTCCTATCGACTACATCTAACCCCCTAACATCAAAATATAGTTTAACCAATGTCACGTCACTGAGATTTTTGATAACAACTTGTTTGTTAGTATTCGATCAGCATTAAAGGGCTTAACAAACATTAAATCGATTAATACTTTTTGAACAATCAGTTGTAGAAGTCATTCGTTAAAACGTATGCGCCCTATATTTTGTGTTTATGATATTTTTACTCACATTAGTTTACATCTTGGTACTTAATTTTAAAGGTTTTATTGAATTTCTATTTTTCAAAATGATTCAGTGGTTCTTTAGGATTAATGATTGGATTTGAAACCAAGTCTGATTTGCAATGAGGAAAGTTATATTCATATTTCAGGTGAATGATCTTGCTAATATTTCGTCTTTTGTACTGCATGGTTTATTTGCTTGTTATGCCTTTATTTTCATTCAGTAAAAAATCTACAATATTTCTAATGGAAGTGATCTTTAAAAGTTTTGTTCTTTAACTGTGTGTAATCAATCAGTTCACTATGTAGTTTTACGCTTTAATCAACTGTTTTGTTAGTTTTACATATTACCAGTTGACCTTTTTCTCATTTATTGATCAGTCAGTTCTGTTTATTGATTACAATCTTCAGACCTTAATACTCTTAATACTTTTAGATTTTATTTAATCTAGAATTGTGATGTTTTTTTACTGAGTCAAAATTTATGTTCGTAGATTTCCACTTGTATTTGTTATAAATTATGGCCTTGAGCCCCCATCAATATGTGACGTAATGATACCACCAATTACAGATCAGTGATTTATCGATCGGACCAATGACATATAGAACCCGTACGAGCAGTCTAGAGTCATTATCAGTCCTGCTTCCTGCCTAGCCCTACCTGTTATGTCCAGAACTCCGATTTCAGCCTCTGCGATATGAATCATTTATTTCAAACACTGGGTTCATATACAAATCAAACAAATCACATCGTACGTAAAATAGAAAATAACCTTTGTACAAGATTTAGCCAAAAGTGGCTGTGAACGTGGGATATAATAATTGATAGACTGGACATAACTCGAGAATGGTAAATCGTATAATAATATTTTATAGGTCAAAATAAAGCTCATAATAAGAGGAACACGTATATGAATGGTTTAGTTACTTATCAATTATACAATGAAATATATGTATAGTGTTAGTCCAGAAATAGATTCCAGTTACCATTAATTATTTTATCGGGATATAACATCTCCCTTTTTTTGATGATTCGGAGTTGATATCCGGATTTTAAATTTTCCGACTTTATCCTCCTCCGCAAAATGATGTTGGATCCTCATATTCCCAAGTCACAACTTATATGACTATTCAGAACGAATTTGTCTCATTGAACAGAGAATCCATTAATAGTAGCTAGATGAAGAGGATGAACGCCATTTGACTTGAGGTCATCAGAGTCTGATTCTTCTGAAGGGTTTTCTCAGATTTATTGAGTATCTAATTAGTAGATAATGGATCACTAGAGTAATCAGTATCTATGAGAATTTCATTTTCTTGACCAATCAGAACATGATGGATCTTTCTAGAATATCAATGTGGCATGCTACTATCGAACAGTAGCATAACATGTTTCTTTGTGGATTGGCTGAATTATAATGTTGATATAATAAGCACTAATGTCTGTAAACATCCATAATTTTCTGTACATTTTGATTTTTGCCAAATAAGTGCTTCTCCAGTCTTCTTCTGTTTTTTGATTTGCGACTCTGGGAGTTCTATACGTTCGAGTGCCGTAGTTGTATACTGTATTCTGTGTTATCAAGTAGTGAACTTAACAGTATTGTGATATAAGCGACGGAATGTTATGCCACTTAACTGCTAATCTGTATTTATTTGATGAATGTTAAGATACGTTTCTTTAACTTTGTGTTTATGACTTCAGATTACTGGAGTGAGGAGTTTTGAGCTGCCCTAGGTTGTTTTTGCACACAAATTTGCTTTTCAATTCGCTATTGACTTGTCTTTGCTTTAGTTCTGTACTTGATCCATATGGCTAAATTTTCCACACAATGTAATCTCTGATCTTTATCTGTTTGTTTCATGAATTAAGACATATAAGAACGATATTTTCGTCCAAGTTTACGCCTCTTGAAAGTATATAATTTCGAAGATGTGATCGATCATCCTATGTATATTGTCAAGAATTACATTTTGGTATAACTTTTATAATTACTCAGTTACGATTAAGAATCGTTTCACTGAATAAATAAGGACACTTATTCCGTACATAACTCAGATTCTCTACTGTTACTATTATTGATTGGTTGTGCTAAGAGTTAGATATGGTCAAGGATGCCAAGCAAGAAAATTCTATTTTTAGTAGTTTACAAGCTGAACTAAATATTATTTCACATTCATGTTGGGTTAATAATACAGACCAAAGATGCTAGCAGTGCAATTTTCACAGCTAAATAAAATGTAGTTTAGTCAATGAAAATCAACTTAAATTCTTCTATCATTCATTTTCAAGTTTGTCATTTGCACATCGAGTTTTTATTTTCAAACCAGTTTTGAATTTCCTCATTGTTCTGGGCAAACGTTTTGCTGTTTATTTTCACGTAGCATAAAATTTATCGTCTGGGTGTCGTGTTACTAAGTATTTGTAATACCTCATTGTCGATATTCAGGATTGTAGTTGGGCAGGTTTCCATACAGTGATCCTGTGCGGATCGGGTCTCATTCTAAAGAAAAAAACATTCGTCCTGAATTTTACTGATAGCCAAATATCAGACGTACTAAGATCAGATTACGATAGGGCTTTCTCAATCATCCATCCGTTCATTCATCCTGCAACAAAAAATAATTAGAAGTAATAAGTTTTCTTTCTGCAAGTAAAAGTTATTTTTGTATCTTCAGTCAATCAACATCACATGCCAAATTTACCTTTTAGAATTCTAATTTTAACTTTGTCTAATTCACATCTACTATTTCTTCTATAGCCTAATGCCCCAATTATATGCCTAACCAGAACTATTAATTTTTAACCAACGCCGCTAAAATTCTATTAGTCTACTATTTGTAAGCTCTTATGTATTCTTTGCCGTCAGTTCAAATCGTCAGCAATCAGCTTCTACTATTATTAAATTTTAAACATATATGGGTTTATATACGTACATGCTCAACCTCATTGCTGAATAAAATATAAATCATTACTATACATAAATGAGCCAAAAATGGTTTTGAAAAATCGATTGGGAACAACATACAAGATAATAATTAGTTTAATAATACTTAATAGGTTAAACGGAAGCTTATGATAAACAGGATATATGTACATAGTAATCCAGTTACTCAGTAATAATTCAAAAACCAGTTTTAACGTTTACAATATACAGCTCGTTATATCAGTTATCATGATCTGCGTATGACATAATTTGAAAAGAAAAAAAACTTTGTTTCAGATCTAAGATTTTAATATTAAATCGTTAAACATAATCGAGCCCCGCGTGGTGAGGGATCGTGGATGCGCACTGCTGACGAGTCCCATACTAGGATGAAACGGCCGTCCAGTGCTTCCAGGTTTTCAATGATGGTCTAGCTTCAACTGACTCATGATTTCAATCTGTGAAATATTTAGGAAAATCAAGTAAATATTTATTTTTATTTCATATTGTGTTGTTGTGATTATCTGAAATTGATCATGAAATGTTCAGTGTAGTTCATGAATTTACAATTCTACAGCTTTAATTATTGTTGTAATCTTAATGTCAGTTGTTTGATGGTTAGTTAAATGACTTATCAATATATAGAGTTATATCAGATGATACAAAAATAACTACTATTGAGTTTTTATTTAATAGTTAACAGTTCAGTGTTATTATCGTTGGTACAACAAAATGAAGAAATTGAAAGATGTTGACCCTAAGAATAGTATACGGATATAGTAGGTCAGTTAGAAATTGTTTAAATGAAAAATGTATGTGATTGATCAAGAAATAACTTGAATTTCTAAAAATATGATCTACATCTTTGGTAGCTAGATCTTCTAAAAGACATATATATGAGAATACATCCACCGATTCAGTTTACTTCATAAGCGTCCCTCTCATTCAGTTTTTTTCACTTGAGTAACTGATTAGGCTCGTATATAGGAAGATTGCATATCGCAGTCGAAATCGGACAAAGCACACCGCTCACCTTACTATACGGATTTCTGTCGCTGGTGATAAGGCCTCACATGTGCATAAACAGCACATCAAGAAAAGACGGGGGTACAAATATCATTAATCAATTGTTTCTTATGTAGTGCGATCACATTCTCAGCTTTCCAAGATCACTTCTTATCGAGTTCGCCTTTCATATTCACCTCATGAATACGTATCTTTTTACAATATATGTAGCCTGGAAGTGACAGTGGTTCACATACCCTTTATACCACTCGAGATCACTTTGTTCATGACTTACCAGCTGATAGATTGGATATTTTTCTATATCGTTCCACACAACACAATAGTATTCTTTAAATGTACTCCACTTTATTTGCTTATTTGTTTTCTTCTTTTCTTCCCCTATTTATAACAGTCGTTATAGTGCTCAGAATTCTGACAAATTAAATCAAGCCACATTGTTAAATCATATCACTGTTTTAGAAAATTGGTTATTAAAATTTGTGAAAATTGTTGGCGAAGAAAACAATCTTGTACGTGAACGAATTACTGAAGTCGAAGGGAAAATAAAAGGTAATGAACTTATTAGTTAATAGTATCACTATTATTATAATTATTGCCTCCTCTCAAACGATGTATAAATAGTTTCATTACATAGTGTACTCAATTTATAATGATACCATTAGTTATTCATTGTTTACAGTTTTCTATCATATAGGGTGTAATTAGTTGTCTTTTACTAATTATATGTATATATACATAATTACTTCATGTAGATTTCTTCCACATCTAATTATGCAATAATATTACTCATACTTTGAGCGGTTTTAGATTTGGAACACATGATTTTGCAACCTTTGCTTCACTAAAGAATAAGTGATATATATAGAACTATGGATTTTCAGTCTCTGTTTCTTTTATTTCTACTGTTTGAGTTTCATTAATCTGTAATTAATTAGTGATTCCTTACTTTATATCATCATTATGTTCGATACATATTTGTTAGGAATGCTATATTCTTCATTATAATGTATTACATTAAAAAATAACTCATTTCAATTATTGGATAAAAGTGAAAACAGGATGTACCTAAGTAGAGTAATGACTCAGGGATAAATGCGTTTAACGTTTATTCACAAAGCTATATGCTCAAATACTATTACACTCAATTTGAGTAATGTCACTAGACTTGAGATTTAGTGTGTGACTTGCAATAACTAAGTATACAAATCTATACCTTATAAGTCTGTATATAAATATATTACCTTATTTCCTACACATAGTTCCCTTTGCTTTGGAACATACCTTATCTTAAATATTCATTGATGTGACATATTTAAAAAAGAATTCATTTTAAAAAGTTAAACTCTGTTTGCGTACCCAGACTAAATTCTGTACTAGTTAGCTAGTCCTGTTAGCATAGACCAGAGATCAGGTTTCTCCAACCAATTTTATCCTGTACTTTCTTTTCTAGTCTTTGCAAAATGCTACTCATTCTTTTTATGTGTATCTCCAATTCTCGATGCAATATGTTCTTTACTTTTCCCCTTTTCTTTTTGCCTTAAGGATTCTAAGTTAAGGCTTGCCTCTTGATACAGTTTAATGGGTTCCGAAATATGTGTCTTATTCATCTTCAGCATCTTTTCTTAGTTTCCTCTTCGCCGGAAGTTGGTTTGTTTTATCGTACAGTAGGTCGTTGCTGATGATATCCTGCAAACAGTCATTGAGTATCTTGCGTGGGAAATTGTTTATAAATACCTGTACCTTTTCTATTATGGTTGTAGTAGTTCTCCAAGTTTCAGCTCCATACACTCGAATTATCTTGATGTTTATATTGCAGATTCTGACTTTGATATTGGTTGACAGTTGTTTTGAATTCTGTATGTAATTCAACTGTAGGAATGCGGCTCTTGCTTTCCAATCTTCGCCTTTATGTCTGCATCGGATCATCTTTGTTCATCGACGATTCTGACCAGGTACGTGAAAGTTTCCACCTCTTCCTCACAGTCAAAGTAGTTAATGTATAGTGACAAATTCCATTCGACAGATTTGTTCTGTCCTGATGCTTTCACACTTTTGATTTGTCTGATGACCATCCTGGTTTTCTTGATTATTGGTGAAATGACATCTATAGGAAGGTTTGTATGTGCTGCTTCTATATTTGGTGGGTTCGGTAGAGCTGGTCTACTCAAGAGTTCTTTATATTGTTCTATCCACTTGTTCCTCTCTTCTTGAATCTCAGTGATTGGCTTGGATTCTTTCTCTTTGACTAGTATCTCTGGTTTACTATATTTCCCTCCTAGTTTCTTCGTTCTTTCATATATCGTTCTCTATCAGCTTTTTCCACTGTTGTTGCTAGGTCTTTCACGTATTTCTGCTTGTCAGCTCTAATGCTCCTCTTCACTTACTTTTTTCTTTCAGTGTATGCAGCTTATGCCTTGACCTTCTCTGTTCTTGCTCGGCTGTTGTTAATTGCCGTCTTCTTGTCCTTTCTTGAATCGTGTTCAGGATTTCGATGGAGATCCACTCCTTACTATATTACCTCTTGCGCCCCAGAACCTCCTGACTCGTTAAAGTTAGTGCTTCTTTAGTTTCTTTCTGTTGTTCTACATCCCATAGTCTTCAGTCAAAGGGATCCAACTTCTCGTGATCCATGTTTTTGATGTTATATGGTGGTTGTAGGGTAACCAGTAGAATACCTTGACTGTAATTTCATGCTACACATCATTCGTCAACAAGGTGCGTCTGAACTCGTGAGGAAACCTATACTACTTACTACCTGTGGGACTATAACTCATGTTACATAATTTCACAGTCCCAGATGTTACCATCGTGCTCTTCACGTTCTCTCGGCAACTACTTCTAACCATCTCTTTTTACATAAGATTGAATTGTGATTAATATTCAAGGTTTTAAAAGAACACTCTTCTACAATTGCGTCTAATCCTAATGAACACTATTTTTAATCTGCACTGGTTGTACTTTTTACTCATCCACCTCTGCATCATGTAATGCTTTTACTCTTAGAATGAGGGGTTTGTGGAGATTGTGGTGATTTTAATGGTTGAATTCATGAGTCGATGCAAGTTAGACCATCATTGAAAACCTAGAAACACTGGACGACCGTTTCGTCCTAGAATGGCACTCCTTAGAAGTGTGCATCCACGATCCCGCATGAAGGACTCGAAGGTCCTTTTATTCGTCTAATTCACATTTCTCGTTCTGTTTGATTAACTGTCATCAAAGAGTAAAATTAAAGAATATTAGGTATAGAAAAGTTGACAACATTAATCAATATTACATGATTAAAATATTTTTTTACATTCAATAGTCATAATTTAACAACATACACACATACGTATATACACATACATGGATACATACATACACACGAATGCATAGTAGTCACCATTATGTCTGTTACATTCTCTTTCTAGTGATTCTTGATTAATTACTTTTATAAGTGTAATGAATACTTTTTATGTTATAATGTCATATGACAATAACAGTTTAATTGTCACCATTTTTTTCTTGACTCTACACAAATAAACAATACACTCAATGTATGTGTATATGTTTGTATGTGGTGTTTACACTCATGAATATCTAAGTGACATTCTTCCACTTTTTTACCTTGTATTGTACCGAGTGTATATTTAATATATATATATATATATATATATATATATATATATATTTGAAACTTTGAGATGTCAATAAAGTATATATAGAATCTATTAACGGTTTATGTGTAATAATATTCAGGTCAGTCATTATTATAGCTATTACATTGACTGTATTGGATTATTGATAAATCATCGTCAAATTACGACACCTGTAGCCGTAAGCGAAATGTATTCATCTGTCAATTGAAGAATGAGTATACTTTAAAAGGAGTTTGCTCTTCTGTATAATCTATGGCTGTGATGCGCAACTTTTCGAAAAGTGGAGAATGTATATATAGGTTACTAGTTTTGAGTCACAGATATCATCACAGTATGGTTTGCCTTTGTTGTAACAAACGAGTAATCAATGCAGAGGTTTGACTCATTATTAGGTAGAGATGGCAAATCAGTTGATGAGTTAGTTAACTTTTATTGACTGAAGTCGTTGGAACCTTTATTATGTATACACAACCCGTCACTTACCTCTACAAGTAATTCACGATGGTGTAGGAGTGGGTTAGCAATAAGATAGGGATGATCAAAACAAAACTTGGCATCAGTTCTTGAAATCATCAACTGTTATACTGCGTCATGTAGGTAGGTGTAGGCTACTCTGTTGTGATCCACGCGATAACATGAATCGACGAATAATGAAAGGAAAGGAAGTAGATGTCTCAAAACGATTTATTTCTTGTCGTTGTTAGAGGAGACATGTGGAAACTTAATACAACTAGCATTCGATTTGATGTATGATTTTCGAGAAGTTTAGTCTTTTTTGTTCACTAACTATTACAGATGATCACTGATATGTCTCTTGTTTAGTTTTATACATCTAAAAAACAGGTTCTTTGACAACTGATTGTTATATATGCGAACAATAAACTAGTCAGTATAATTTTTCGTTTATCTGATAGCTTTCAAATTTAATACACCTACATATATTATAACCAATTCGTAATATACTCCTACCGATTGAACTATGTAATCTTGAATTTAGTAACCCTGAAAGTCATATATGCAATGGTAAGGTGCGTCATGATAAAATATAATGTTTACTTTATGGATAAGTTTACCTTTACATACAGTCGCGTGCTTCTGAGAAATTGTATGTTTTACTACAATGTCTGTGAACCTGCAAACATGTATACAATGTGTAACACTAAATCATGTCAATCTAATAGTTTTATATATGTAAGTTATATCCGTCACACGTTCATCCCATTTGGGGCACCACTGAAGACCAGGAAATGCTGAACATAGATTTTATTCTAGTATGTAGTTTATTAATCGTGTGCATCCACAATCCTACTAGGGGTAGAAGCCAAGACGTTCAGGTAATATGGCGAGCTTTTACCATCAGGAAAAGTGGGTACGCGTTCAATATGTAACCTCAAAATCAAATCAATCTTTACAAAAAATTTTCAACTGAAAGATTATATTATTTCACAGGTTGAAATCATGATAGGTTTTTGGTTTGTGGTTTGTGGTTAACAGTTGAACGAAGGATGCGCTATTTACCCTACTTATAATTCGTTAGCTAGATGTATTTTTCATCATCAGTCAATAATACCCACTAGAGAATAATTCAGATTCTTTATAATAATGATATAAACATTAAACCCACTGAACAATGGTTAGGGGTTATCTGGACTCCAGTAACTCAGTGGATGGTGCGTTGGTAGTTTGAAGCGAAAGGTTTTGGGTTTGAGTCCTAGTATCCACAATTCAACATTGAGATGCGGCTGTATCCAGTTAACGAGTCCTGAATAAGAGGCAACGTATTTCTGTATCTCATTGTTAACCGTAATCCATTTATTCTGTAAAAACGTGTGATATAATCGATTCATTGCACACAGGATGTACATAATCTAATTTAGACCGATCAAAATTCAATCACGAGTGTGGACCATTAAAATTGCTTATAATTATGAGTATTTATTTCTGATACTTTTGTTTGTTTTTTTATAGGTGTTTTCTACTTCTGATCATTACTGTTATTGTTAATGTTTTTCTCTTACTTGTTTTGCTTTAAACATATAGCCATCATAGAAAGTCATTTAATCAATTTACAAGATATTTACCCTAAGGTACAAAATATTCCACATATGAAAAAGGTATGAATTTTATCATATAGTCTACTAAATACTTTTGATTATTCATACTAAATCCAATTTAAATTTACACATTCACCAAGTACTTGTGTATATGTTATGCTCTAAACACAAAGGCTAACAATATTATTTAGTTACGCAATTCAAAATAGGGCGAGGCACAAACTAAGGACGTGGTAGGTGAAAGTTGAATACTTTAACCACTGAGGTGCCTCTGTATCAATTATTCATATTGGTAATGATTACTATTATCGTTACCAATATAGAATAGTTAGATCTGTTAGACACAGTTTTTTTTTCCAAAGAGTTTATTAAAAATTCTGCATATGTTTCCGTTTCTACATACTTTGCGTGTAGTTACATGTGGGCTTTATTTCTAAAACCATAACTTCTGTCCTCAAATTCATGTTTATATTATTCGGATTTTGGAACAAAAAGATTGGTTTAAACTTCAAATTCATTCATGCTTTGAATATGAAAGCTTTTATTATTTCATTCATGAAGTGTATTTATATATTAAGGATTGATTTGCTGACAGCTGGTTTCACATGGTCACTTTCCGCTGAAACAGGATTTTGATTTGGACTTAAATGGTCAAAATGAGGCTGATGATAGTATAACTGGTGATAATAAGATAAATCAGTACAAACGTAGATAAAATATACTTCACATTTAGAGGTTATTAAGGAATATCGCGGTATTGAATTGGATGTTTCCAGTCATATCCATTATGGAATCATCAATAAATGTTATGATTGAAAAAAAAACTATTTTTTTTATTATTGCTCAGGATTCATTCATTTTGAAATTTGTTGTCAAAGTTGGATTTAATATTTGAGATGTCGTACATGAACTCATACCAAAATAACATTTTGACGAATTAGTCAATTAACTAAACTATTGTACTTAATTATCTTTCTACCGAATTGTCACAAGCTAATTGTTTACTTAGCAGGAACTTAATCAATATTTGTTCTATAAATGATCTGACAATGTGTTATGTCTGGTGTATTGTGGCTGTTGTGCATGGATTTACTCGTTTAAGTTCTCAGTCTTACTACCTAAAATTGACAATCAGAAATCACTGGGATTCCTCGATTCTGTTGCTTAAACTTGAAAACAGGAACCATTGCAATTCTCACAATGCAAAGTAAGAACACGAAGGATGAGTGTGATAGAGATAATATTGGCTCCCCAACTATACGTCATCAAATAAATCTCAAAAATCGTCACTAGACCGATATAATATCGTTTATGTACTAATTTTTATACAATCGTATCACATAGGAAGCAGACGCACTGTAAAAACGAACAGGTCCAGTATAGTTCACCTGGATTGTGATGCACGGAATATAAATGTAATCTATTAATCCTGTCGTATCATAATCATATTTGTATGCTTAGGAGTTGACATTGGATTCTGATTTCTTTCACATGTATTTGTGTGTTTTGTAGCCTGAGATTGCCAATCCAGTCCTTCTACCTGGTGAAATCGCTATTCCAATTGGTGGTTATGATTGTTTATCATGTCAATTATTGCCAGATGGACGTTATGAACGTAATGATTATCAACTATTGGATCCATTCAATAGTAATATTATTAATCCTAACATCAATAATGGAGGTCATGGTAACGACAGTAACGACAATATCAATACTAAACAAGATTCACTTGGAAACTTGGATGCAAGTGATTTAGATGTAGATCTTATGCTTAGACCATTATTACCTGCTCAAGGAGCGTTATTTATTACCAATTATCGTATAATATTCACAGGTGTACCAAAAGATCCATTTCGTAAGTTTTTTTTTTAATGCTAACAAATTCAACCAGTGAGATTGTTGTCAACATAGGGAAAATTCTTAGTAAAAGTATTAGGAAATACTTATTGTGGTAAGAGTAACTGGGAATTAATACAAACATGAGTTGAAAAGACAACGCAGATACCATTGAGCTAGCATTTTTATGTCTTTTACTAATAAACTTATTTTAATTTGTGTATACTTCTTTTTTCCATAGATTAGTGATTGTGTAAATATGATCTAAATTGAACCACAGTTTTATCCAATAGCTTGTGTATTTCTTGGTTAAATGAAGCTAAATATTTACCAAATACCATGGGCTTATCAACTTTACTCTTTTATCATTTGATCCTATGTCTGATTGGACTAGCGTATTTCATTTATATATGTATTATGAACATTTGAGGCATTCAAGTGATTGACTATTTCCACTTCGTTTTTCTTCTTACATGGAAAACGAATTATACATTTAAATACACACTATATAAACCAATAAGTTGATTAGTGTGAACATTTTGTAAATAAGGTGAAAAAGCAAACACAACTAAATTTACATAGTAAGTTGAATTCATTTGTATTACAAGGCTTGTCATTATCATCTATAAACACATTCAATCTACGTTAGTATTATCATTATAAAAAGGTTTTATATACCATAATCAATGAAGTTTTTCTCAAAAAAAATATATGTGAAACAAGATGAGGAAACAAGATATTCAATATAACAATTAAGATCAATTTGTATTTGTATGTTCAAGGTGAAAGTATGAAAAGAATGCGGTAAAATTATAAATGATAATAAAGAGATAATGAATAAAAACAATTTGTTTTAACAAATAAATGATAATTAAGTTACATAGTTCACATAAAATGAATAAAGTCAATATCAATATGAGTCTTTTTTTTATTTTGAAGTTAAAGAATACAATAAAACAATAATGTAATTTACCAACTTGAAAATTATATACCCATCTCACCATAGCAACAATATGTTTCCCACACTTTCTTTCTGTGTATAAAGGTCAGGTTGGAAGCGCATGATAATGATGGTCTTCGCAAAGTGGAGTTAAAATGATGTTCTCTTATTGATAACATCCTTGTGTTAACCACATTGGTTTCTCTATCCACTAAATATCTAGGAATTGCACTTGTGAATACTGTACTTTTAAACTCAACTTTTGAGAAATATATGCAGAAACCTTGGAGATGTGCTCTTCTTTCATTGTTTCCTATGTAACGAACCCCATAAATATTCTAGTTTTCCCACCTTTACCTCTTTTCCAACTTATTGCTACACGAAGAGGTTACATATGTCCTAACCACCTTACATGGTGATGGAGTACTGGAACTTAAGTGAATATTGATCAATGTTAAATATTTTATATCCATTATTTTTTGTGAGGGATCGTTAATGACTGCACGTAATAATTATGATTCCATTGGTCCATTTAACACTTTTATCTTATCCTCCAGAGTCTAATAAAGTGATCAATCGAAGTTTCCCTATATCTGCATTAAATACTATCAAAAAGCTTGGCTGTGTTCAAATGATTACTGCTTTTCAATCATCATCAACCAATCCTAGTTCATTAACAACAATAACATCTGGTTTCCGTTCAGCAACATTATTTGTTGGTAAAAAATCTAAATCAAACACAGTGTTTGGTAAAAATACTTCATCAAGATATCTATCGACAGCATTACGTCCAACGTATTCAGCTACTACAAATCGTCATGGTGTGGTTTATCGTACTGAAAATCTGGATGTTCTATTACTACGTGCATTAACTTTTCAAATGCTTAAAATTGGATTTGATGTTGGTGAAATACAACCGGAAACGAGAGATGAATTACGTAGTCTGCTAGAAGAATTGCGTTATCCTTCAATGATGTGCATGGGATTTAACTCAGCCCCATTAGGTTTGCTCTTCTCGCGATCTACGAATGCAGTGGGTAATCGTTCTACACTTACAGATCTAAATAATGATACTAGTAGTAATACAAAAGACTATGTTTTACCAAATATGGTTCGTATGAGGCATTTGAAAGGTAAAACCCATAGAAGCAATATGTTAACAGATGCAAATTATTCTTCAATGACGAATGGGGATCGCAGGTATTTAAAATTCAGGTCATTAGCGTATTCCGAATTTTGTTTGTTTGTTCAAGTTATTCCTTTTTTATTTTATTATTGTCATTCTGTTGGTTACAGTAATCGAGATAACCGGATGAAGGATTCTAATCTTAATCAGATCACTTCAGAAGGTTCCTTCTTTCTACCTTATTTCGTTTTGATGAATTGACCAGAAAGAATCTTCTTTAGTGTCTGTCTTCTTCGTAGTTGTAAACCAGTATTTATTTTCAACTGGACTGTCGTTATTTTATGGTCTTGAATATTTTCTACAAACAATATGTTTTTTCGAATCCGTAGTTTTTTCAATTAGTCTCTCTGTATGTGTACCAATGGTATGTAATCGCATACAATATAACATAATTATTCACTGTTATTATTGTACCAGTACTAGCGATTAGACAAGAGTGAGATGAAACAATGTTCAGTGGTTAATCAAAGTCGATCTTTTCGCCCTATAGGTTCGAATGACTCAACCATGTCAATAGTAACACTAGTTGACTCTCATTTGGAGCATGCAAAGAGCATTAGTTCTTTTGTCTAAGAAGACCCTATGTTATCTAGTTTTTTGACTATTTGTTGACTGTTTATTGTAACGATAACCATAATTTTTGTAATTCACATTTCCCCGAAATGTTTAGATACACGTTACCGACCAACAATAAGTCTAGGTTCATAGCTTATTGCTAATTATCTCCAACCTCCTGGCGGCGTTAATACATTTTATTCATAAACGTATAAATAAATAAATATATAATTTATTCTGTTAATCTTTCTATTTTTTATTCCGGTCTTTAGGCGTAACCAGCAATTTGTTAACTCAGACAATAAAACTCTGATACATCAATCGTCTTTGCGTTCTCCTAAGAACCCTCGTTATAGTCAACTGAATTGTATGCTACCTCCTGCTTTTCAAAATAGTAAGTTTGTAGTTTACATTTTATATTAGGAGATATACTTTTCTAATTTTCAAAGATTATAATTCGGCATATGTTATTATGTAAAGCGGTAGCTCAGTGGTTGATCTATTCACTTTTCAGCTACCAAGTTGCATGTTCGAATCTAGTTCTTTTTTATTTGATTTGGGCAATCGGGTGGTATCATTAACTCTCACGCGTTCACTGTAGCTGAAAGCCATGTACAGGAGTCTATACCCGACGAATGGGTAGATGTGGTTATTCTTTGTAAATGTAGCATAACCATTCTGGACGCCTGAGTTAAATTCATACTGTATTTCAAAGAAATCTTTGGAATACTTATCGATTAATTTTTCTCTTCTTATTTTAATACAACCGAAACCAAAAATGAAGGCTATTGAGTTATTGCAAAATTTCTATCGTACAATATAATGTAATCAAAGAGGTTTGGAGGAGACTGATTGAATCTTTTTGTTGTGTTTGCTAGGGATCGACCTCAGCTTGCTGTATCATTGAAAGTTAAGTAGTGCTAGACAGTTGTTTCATTTTAATACAAAGCTCTTTAGGGGTGCATGTCCATGACTCTTTCATGGATCTAACCTAAAACGTTTAGGTCTCGTCAATCGTAGATTATCAATTAACATATAACTTTTTAGACTGTATGTCGACCTTGAATTCATCGAATATTCTATACTGCATACAACTAAGTGATATACAGAAACTCAAATCAGATTCTTGTTTACCTTACTTCATTGGAAAAAAACGTTTTCCATTCTAAAAGATGAGGAAAGAGAGATCTTTATTCAGTTGTCAAAAGTTTTTGTCTACTTATTTGGATTATTAATATGAGCCAGAATTACTGTTTATCTTTTCACGATTTCCAATAAGCAGTCCCATCAGTATTCATACATGTGATTGTGAATTATTTGCATACATCTACATGTCTACCTTCTTTCCAGTGGATCTTCTTGATTAAAAAGTTTTTTATCTTTGCGAATAATAACTATGTAATAGTTTAAACCTTTATTTTAAACTTTCATGTTTAAAAAAAACAATTACAGCTATTTCTCCTGAAGAAGCAGCCGCTAATTTAGCTGCTGTGTTAAAAGCTTTTCTAGTACCTCCGTGTGTATCTGCATCATCGACAGCTTCAACAGCTGTTGACCCAAATTTTATAAGACTATTAACACAATCTGCAGGCTATTTGGACATGGCACGTTTCGGAAGTAATTTGAATCCGGGAAGCACTACTGGTGCTACAGTATTGGCTGCAAAAACTTCAGCAACACTGACGGTACCGTCAAATAATCTTCCGGCTGGACTGGATGAAAACGGCAGTGGTTCTTTGAATCGTTCTTCTGTCGGAGCTGGAAGTAGTACTGGTAGTCGAGGATATTGTGGTGCTCGTCTTGTTGCGTTCAATGTTCATCATACTTTAGTGAAATCTTATCCAAGTTTTTTCATCATACCACAGGTAATTTTATTCTATTTGTAAGTAGTATTTATTCTATAGTTTTTGATTATCATTGAAATAATAGTTGGAAATTACGTAAATTAAGATCAGTGGAAAATAAGTGTTTACTCATTTATTCATTATTCATAAACAATAATGATGCCATTCAACGATTTCATATGTAATTTTTTATCGAATCATTCTGTTTGTGCTTAACCTTTTCTTCATTCTCTATTATCACTACAACTTCTGCTATTCAAGTATGTAACCTTATAATTTTGTCTCACTGTACTAATGTGATAATGAAACTTGGAAAAACACTCCCTACCCCGCATATATACCAGGTTTCAGATTGTTTATGATTGATACTGGTTTATTGTTAACATTGACAGAATAGTGAATCGTTTTAACTAAATTATTTTATTTTTATTTTTTATAAATGTTCCATAACAAGATCTTTTGTAGTCTAGTTTAACATATTTCAAACAAATAGTTTTTATAGTAAGTGACATACAAGTGAATACTTCGTAAAAACAGTCTAATATGAAATTGATTAATTATATGTAACTTCCCTGGACACCGATTATCACAATGCGCAATGCTGACTAGTGTTGGAGACGGTTGAAAGAAAGTTAGGTGTGGCCAAACCAAAATATGTCGTCAGTCATCGAGGTTACTAACTTTTAGTCTGAGCTATATTGGTAGATACAGACTGTTTGGTTGGTTTCTGCGCGACTATCGTAACCAAGGGTTGGAGACTCTAGGTGACATGGCTCAGAATCTATCGTAATGGCGTAGGTGTATACACTCTCTGTTTTCTCCAAACTTGCTTTATACCTTTCTTTCTACTAACTAATTCTTTCTTCCTGTATTATATCATTATACACAATCTTCCTTTAATATATTTCTACCATTGAAGTAAATACTTCGGTATTGTTCTCGTTGTGCTAATAAGGTGTGACATCTTGTACCGTTGCGTGTATGTGCCTGGTTTTACGTTATAGTTGACTGACTGACTGTCTAGTTAATTTATCTATCTGCTTTATATACATATATATATATATATATATATATATATATATATATATATCACCAAGACTAAATCACCAAGTGAAACATCGTCTAAAATTTATTAATTCTTAATTTTATAGACATTAATTTAATTTTCTACATTACATTGAAGTATTATTCAGTAATATTCATATGATTGATTGTCTGATTTTCCCGTAACACTCATCATCACCATCGTGTTTCACTGGATTTTAGAAATTCTGCAATACCGATTTGCATAGCAATACTAATACTAACACTTTTACTGATAATAGTTGTATTGTTTAAAGTTTTGTGTTCATTATAAGCAACCTCACTTGACTCCACTGATATTCTTTGAGAACAAAACCCATCATAATGGTGATCTTCATGATTCTTTCTGTAGGGAATGATTCTTTTTATGTTTAATTATTCTTAGATTTCATTGTAAAAGAAGCTGAACTGTATTTTGAAAGTTCAGTTTGTCATTTTTTGTTTTAAGTAAGTTAGTTCATAAATTGACATATGGATTGTTAGCTTCAATGCAGTTATCTATATGTAACAGTATATCAGTGAACTGAGAGAACTAATATCTAATGAAAACATAAGTTCTCTCGTAATTATTTAAATTGTTAGCACCATCTTCAAATTAGAAAGTATCGTGAACAGAATGCTTAGATACTTAACTGCTCACTTGTTCAAATTTTTAGACCAACCATTATCTAATTCTGTAGATCTGATCTTAGCCTATACCTCGTAAAGTACTTTAATTGTCATTAGAAGTAAATATTTTAAAGAATTTGTATAGATTGAACTCCTTTATTATCAATTTTATCTAATATCTTACTCCTAATTAATATATTACTGTTCTTCATTTTTTCCTATGGATACTAAACATCCAATACAACCGATGCGATACCACCTCAATGTTTTTTTTTTCATTAGTCTGTCGGTCATTAATCAATTAATAGTAGTAACGTTTGTCAATCCTCTTTGTGCCTTCCTCTTCACTTTGTTGCTCATAGTTTTTTTTATAAAAAAAACGTACTCTGTAATAAGAGTTAAATTTCCAAATTCATGGAATTTATATTCGTCTAGGATTTATTCGGCTTGTTTTCTATTTCGTTTCCATTTTAACACTACTGAATGCTTACGTTAACGATTTATTATTCATAACTGAGCTTTTTTATTCTATTTATTTCATTTCATCATGTTGTTGTATTTACACTATCGTTCGTAAAGTAACTTACAATTTCTGCTATTCTAACATTGTCATTTATAATTTTGTCTTGTTGAATCAATGTGATATTAAAACTTACACAGAGATCCCTGTATGTGCAAGGTTCTACACTGTCTATGAACTGCCTGACTTACTAGAGATAAATCCATTAATATGTCTTACTCTTTACTCTTAATCTTTTGTTGAACACTCTGAGTAACACATACTTATGTCAGATTCGACTATTTAGTTTAAATGATAACTTTGGCATTTACTTCATTTTTCCAATTTCTATATATTTTTCTTAAAGGGTATCACTCAGAATTGTTTAGCTAAAGTAGCTCGTTCACATAGACGTGGTCGTTTTCCAGTGGTCACATGGCAACATCCTGAAACTAAAGCTTATCTATTACGTGGGAGTGAAATACAATCAAATGTAATTTTGAATACTTTCAAAAATATTAAATCTTCATCTAAAACCAACACTGGAGATTATGGTATGTAAATTCTTTCTTTCTTTTTAAAAAAACAACAACATATATTAACCTCAATCAGTTTTTCACTAATGTTATCAGATTATACAAATGAATTATTTGAATACTTAACTCAAACTTTACTACAGTACCTCCTAGTTCATATTCAGTTTAATCATGATATATTGAATGTTTATTTTTCATTACAAGTAACTATGTATTGAACTTAAACATTCAATAGCAAATTTGAAAGTTATTTATCATGGACATATTGTACAAAATTAAAATTCTTTAACGAACGGAACATTATGTTTGAAATTTTCAGTCACAGTGGTACCCCTTCATCAATGACCATTAAGTGATTGAACATTTACAATGTAAGGAAACTTAATACACCTATTTTTTTCGATCAAAAGTTCCAAATTAGTTGAAAGTATGCGTGTCGGTAATACGATGAAGCGAACCTTTTATTATGACATAATTAGTTTCACAATTGGATATGTAATCAATACGAAATAAATGATAGCAGATTATGATTAACGGTATATATTTGATTTTAAGGTTTGTTATCTGTAAAAATAATGATCATATCCATTTTTTTAGTTAAAACGGATACTCTAATTAGTTGATTAATTAATTATGGAAACTGACTATTTAAGTAAACCATTTATAATGTTTTATCATAGTACTATTGTACAATTGGTGATTTCAAACAAAGACAAAATCACGAATTGTTTTAAGTTAAAATAGTATCATTAAATGCTCGTATCCAGTAGTTCTAATGATTAAGCGTTCACCTGAGACCTGATGCTCCTATTTTCGATCGCTGATCTAGTCGTGCGTACTGACTACTATGGAATCTCGCACTAAGACGAATCTAGCAAGTAGTGCTTCCTAGTTTTTAATGGTATTTCAACTGCGGTCAATCTGCCACGGATATAGTCTTAAATAAAACACAGTGGCTGTTTTTTTAACTCTTGAATTGATCATTCGCTATCAGTTTTCGATTAAGCGGTTTTAACTCTTCTTCTAATAAAGCCTACAATTATCTTTGAAAATTCTTCTTTTCATAGACGATAATGCTGATTCTACACTTTCTCACGCGACAGTTTCTAAAGAACATATACGTTATATTCGTGCACTAATCGATATGTCTTTATCAGCTATTAATAGTAGTCGACCAAGTAGTGTTATTACTTCAGAAACTGGTTATTCAGCGACAGATGATTTGTCAAATTCATCTCAGCTACCTACTGTCGCTTCCCCTAAAATTCCATCAACAGATCATTTATCAAAAGAGTTCAAACCAGTTATCAATAAACCTAGTCCGGTTGTTTCACATGTGACTAATAATAGAACAAAATGTAAGTTGAGACTTTCTCTGTTTGTTGAAGTCAATTGTATGTAAATTGTTGTTACCTATAAAAGGACTGTAAATTCCAGTTACATTATATCTATCTATATGTATTTTAATGTAAACACTCGTTTTTTTATGTCACGGACTGACTTTAGTTATTCAACTGTTCAGAATCAAGATGTTTTGTATGATTCCTCATGAGTACATATCCACGACGTTATTAGATGTTGAACCCAGAGCATTCACATCTCGCGATATGCATTTAATACCAAGAATCATTGCAATTTTTACCACAAAACATAATAACGTCAAAACTGATCCAATGAAGATTTTATTGACCATTCCGAAAGCACATCGTCTATAACTAAACGTACACTCATCTATATATGTGATTTTTACACTAACTTGATGATCAATTAGTAATACCACAAAATCACTGAAAAAAAGCATACTGTATGAAATTCATATTGATTTAATTCACAAAATATGAACCTGACATAAATATTACACTATACATTCTGCCTTATCACAATGGTTCACTTCTCTAATTCCAGTCAATTCACAATATTATTCAACGGTTTTTCTAGTTGTTAGTAACTTGTTAACTATTACACATTTAAGAAGATTAAACTTTATTTATTACAGCTTTTAATTAGAACTACTAGAATTACCTCTGATATTTAATTCATAGTAAGTATATAATTATTAGTTAGATTCATGAGTCGATCAAAGCTATATCACCATGGAAAACCTGGAAGCATTGAACAGCCTTTTCTTCCTAGTGTGGTACGCGAACCCAGTATTTTCAGTCTTGCGCGTGAACGCTTAACCTGTAGACCATTGATCCGGTATCCAGTTTTTTTAATGTCTAACTTTAACCAATCCACGAACTTGCGCGACCGTTCACCATTGTCTTCAGTGAGTAGCTGGCTCACAACACACACTATTGAACTCCACTAGTCATGGCTTCTCACTAGAACTCCCGCAAATCCATCTTGAAGTCATTCACTAGTGAGCACATGATGATTATTATCAGGTTATCCATGGTAATCTATCTTTCATCGTTTTGTGAACTCAACTATTAAATTACTACAATCTCCACAAAACCACCTTTCACATAATTATTACATGAAGGCTATTGAATTATCATTCGTGTTTTTCTTCGACATCTATATCATTTACCTGTATTACCTCAACTTTTTACAGTTAAAAAACACAAAGGTAAGTTCCAAATCATACGCATATCACAACCAAAAGAAATTTAATAAAGAAAACTAACTTATTTGAAAAGTTCAATTATTTCATATAATTTTTTATTGTTTTTCTGGTGTGTGTACATTTTGTTTTTTCTCCTCCTCTTCCTTCTTATTATTATCATCATAATTAATAATTGTCTCCATTCTATGCTAACTTGAATTTCCTTTTAAAATACTTAATTGAACTATATTTTACAAAATTATACAAAACAATACACTTTCAAGTCATGTTTTATATTCTTTCGAATATAATTAAGTTACTTGTTAATAATAATAGTAGTATTGTCTCTTTCAAAAAAAAATAATCTGCCTATTTGTTATCTAATCGATTAACTGTCAAAAAAATTTCACATAATCGGTTAACTTTGATTTCAGTAAGATCAATAATCTGCCTAACTGTTAGCCGTGTTTTTTTTTATTGTTGAAAAAAATTCTATTGTTTCCGGTTAAGGAAAGTACCAGAATCTGTAGTTAAACAATATTATAAGTGTTATTGGACAAAATCATCATTTCTACTTAACCATTATAATAGTTACATAAAAGATAATTTGTTAACTTATTCATTTTTTAGTATTAAAAACAAAGTTAATGGAAAAATACACTGATAGAAACAAGTTGTCTAAATAAAGTCTATACATTTCTCTTCTTTTTTTCTTCTTCTTGGAAACAGTTGTAATTCTTCACAATTATTTAATAATATTAGCTTACAAGTTTTTCAGAAACTGTTGAATTTCATAGTCCACATCATTAACTGTTTCTAGTTAGAAAAAGCTGAAAAAAAACACTCCAGAAAGCATTGAATAGATATCGAATGTTTGACTATGAAAGTTGAATCCATTAGTATATATATAACCATTGAGATGATAGAAACTGATGATTAGAGACCCTGAATGACATGGCTCAATATCGTTTGTAATGGCGCAGGTGCATCCACTCTTTGTGTTCTCCCAAATTCTAATCTCCTGAATTCTTCATATCCCTTTTTTCTTAAATTTATTCCATTGTATTATACTCCCTGAATAACATCTTCAAACCCTAATCTTTCCGATTACTGCTTATACTCTTACCACCTCTACCACTATAGGATTTGAATCGACAACTGCATCTCTGTGTTAATGTGGTATGGCAACTCGAACTGATGTACGTACGTACGAAGTCCTACGTTGTTACTGATTACTAATTTAGATACATTCGGTTGTTTATCTTTCTTTTAAAGTCATTTTTCTCATAACATCTCACACTGTGTGTAGATTGTTGTGTAATTTATGAATCAGTAGCTTTGTAAGAATGATAATCTTGATAGTAAAAAGAATGTACATCTTACATATTGTAACCAACGTTTATGTATATTGAAAATAATATCTTCTTGTTTTTCAGTAGAGAAAGAATTCAATTAATTCATTGTTTGAATAAGAAATTATAAACTCATTACTACATTTCAGGGTTTCTAATACCATGGCTTTTTGCGTGTTTCAAACAGATAACATCAATTACACAGAGATTATGTGTAAAGACGAATGAGATAATTTTTATGACACAATAACATCCTTCCAAACGTAATCGATGTATCGGTAATTAGTCATTTATCTTTTTACCAACTGAACTTAACATTAATGATTACACCTGGCTACCTATTGACTGATTACTCAACAATTAGCCTATCCATCATACAATTGACCAAATGATTTTGTGTCATTTAATTTCATACACCTTCCTTATGTTTTCTTTTTTTAAGACTTGCCGTTTTGCCTTCATATGTTTTTTTTTCATCTAGCACTTCCTTTACATAGGTTTTATACTTAATGTAGAACTATCGTCTTGTTACTGTAAAATGTTTTTTCTTAATGATATCAACAAGAGTTTAGTTTGATCATTTAGCTAAACATATACGTTTTCGACTTAGTGTGTACTGTGTGCGCGTGTGTGTTCATTGATGTGAGACAATCTTCACTTCCTAACATATCATAACTAATAATCCTATTTCTGAATAAAGCCTTTTTCTCTCTGTATTTGTATGTTCTCGACGTATTTATCAGTGTTAAACTTCGAACCCGCTTCATTTCTCTATATTAATTGACAGTCATGATTTGTGAAATATTCTATACACTCAATTATCTCTTTACTTATATTCACATTATATATGTATAATAGAATTTTATTACTGTTGTTCCTTGAGTCACATCAAACTAGTCTCATTGATTTTATGCTCAGTTAACTGTAGAATCGACAGCCTGTTGTATATTAGTTTACATCGCAAATGTTCAAAACTATAGTAGTTTAAATATGAGCAGTAGATAAAATGACAATTTCGACATTGAATTGCAATAAAAGTGATGTAATTGTGGATTAAAAGGTTGATACATAGATTTAAAGGGTTAATGCGACTACAAAGGTAAACACTACAGTCAATTGATTCATTCCTTTTATGCTGAGTTGGTTTATATACAGATCTGTTGTGAGGTTTGTTTCATTCAAATTCATTTGAAATAACAGTGATTTTCGTGTTTCTTTTTTATGTACTTCACCACTTTGATTTTTTTTACAAATAATTGCTAGGTGGATGTCGTTAGGTAACCCGTTTTTGAATTTTTATTATCATGAACATTTGTATGACTATCTTGTTTAATGATTAATCCTTGTGTTTGTGTGTTGCGTTTACCTTAGAACTTTCACTCATCATCCAGTCCTGGCTAGCTAAGTCTGTTTGTGAACCACTTTATTACATTTTTTTCATTGCAATATCAGATTTATGGTTTATTTTTGCTCATTGACATCTAATGTATGGTAATTGTGATTGATTTGACACAATTATGTATCTGCTCAAACTGCCTTTACTTAAAACTTTGTAACGAAAGAGATAATATGGAAAATGTGAAGCAAATATTCATATTGATTTTTTTAATGTATTAAATACTATCCAAAGCCGGATATAGAACTGTATGACTGATCCTGAGTCAATATCAACTAACCGGTTTTTATCGACCAAATAAGTCATAAAGATCTTATCACTTTTACAAAATAACACCAATTTATGTAACAAATAAATGTCATTACATTTAGTGGCAATTGTGTTGTCTGAATTCCAGTCGGCATACTTTTATCCTAACCATATATTTCTTACTTCTTTTCTCTTCTATTTGTTTCAGTTCGTGATGGTAAGATCTTTTTAATGAATTTTAAAAATTACTTTTCCTATATATACATACAAGCATTTATTCATTCATTCAAGCTGTACGAATCTATATTACAATGATTCTTATTTGAGTGTAGTTTCTTTATAAAATATGTCTATAGGCGAACAATCTATGATTGTATTTGTCTATTTTTTATACATCACTTAGCTGTATCCTCCCTCATTTACAACATCTTATTATTCGAAGAATATAGAATAATTAGGTGTAAAAGAAAGTGATTTGTCTCTTATTTATTTATTTATTTCATTCATTTTATGAATTATATTAAATTTCATACTGGATTTGATTTGTATTTGTGTTTTATGTGTGCGTGAGAGTTTGCGCGTTTGTTTTCTTTTCTTTTAATGCTTTTTTTCAATTTATGCGCTGCTCTCTCATATTTACATTGTTGTAATAGTTATTCTTTTCCCAACTAGTTTAATAATACCTTTTGTCAAATTGTTCTGAGTTCATTGACGATGTTATACATGTTTACCTACTGAATTCTTGATTGTTTTCGTCGTTGTTGTTGTCACCGTCGTTGTGTTGCCAATTATTTTGCTTACATTTTCGTTTATTATTATTATCGTTAGTGTTTACGTTGTAATTATCTGTTATAAAAGTGTGTTGTTATGATTAATTTTATTTACTGTTATTTTTGTGTGTATGTATATGTGTCTTTTTTTTCGTATCCTCTCCATCGGTTATTACGTTTTGTTACATTTAACCTTAATAGTTCACTATTTTTATATTTGCTTATTTCAAATTATAAACTTGTAGTTTGTTTATTAATATATAAATCAACATGTAGATTTTATTGTCCAGTGTTAAATTTCACAGTAAAACTTAGTTTTTTTGTGTTTTGTAACTTACTGGTTATGTACCAGTACATATATGTTTAGAAGACTAACAATAGCTCGTTTTGATACTTATTCTTTGTGGTTAGTCGTTAGAAGTAGTTGAAAACTTATATTTGGGTACTTGTATGAATGCTGCTGTTGGAATGCTTGATTGAGATTTATCGACTTATAGTGATGACCAGACACTTTCATAGGTTAACAGTCATAACAGTTAGATTATTATTTGTTCAATGAAGAATAATGTACATTGAAAGATTATCTTTCTCTCACACATTACTTTATTAGTATTTCATGTGAGGTAAAGTTATTTACTTATGAAACAGTAAAAAGTAGGATGTAATGCTTTCAATAATCGCGAGGATATTTCCACTCTTAATAACATATTTGAACATCAATAATTAATTAGTTTACAATGTAGTTTATAAACTATTTTGAGATACGATTTTATTTATTTATTTTAACACATAGATATTGCTACAAGGAGGCACCAAATACATATGCGCCACACAAATCTCATTCGATATGTGTGAGGGCTGTGATACTGCTCGGGTGCCCGAACCGAAGCAGGTGGTTTTCTTAGGGGGCCACTCCTCGAGCCTTCGACCTGAAGATCTGATTCACAAGGCAGTGGAGCATCGCAAGGAGATGCAGTCCCATGGAAGCCGGTGACCAACAATAGGTTCATACGCCATTTGTTCCCGTGGGGTACTGGAACCCGTGTTCACCATTGGTTTGGAATCTGGTTAAAGCTCCGGACATTCGCTTTTCGTCCTCTCATTTTCGTAAACAACAGCCGTGGTACGAGAAGGCAGTGAGTAGGACTCCACTGGCAGAGGCCATATACTCGTGGCCATGTGAGAGCATTTTGAGAGGAATAGCGGACTCTTCCCACTCTCGGCCGTACCAGGGCATTTGGGGGGCTAGATACGATGTGTTTGGAGGTAGTCAATAAAAAGCTTTTTGGTGCTTGTTTGCAAGGTGTAAACTGTAATTATCTGTGTATTAAAGCTCCATATGCAATTCATACCTATGTCACTCAGCTGTATAATCCGAGACATTATCACTTTTCTATTCGAACTGTGACTAATCACCTAAAAGATCGAGATATAATAATTGATCACTGAGTAATAACCTATATTTTCTTTGTATAGTCCTTAAGCTCTGATACCAACGTAGTTCACTTGATGTTGAATCACTTAAATTATAGTAGGCACACTTAAAGTTGGCATACAGCATACAATCGTTAAATGTTTGTAATAAAATCATTCAAAGGACATGAGAGCTTTGAACTTTTTTTTACCGGAAATTACTTCCTAATAATCCTTTTCTCATCATTGAAAAATTGAGTATGCATGTCAGTTATCCTATGTGAATTAAACTATTTATACACTGATTTGGTTATTTCAATCCCTTTATATTATTGCTTCAATTTTGTTCAATTGATTATTCTGTTAACTTTTATCGCAAATAATTATTTAATGGATCTAATGAAAGTCCAGTTGTTTTATTGAGTTAAGAATTTACTATGATTCCCAATATTGGTATACTCACTATTTTGAATTGATTGATAGTGATTTTACAGTATCTCGTTTATCATTAAAACGTTTGTTTGTTTGCTTGAAAAGAACTTTGAAAAATGTAACCAGTTGTGAAATATGGTTTTTTTCCCTAAAACATTCAATTATGTTTTACGAGTTTTTAGTGAAATTAATCATCTGTGACAGTGAATTTATTGTTTGTCTTCAGTCACCATCTTGAAAGTCTGTTTATATGGTTTCGTGTATATATTAATCCAGTAATATGATGCACGAAATCTTATTTCTGTATTCAAACACAAACATTAGTACAAGGAGGCACCACATAAACCATTCAATTTGTGTGAAGGCTGGGATACTGTCCGGGTGCACAAACCGAAGCATGTGGTTTTCTTACGGGACCACTTCCCGAGCCTTTGATCGTAAGGTCTAATCCACAAGGCAGTGGAGCAACGTTAAGAGATATAGTCCCATGGTAGTCGGTGACCAAGGATTAGTTCATACTCCTTTTGTTCCATTAAGATCCTGGAGGTCATCCATTCAATTGGTTTAAAATATGTGTTTTCTAACCCTCCTATGTGGATCCTCCGTACCCACCAGCCCGGTTAAAGCGCCAGACGTTTGCTTGTCGTCCACTCAATTTATTAAACAACACAGCTGTCGCAAGAAGGTAGTGAGTAAGACTTCCTTGGCAGTAGTTGTATGCATGTGGCCATGTCAGAGCATTTGGAGATGGAGAGCGAACCCGTACCCGGGAATTTGGGAAAAATGCACTGATCCAAACCTTGACATGATGATTGTTGAAATCCGACTCGGTGTTGTGACGGTCAGTCATAAGTCACGTACAGGCTCTTGCGAATGTCAGTCAATCTTAGTGCCAATAGTACAACGTTGTGAATATGATCCAACACCACGAAGTGAAACGGTATATATACAAAGGAATACTGCAGCATATAATTTACAGGAAAGTAATGAGTGAATGTATCTGTTTCTACTTTACCGACCTTGAGCCATATCACCTAACACCTACAATCGGTGATGGCGTTCATTGTCCTTACCTCCATCAGATAGTGTTTATCTATCAACATAATTCAGACCGACATTCACTGGACTTCATTAACTGACGTCATGTCTTACTTTTGTCACATCTAGCTTTTCAACTTACGCTTGTGCCAGTCAACGTTACTCATCAAGCAAGGTAGAGGGATTTTTAACATTCCCTTCAACTGACATAAGTTGGCGAAACTCCAGTGACATTTCGTCAGTTACCAATCCACCAGGATGTATTACACTTCCAAGATGAGTGCTGTAATCAAAGAGCTCCATTGTTCCATTCCTCTTGACAGCGTCTTAGGCCTTGGTTCAAACCAGTCGTAAAAGCAATATTATATTGTTGCAAAAATTAAAAAAACTTCCAAACATATCACATGAAATACAGCTCATAGCTAAACCTTATTACTATAATGGATGTATATAATTTTAAAGTACACGGTAAAAAAGATGTTTAAGCAATTTTCCCAAAATATCTTCGGTATTTTATCATGTTCGTGACATCTATTAGGAACATCTAACATTACTATTAGCATATTAGAACTGTGATTGTATAGGAAGTTCACTATTTTACTGTTTAATTCTGTTCTTTCTTTTTCAAAATGTATCATTTGATGTATACTAGTATTTTATCAAGTATTTTCTTTTCAATATTGGACTCAAAAGTTTCATTGTTAAGTCAAGATTATTGATCTTTTTAGATAGTTCCAGCTGCAAGTTCTCCTGAATTGAACATCTGTGTTAGCGATTCGGAATTAGTCGATAAGATATCCTAATAGATCTAAACTTCTTGTTAGTCAGCACTCTTCAGCTTGATGTACTCGAAATTTTGAAGTAATTGACAATCCTCATAGGATTCAAACCTAGGTCACTCCGTTTTACAGTCTGAGGAGTTACCTCCAAGCTATTTGACTCACGAATGACAACATATAGGTCTTAGTTTTTGATGACTGACCAATCAGTGCCATCTTTTTCTATTCCTTAATGCTGACCAAATTCTATCAACCAGTTTGTAAGGTTGTCATTGGTCTGAAAGACTTGACATCACATGAGCTGTGCTGAAATGTCGAGTCACTTAAACTAGTGGCCACATTATAATTTGATTGATAGAATTTAGTCAGTATCAAGGAGTGAAAAAATAACACTAGTCGGCACCCAGTAATTAATGAATTTTAAATAGAATATTCATTATTAAAGAGTATCGAAAATTGGACAAATAATTATGTATCTATTACTTTGAGCTTGTATTACTTATGACCAAGTTATGTGCATATTATACTTGTTCAATTGTGTCGCTGCGTAGCCAGGCATTGCAGGTATATTATTTATGTGAGTTTTGAGTTGTGATTGAATGGTATGCAATCTATCTTTGTTTTCTGATTGAATACTGGGGTTAGAAGAAGCTCGATGACTAATACCGCATTCATTTTCTACTTATTGTTTATTAGTAGATGGGTCATTTTGCAAATAGAAAATAACCAGTCTTACTGACATATAGGTGGATTAATCGATGACGAGAGATAATACAACCCGTCTTGTCATTACACCTCGGTCAAACTAGATCAAATACAACCTAATCAAGAAATCTGCTTTTCTTCAAATTAATATTATTCTGATAAGAAAATGTACACTAGTGTCTATTTTTCTCTCATCTGTTTTTCTTAATCTATTTTTGCATTATTGGTTTTGCGGAATTCTAATTAAACAGTTTTTTCTGTCTATCCTTGTACATGTGTATATTTCATTGTGTTTTTTTGTCAATTATTATTTGTATGTTTCAGCTTTAGGAAGAATTGGAAAATTTGCTGCGCGTCGTAATCGTTTAACACGTTCTGGTGTTTCACCTATGGGTAGTGTAGCATCTGGATTAGATGAAGATTTACTTAGTATGGATAGTGCATCACAAACTAATCAGCATCATGCACGTCAGTCATTACATGAGTCAAATTATCCTGGTATTGTTTCCAATGCTGGTAGTAGTAGTGGTATATCCAATTCACAAAAACCAATATGTTTATACGTTTTATGTGAAAAACAAATGACAAAGGTCAGTGTTTGTGAAAACGATGTGCTATCGATAGAAATTGTATGGTTTTTAATAAAAAAATCTTAATATGTCAGGTTTGTGGAGACTATGATCTTTACTTAGTTGAAATCACGAGTCGATCTAAGCTTCGCCATTATTGAAGAATTAGCATTGTAAGTATGCCTTACATGAACATATAGGATGCACAAGTTAGAGGGTTATACACACATGTAAGCATAAATGCTTTTGGTCGCAAATATACGTCACATTCAAACATAGAATGCGTAGACCAAGGCCTATATACTCCATTGTGTACACAGGTTTGGATGCGATTTGATTTTTTGCACCGGTCTGGGGCCCGGTAGTATTGTGGAATAAATGATGTACTTCGTTTCAAATCATTGGATTAAAATTCACCTACTGACGACCAGCTCCTCCACGTTCATACCATACCTCCATGCACTGGTTATAGCATAGTTTATGGCCATCGCTTCGGTTGAGGTCAAATTTAATGGATATTCCTTTAGATAATCCAGTTAGAGACCAAAATGAATACACTGTTTTTACAGTTCCGCATTACACATTTATCTTTGTTACATGTCCCTTTCAGCTAGCACATATACAATAGAGTGGGGGACTAATCTTCTCCCCTCCTAGCATCTCATATTTGTTCATGAAATAAAGTCCCCATCATCTGTGGGATAGCTCAAGCAGGTGTGAGTCCGACTTTAATCCATTTCCGATTCCCAGTAATTAGAATTTTGATTGATTAATCAATCAGTTATTATAGATCTGTTGCTATTTCAATTGTTTGATTTATTAATTCCATTTTTTAAAATTTAAAAAAATGAGATTTTACCATAGTTTATTCATTCAAAGTAAGTAGATATTGACTAAATCATGTATATGAATTAATTGTCAATAGTATATGATGTATGTTAGCTTGTTTAAACTATAGCAGCATATAAGTCTCTCGGTAATATACGTGTATCTATGTTAACCACTCGATGTGACACCACTTCTACTTAGGAAAAAAATGTATATACTTTATAAATTGTATATAACACTCGATTCAATGTTTAATGATTACATAACAAAAAAACGTTATACTCCATTCAACGTTAAAATGTTTTTAGAACACACACACACACTTAAATTGTTTAGAGTATCTCGAATTATTTAATTATTATTCACTTATTGAGATTATGTAAACATATAATTATTAAGTTGTGATTATCTTTAATTTATATGATGGAAAATAAACAAATTCTTACTGAAATATATAAGTTTTATTGAAATCACGTATCTATCTAAAGTTGAGATGGCTGGGACACGTCTTACGTATGCCAACCACCGACTGCCTCGATGTGCGATGTTCAATAGTATAGGAGTAGATTGGAAGAAAGCTAGGGGCGGTCAGACCAAAACATGGCACAATTCCATGAAGTCACTAACAAATAGACTGAGTCATATTGGTAGGTGTAGACTACCTGGTTGGGGACCGCGAGGTGATAGCAACCGATGGTTAGAGACCCTGAATGACATGACTCAAAATCGTTTGCAATGGCGCAGGTGCATCCACTCTTTGTGTTCTCCCAATCCTGAATCCTCCTTGTCTCTTTTTTCTCTTTCCAAATTTAATTAACTGAATTATACTCCTTGAATAACATCTTCAAACCCTAATTTTTCTAATTACAGCTTATAATTTTACTACATCTAGCACTATGGGATTTGAATCGACAACTGCATCTCTGTGCTAATGTGGTATGGCAACTCAAACTGATGTACGTACGTACGAAGTTCTACGTTGTTACTGACTGACTAGACAACCACCATGAGAAATATTGAACATCCATTATTTCCTGAAGAGTTCCATACTAGAACGAAACAAAATTGTACAGTGCTTTCGAATTTCATTAAGATTCAATTATCTCCATGACAACCCCTTACTAATATTTCCTTTTTTTCTTAATATTTGATAGATGTCGAAAATATTTAATTCATCATCTGTTCTTTTATCACCAATTGACTATCCAACTACAGCAACAGTGACTAAATCTTTTAAAGGATTTTTTAAAGCTTGCCTTCCAAATGATTCGAATCGATCGAAAACAGCTACAAAACTTTTATCTGCAGCAGCGTCTACAGCTAATGGTGTTTCATTTGATCATGCTAATACTACTATTAATATTGGTAATAATAGTCATCATCATCGTGGAATTAATTCAACACTAGGCGGTCATTTCATACATCATCAAAATGAACCTTATTCTTTTCATGATAATACTAGTAATAGTAATGTTAATGCAGGTGAAACTATAGAGACGGAAAATATTACAACATCTAATATACCAGAATCAAATAATTCTAAATATATGAATGTTTTCACTGAAGCACATGAGAATGGCTGGTTTTTCCAATTGAAATCATTATTGGAATTAGCTGGAACAGTGGTAGATTTGTTAGATTTACAGGGTGCTAGTGTAGCATTGTGTTTAGAAAATGGCAGTGATGTTGTTGCACAGGTGAGTTGAGAAAATTTGTTATTTTTAAAATTTGATGTACACTGACTTAGTCGGTTTCTTTTCACTTCAATACAACCCATGTATGTAGACTGGTGATCCTTTTTGTTTGGTAGACCTCATCTTCTAAATATTCGATACACCAGAAAATGTTGTAGGCAGTAATTCATGAGTATAAAAATTGTAGAGATGATAGAATGATCATTTCTTTTCATAAACAATCCATAATCATAAGTTCATGAATTCCTAATGTATTTTGTGCAAAATATATATTTGAATATGGTGCAGTAGTTAGTTTGATTTACGGATTTTACATTGATGTTTATTTACTCTATGATTAAGACACAAATATCCCTTGTGATTCACTTAGGGGCTATCGGCTAGTGGATTTCGTTATAGTGTCGTGTGAGGTTGACCTAACCTTTTAGCATTTATAAATCATCCCAGAATCTTTATCACTTATATGATATTTTATGTGACAGTCTATAATACAGATGTTAGTGTCTTATGAACCATCATCTTGAATACGAGCGATTTCTACCTCTTGGTACATATGAAGAGAGAGGTAGTATACGAGAAAAGACCTGGGATCAATACAAACTAGTACTGTTAGCATTAATGCATTAAGTACCGATACCGTATTATTTAAACAAGGTAAACAGTTTACGTCATAGCTCCTGTAATGTTTGTTTGTTTGTTTCATCATGGTTCAAGGTGAAAAATTCGTGGATTATCTGACTACATTTTTAATGCAACTGCCTTTATTCAGTAATGGAATTGCCAAATTGAGGTTCACGAGTCTGTTTGTTGTAAAATGAGTTTACGTGCAATTAATAGATGCCTTGTTTACTCTTTCCTATTGTTATAATTAGATTCTATTTATCAAGTAGTATTAAACGATCCGATGCTAATTTGTATTGCATAAAATCTTACATTATTGAAATAATCATCGAAATCTATAAATTTACGTTTCACAGTTACTAGTTACTACCTATTTCATCAACTTTATCCCATTTTCCAGTAAACTATTGATTCCACTGGAAATACAGATTTTTAGTACTTAGACTTATTTACAAAATTGTTACTGTTTAGTTATAGTTTCATTTTCTTATAGTTAGAAGTTATGTAATTATCAGTTAGTCAACTAGTTATTTTACCTTCTGAAACATAGAATCTGATACATATGTGCATCGATTCAAACTGCTACACATCTTATCAACAAAGCGATATGATTTTATCATGACATGTTTCAGAGTGTTAAACGTAACAAAGTATCAGTGGTGGTAGGAAACATTGGGCATAAAAAATATTATCCAAGAAAAAATGACTTTGTGAAATAAACTGTTGAAAATAAACTTAAAAGCTCTAAATCTCATGCAAACAGTGAATGCATCTATACTACCATGACAAATTCTTAGTTATTCGTACCAACATCTTTAATCGATTGTTTACCATAATTATATGGACCTTAACAAATTATCCTACTCCTACAGTCAATGACTTCATAGAGTAATACCACATCTCTCTTTGTCATTCTCGCAGTCTATTTTTACAGTACTTAACATCGTAATTCGAGTTCGGTGATATATGTGTATATGTCATTATATGTTCTAACTATCTCAATTGATGAAGATTAACTACTTTACCAGTCGATTAATTGTAATTACCAATTATATTTATTTATTTGAACTCATAAACATTGGTACAAGGGGGCACCAATTAGATTTGCACCACATAAATCATTCGATTTGTGTGAGGGTGTGAATACTGTCCGAAGCAAGTGGTTTTCCTACGGGACCACTTTCCGAGCCTTTGAACTAATTGCCTAATCCACAAGGCAGTGGAGCAACGTTAGGAGATGCAGTTTCATGGAAGTCGGTGACCAATAATTGGTTCATACGCCATTTTTCCCTTAGGATTTTGAAGCCCATGTACACTATTGATTTGGAATCAGGGTTCTCCAACTCCCTTACGTGAATCCTGCATGTTCACCAACCCGAATAAAGCACCGGAAATTTGTTTTTCGTGACGAAATTTCAGCACGGATACAGAAGTCTCGACTAGCTTTTGCCAACTTGAATCATTTATGGTGTAGGCGAGATACCCGTCTATCAACCAAAGGACGGGTTTACTGCGCAGCAGTTCGTTCCGTCCTACTTTATGGTAGTGAAACATGGCCGGTAAGAGTAGAAGATATTCGTAGGTTACTCGTATTCGATTATACGTGTCTTCGAAACATTGCTCGTATATCCTGGGACCATTGAGTAAGTAACGCAGTTGTTAGGAAACGGGTACTAGGTAAGGATGGCAAATCAATTGATGAAGTAGTGAAACTTCATCAGTTGAGATGGCTGGGACACGTGTTACGTATGCGCAACCACCGACTGCCTCGACGTGCGATGCTCAGTGTTATAAAAGTAAGTTGGAAGGAAGCTAGGGGCGGCCAGACCAAAACATAGCACAAATCCATGAAGTCACTGACAAATAGACTGAGCCATATTGGCAGGTATAGATCACCTAGTTGGGATTTGCTAGGCGATAGCAACCGATGGTTAGAGACCTTGAATGACATGGCTCAAAATCGTTTGCATTGGTGCAGGTGCATCCACTCTTTGTGTTCTCCCAAATTCTAATCACCTAAATCCTCCTTGTCTCTTTTTTCTCTTTCCTAATATATTTCACTGTATTATACTCTTTAAATAACATTGTCAAACCATAATGTTTCCATAATATGTGCAAATTATATTTGAAATATTTTCACATATATTTACATCTCTATACTCTGCGCTCAATTACTGTGAGACTTTTCGTTCTAATCTTGATGAATATCCGTATAGCTAATGTTTCTGATTACTGCTTATACTCTTACCGCCTCTATCACTATGGGATTTGAATCGACAACTACATATCTGTTTCCTAATGTAATATGGCAACTCGAACTGATGTACGTATGTACGCACGAATTTCTATGTTGTTACTGACTGATCCCCACCACATTAAATCAGTGAATAAGACTTTCAATGATCAATAATTTTTTAAAAAAAACATAATAATCTTTTAATTCTTCTTGTTTTATCTCACTGCATTCGTTTTTCTTTCTTTTTCTCTTTTCTTTTTTTTCTTATTTAGACTGTATCATTAGTACAAATAATGCTTGATCCATATTATCGTACAATTTATGGTTTTTGGAGTTTAATTGATAAAGAATGGTTAATATTTGGTCATACATTTAATTCTAATTCAAATCAAACAATATTAAATAAAACTAATCATTTTTCACCAATATTTTTACAATTTTTAGATGCTGTACATCAATTATTAAAACAATTTCCATTATCATTTGAATTTAATGATTATTATATACAATTTATTGCATATCATTATATATCAAATCGTTTTCATAATTTTAAATATGATACAGAATTTGAAAGATTTACTATATGGTTTCCTAAATTAATTGATAGTTTATTAAATAATTATAAATATGGTACAAGTATTATATCAAATATAGATGAACATTTATTAGAATTATATAATTCACATTCTATATGGCCATTTATACAACAACAACATTATGAATGGCCTATATTTTTTAATTTTCGTTATTCACCTACACTTAGTGAAAAGGTAATATATATATATATATATATTCTTAACTTATTCATTATAATCTTTCATTTTAATAGGTAAGATTATGAGTCAATTGAAACTATAGACCATTATAGAGAACCTAGAAGCATTTAGATGTCCATTTCATCCTATTGTGTATAATATTTCAGTAGTGTGTGTATCTATGATCCTCGAACACATTCGGATACTAATCAATATGGTCTTGAATGCTGTTAGAGGTATGAGAGTGGTTATCACTTCCCGGTTGCCCACACCGTGGAAGGGTTCTTCTGGAGGTACCTGAAAAGGAAATTGGATTAGAGGTGGTCTTAGTGACCTGAGAGCGTGACCGCAGTGCCTAAAGGAGAACTGCTTGAGATCGGTGTGTTAGCTCCGTACGTGTTGAGACCTTACCGCCGGAGACGGATATCCGTGGGTCTAACTTTTCTAACATCACCCTTCCTTGATGGAAGGCAGAATCGCTGTTATGCCGGTTGTCTGAAGGAAACACCTTATTGCTGTCACACCTGTGTACAGTCAGCAGTACGACTTCGCCTTCAGACCTTGGGTTTGTTTCTTTTAGTCTTACCGCTCTTCAACCGACCTGTCTGACATGGTAGGACCTTGAGGAACAGTTGTTCCATTCAGTATAGCTCGGTTGCTTCATCACGATAGGCAAGCCCGACCACCACGTCAAGGTAGCAACAACGGCCGGGACTAATCAATATATGCTTATTAGTGACTGGTTTCAAGAGGTATTTCCTGGGGTTCTAGTGAGAAGCAGTGATCAAGTGGAGTTCAACTGAGTTTGTTGTGAGATAGTAACTCACTAAAGACAATGGTGGATGTGTCGCTCAATTTCATGGATTAGTTGAAGTTAGATATGAACACCGTTGAATGACGGACAACTCAGTGGTTTAGTTGGTTAAGCGCTTGCGCACGCGAGACTGATAGATCTTGGGTTGGAATCTCTCGAGGTGGGATCGTGGGTGTCCATATTAGGACTAAACGGCCATCAAGTGCTCCCAGGTTTTTCAGGATAGTCTAGCTTCAATTGACTCATAATTTCAACTATTAAAATCATATTTTATTGTTAATTTAGTTTAGTTATTACTATTTATATAGATCAGTTGTATGATGATTTGAACTGATTCCTTCATCGAATTCTTTAGAAGTTTAATGAACTCTAGGAAATGTTTTATCTAATCTGTGCTCAACGGAGACTTTTCATGAAACATTTAGAAAACTAGGGAGTACGCTTTTGATTGGATAATTACTTATACTATCGTTAAATCTAGTGTATTTCCAGAAAGTTTTAGAAGATCACGGCCACATGGAACTCTATAAATAATTTGTTCATAATTAACCTTGGTGCAAAGCCCTTACTTTCGCTTCCCATCTTTTCTATGTTGTTCAAGTTAAAGTGTATAAGTAGATGGAAGCGGCTAAAAATTCAGCATTGAGTATCCAGTAATAGATTTATCAATTTTTAGTTCAGATTAAAGATTTATGAGTTCAAAGAGCACATCACTTAGGAAATTCTTATGAGTAATTGAGCTTTGTCAATCTCAAAAATACCAATATAAAAAGATCACTATATGTATAGTTGGAAATTTCCGGGTAATTTTTTTCTTTGACCTTGTAATAAAACTTTACCAACGAACTAATTGGAGGTACACATAGAATTAAGGGATTTTTGAATGATACTTGTTTATTCCGTTGATAGATAGGGTTCAACCACCAGTTATATAACCATTTCTATTACAGATATATAGATCCAATGTTATAGTCATTAAACTGAGGTCTTTTTAAAAACTTCAATTGCCCTCTTATCCAAATATCTCACATGAGTTCATTTTGGTGTGGGGTTACTGTTATGAATTCAACTTTTATGTACCTGAATAATGAAATCACTAAATTTTGGAATCTCTCAATAAGTAATTCGCTTTCTGTTTATTATACTAACGAGCCTCGTCTTAAACTGTTGTGCTCCATAAGTATGTTGATCTTGTTTGACCCACATGATTTCATTCTGTTCTCTATTTGTTCAATCGGAATACTAGAACATCCAATCAATAATTCTGTGCATATTATGATTTAAAAACTTTGAATTCATTAACAGTAATATTTAATCTCTGAAGAATATTATCAACAGTTAATGAGTTTAATGAAAACTTGCAACTAGGGTAATATAAAAAAATTTGAGAGTCATATATTTAATGGATGCATAACATCAACATATATATTACGTAATCTTCTATAATTTCACGTAAAACTGGATCACCTACTCATATTGCTTTCTAAAAGACTGAAAATTCCCATAGAGAAGTCTTCAGCAGCTGGCGAAAATTTGAGAACATTTTATCCAGTCAATCACTTCTATACAAACGGGCAATAATATGTCATGTCTTAATTAGACAGTTATAGACTTTTTTTATTATTGATTTTAACATATTTTCAGAATATTACGTTTCTTCTCATACTTCCCACCTTTTTTTGTTTTTTCCGTTCGATAGTTGAAATGATGAAAAGAGATAGAACTAGAAAGCTGTTAAAATTCAATGTTAAACATTTCAATAACATCAGAATGGGTTTTGTGGAGATTTTAGAAATTTCACAGATTGAAATCATGAGTCAGTTGAAGCTAGACCACCATTGAAAACCTGGAAGCACTGGATGGTCGTTTCATCGAGTAGGTTCTGGGTTCGAGCCCCGCGGGATCGTGGATGCGCATTGCTGAGGAGTCCCATACTAGGATGAAACGGCCGTCCAGTGCTTCCAGGTTTTCAATGGTGGTCTAGCTTCAACTGACTCATGATTTCAATCTGTGAAATTTCAATAACAGTTAAAAATCTCTTTTCTTCATTTTTATACTCAATATTCCTAAAAGATTGAGCAATTCAATTGTAACCATTAATATGTTATTGAATTATTTTCTTGTTTTATTCAGTATTGTTTTTCTCATTCTTCTTCTTCTTCTTTACACAATACATAACAGGTTCTTAGACCAGCAACATATTTAGCTTCATTTGATTTATGGAAATTTTATTTAACTGAAGATTTGGCTTGTGGTTCAATCTATGATTTAGATCATTTCTCACCTAGTTATCGTAAAAATACTAATCGTCCATATGAACCGGTTTTACGACAGGGATTTAACAACAGTCATATTGTTAGTTATGAATTATCATTATTATTATTATTATTCTATTAAATGTTTGCCAATTATTTATTATTTCTGTTATGTTATTATGCCCGATTAATTATATCACCGCCAATTAGAGACACCATCTTATATGATTTATCTAATGACGTATAAACCTGTACGAGCAGTTTAAATTTCTTATTGATCCTCTGAAATAGTAGCTTCTTTCCTAACCCAGCCGGTTCAGTTCAGAACGCCAATATCGCCCTCCATTAAACGAATCATATATTTCAAATATACTGGGTTTATATACAAACAAACCAGTCCTCATCATACCATAAATAGAAAATAACAATTGTACAAGATCAAACCAAAAAGCGACTGTGATTGTGAGAGACTCTTAATAATGAGTTAGGAATATCTTATGAACAATAAATCATATTATAATAGTTAATAGGTTAAGTGGAAGCTTATAATAAAAGGAATATGAATATACATATAATATAGTTACTTAGTAGTTATACAATAAGAATATATATATATGTAAATAATAACGGTCCATAAATAATTCCTGGCGGTTACCATTCATTTATTTTTCATCCAGATATAACAATTTCCTTCCATTTAATTAATATGAAATAAGGAATTAATTATTGAATAGGAATTTCGTCTATGAAAGTTCCTATATTGAATCGGTGTGTTGTTTGTGTGTAGTACTCCTGGTTAAATAATTCAATATATGTATTTGATTTGATGTTCAGTATCTACCAAGTGAGAAAAAATGGTGGTGTTAATCGGTTTAGTAAATTCTTTTCCCGACCATGCTGATACATGTTCTCAACTAAACGAGTAATTATACAACAAATTAAAGATAGGTTACCGATGATGAGCTCTTCCATGTTGGTATGCACCAATTCAACCGCTCCTGTGTAGCTAGTTATATAAACCGTACTTAAAGGGCTTTATCCTTGCGTGTTTTTGAATATATTTAATTGTTAGGGGATTATAGATAGTTGCAAAGAAATTTTATGGCTGACATTAAAACGACTATAATAATTTGTCCCTTATTCTTCAACGATATATTTTGTGAGTATGACCATCAATATTAGAAATATGTTAACTAAATAGCTGCTTCATCAGTTTAAGTACATACTTTTCTTCTTGTAAATGTATCTATATAAAGATGTACTATGCTGAGAAATCAATTATCTTTCCTTGTAACCATGTTAGAAATTGAATCTGAACTAGTAATTACACAAATACTAGGGATCATTGTTATTAAAACAGTAATCACTGTATAAATTATTCACTTTTATTTTTATGTTTAACAGCAATGGTAACCATATATATCATTTGTAAAATTATTGGTATTACTGGAAGACAGGTTAAAGGAGTAGAAAGTGTGGGGAACTGTGAAAAATTGTTAATTAAGGAGAGTTTGGATGTGAATAATAAACGTACATCACAGTTGTCTTAATTTTATTCCAACTTTATAGCTAAATTTCACGTTTGTTTGGCACTCTTCAGTGTAGTGTTCCTGCAATCTTAAAACAAGTGATGCTCGAGTAATTAGATGGTAGTATCTTAAATTGTGAAATTTTACAACGCGTATCCTGATCCCACGATTGACACCACTCCCGTTAACATTACAAGTATGCCTTGTTGACAAGTGTCAACTGGTATAAACCTTAAATCCGGGGTTGTCAATTGACCTATGATTTGAGCATTTCGTGTGCTGTGTTGAGTCATTTAGACTTGTGTCCACATTGTGTCTTACTCAACATAATTTATTTAACACTAAGAAGAACTAGACAAACATAACACTAGTCATGAGCCAGTCGGCGGTCGATCAACTGTAACTATGTTTAACTGTTTGTACAATTTATTCATTTTAAACTGTTTATTTATTTTGAACGCCGAAGTATAACATTTGTATTCTTGTATGATTAGTTACAGTTATTTTCAATTTCTTAAGTCGTTCGTTTTTGGTTATTTTACACAATCAGTAAGTTGAATTTATATGACATGTAATTATACATAGATTATCTGATAAGACAAAAACATAAGAGGCTTAAAACATTATCTCTTGGCAACTTGGAAGAATTCATATAATCAGGATTTCGTAATTTTATTACCACAAGTGTATTACTACAAGTTTCAATCAATAACTATTTTGGGTATCACAGTCAGACTTTTACAACTTTCACAGCTTAAAATGATAACTGGTAAATATTTATTTCTTTTCCTTTCTCTTCTATACTTAAGGAGCAAACATATGCTGTTTTAGGATTACGTGAAGGAGAAGAAGCTATTGGTTGGCAAGAAGCATGGGAACAAGCACAGTCTGAACTGCTTAACTTATATTCATCACATCCACATAAACATATGACAAAACATGATAAATCAACTGTAAATATTCAGTCAACTTCGAATATTCCACAATCTGTTGTAGATACTTCTTCTTCTGCCTCTACTACTACTAATACTATAAGTAGTAGTAATACTGATAGCAAAATAAACACTCATGTTAAAATAGTTCATCATTCCAATCAATTACCATCACGTTGTACACAATATAGAGAAAGCAGTGAACCAATTGAAAGTTTATCACATCATAAATTAGTCACATCTGATTATTCAGTGTCTAGACGACGTGCAGTATCTAGTGGTTTATTAGATACTAATCAAACGAATAGTGTATTGGTGTCATCATTAACCACTACATCTTCATCAACAACTTATCCACTAACTAATGAATTAACTCAAACATTAACACCACAAGGAGAAAGTAGTGCTAGTATTGATTTGGATAGTACATTTACAAATTGCCCCGAAGTGATTACTACCAGTTCAATCCCAGTATCTGAACAACATTCAAATGGAACAACTCAATCACATGTCATTATTATAAAAGATTCTACCATGAATGATAATGTTGAAAGTCAACTGAGTACTGACATGAATCCACCATCTACAAATAATACAACTATAACAGTACGAACGATAAAAGATTGTAATCATTCAAAATCTAGAGAAATATTAAAATCCAATGATGATCGAACAATAAATGGAATTGAAACAAAACATCCACGTACCACTAACAGTACTACTGATAATAATCTCAATGCTTTAAAAACAAATTATAATGGTAATAATATACCGAAATCTGAGCAAACTTCAGAAGATGAAGCATTTCATGAAGATAATGATTATATTTATGGTGATCGATATGATTCAGTTGGTGAATCCTCACTAGATGATTATCATTTTACACGTCATGCTATACTAGAATATCACCGAACAACTACTTTGAAGCGTTTAACTCGTCGTACTGCATGTAGAATCGGTATCGGTGGTAATATTGGTGTTGAGAGTAATGTAGGATTATCATCAAATGGTCAAAATTACCATCAATTGGTGCCTGATTACTCATCATTGGATACTGATTTAAGTACTGGATATCGAGATCTGGCGATTGAATATGAATCAGATAGTGTAAATAGCCTTACTGGTACTGGGGGTGGTCTAGGCAGTACCATGTTACATGATACAATTAGAATTGATGGATTCGATATCAACGCCCCTGTACAAGATGAAGTAAGTTAGATTGTGTTTATTTTTCTCTCATTCGTTTTATCGAGAAAATATGTGCTATAGAATTATGGTTTCATGCATAAATTTATGAAATAACAAAGTGATTACAGTTAAAATTTGTCCAGATTAGTAGTTGACTATGTATATTAAAAACAATTCTTATTAAACATTGAAACTTGATCTTGCATTTATTACAAACAACATGATCAGATCACTGCAAACCCTTTGTTTGTTTACATTATAAAAGGAAATCTGACTCATTTCACCCTCATTGTTGATTAATATTTGTCCATTCTCTGAAGTAGATTTTATTCCGTTTATCTACCATGAATATGTTACATTTGATGAATTCACTTCATAAACTCTTATAGCAAACTATGTGACTTACTTACTTACTTACGCCTGTTACTCCTCGTGAAGGAGCATAGGCCGCTCACCAGCATTCTCCATCCAACCCTGTCCTGGGCAATCCTTTCTAGCTCCGTCCAGTTGTAATTCATCGTTTTCATATCTGCTTCTATTATCCGACGCAATGTGTTCTTTGGCCTTCCTCTTTTTCGCTTCCCTTCAGGATTCCAAGTTAGAGCTTGCCTCGTGATGCAGTTTGACGATTTGCGTGATGTATGTCCTATCCATTTCCATCGTCTTTTCCTAATTTCTTCTTTAGCTGGAAGTTGGTTTGTTCTCTCCCACAGAAGGCTATTGCTGATGGTATCCGGCCAATGGATGTTGAGTATCTTGCGTAGACAACTATTTATAAATACTTGTACTTTCTTGATTGTGGTTGTTGTAGTTCTCCAAGTTTCAGCTCCATACAGTAGAACTGCTTTGACGTTGGTATTGAAGATTCTCACTTACCAGAAAAAATAATCCAAACTATGTGAAGTATCCAATATTCCTAGTTAGATCATTAATTGTTAACCAAAAAAAAAACTATTCCTTAAAGAATCTACATTTCATTTACAATATTCATTTGTTTCTTTGATTAGTCATTATTGACATTGTTGAATTGGTTTCTTTTCTAGCTTCAACATCATCTGCATAAATTTACTTCATCTCAAATAACTAACAATACAAATGTACAATGTGAATTATGCCAAACCATATGTCAATCATCAGATAATATTGTTAAATGTATTAAATGTAATCTATTATGTCATACAAAATGTTCATCATCTATAAATTCAAAATGTTTTCATTCATCTATAACAAATACTTTAAATCAAATAAATAAAACAGGGAATTTACTAAAACGACATGGTTCTGCATATTTTCCAAATGAAATAGACAATGAAAAATTAAAACAATCTAATGATATAGAAAAATCTTCTTTAACGTTTGGTGTAACTGGTGTTGGTGGTAATTTATTTAATTCAACTTTACCATGGCGTACTGAACGAGATCATACATTCAGATCATCTTTAGTTTTAATGTAAGCAATTAATATTTTGATGTAAAATGATTTTACACCTTGATTAATCGTAATTAAACGTTAATGCCTAGATTGTAGTAGGGAAAATGTATGTTAAGCATTGTTTATTCTATATTTTCATATCAGTTATTAGTTCGGTTGAACTTTAAAAAAAAAAAGAAAATAATAGATTTTAGAGATTATTTTGTTTCTAAAGTGATTCGTATTTCTTTTTTTAAATTTTCGGTGAGACTCTAATTTATGGACGACCTTTGAACGAATCTTAAATGACCTTGAGAAATATTAACCAATCAGCAAACAGTCAATATAGAGTAAAAATATATTATACAAAAACAAGGCTACAGAATAGTCGACCACTAGAGTCATGATAAAGTCCGAAAAACTCTTTCAGCCTCGACCACATAGCTCCAATATTGTTTGTGTGTATTTATTTATTTATTTCAACACATAGATATTAGTACAAAGAGGCACCAAATACATATGCGCCACACAAATCTCATTCGATATGTGTGAGGGCTGTGATACTGTCCGGGTGCCCGAACCGAAGCAGGTGGTTTTCTTAGGGGTCCACACCTCGAGCCTTCGACCTGAGGGTCTGATCCACCAGGCAGTGGAGCATCGTAAGGAGATGCAGTCCCATGGAAGCCGGTGACCAACAATAGGTTCACACGCCATTTGTTCCCGCAGGATACTGGAACCCGTGTGCACCATTGGTTTGGGATCTGGTTAAAGCTCTGAACATTCGCTTTTCGTCCTCTCAATTTCGTAAACAACACCCCCTCCACGAGAAGGCAGTGAGTAGGACTTCCCTGACAGAGGCTATATACGCGTGGCCGTGTGAGAGCATTTCGATAGGGAGAGCGGACTCTCCCCACTCTCTGTCGTACCAGGACATTTGGGGGCTGTTGAGTACACAAAATGCCACTTGTGGATAGCGACACGATGCACATAACCAAGCCTATGTAGGAGTCTGTACCCTTTTCAATCATCCGTATATATTGTAGTATCTGGCTGCAGCCGGTGTTACTGGTACTTTTATTATCCAGTTCTCAATAATTGTCGTAACTTGCCTTAGTTAGGAATTATATATGGGGTTTTCATCATGAACTGACAGAAATTTATTTAGCCGAATGGATGAAAGGCTTTCGCGTTAAAAGCCAAGATTTATTATCTTATGCCTAATTGATTCGTTTACAAATTATAGTCCCGCCGTTTTATTTGTTATAGCTGCCCGATTATCATGTTTAGTACTAAATTCCCTGTGAACCGATCGTACGTTAGCATTAAGCATCGAAGTAAGCGTCGGGACCTTGAATTCTCTAAAACGCTTCTGATTAGCTCGTCCATAAATCAGAGTCTCGCCAAAATTTCTAGTTTACATTTTAAAAAAAACATGTAATTTTTATATTCTCCTAATTGTAATTTTCTTTTCTACCGTTATGCTTATTCTTATTTTGTTCCGAAATTGTTATAAATTCATTCTAAGCCTATTTTATTCAGATTATAAATTTCCTAGTTAAGTATATGTTGTAATTTGTTATGTATGGTATGATTTGGTGTGGTGTATACTACTTATGCTGATAAATATAAGCAGTATGTAGCCACACTGGGAAGTGGCATGCCTGGCAGCAAAGATTGATTTGAAAATAACAGAAAGGAAATCGGATAGCAATCAGAATAACAATAGATTCAAAGGAATAGTGAAGTATGTTAAGGACAACACAAAGAAGATGTGCTAATAATGTATTTTATTTATAATTTTCATATTTTACCAATGCACTGTGTGATTTTGCATTAAACAAGTCTTCATTCGCCATAATGGTTCTGTAATTTATTTGTATACTCATATGAGTTTTCTGAGTATAGAGATTATTTATAGACTTTCTGATGTGGGATTGAAGACAGGTAAGTTTGACTTGGACCAATAAGTTTTAATATATCACATCACTTACTGGTGGCATGACAGAACGAGGTCACAACAGGTCGTTTCTGTCTTTAACATTTATTTAGATATTATGTAAAGTGTCATCTTTACACCAATTATTATTTTATACTCATTTTGATCTCGCATATAACACGTCAATACCTTACTTTCCGGCATTAGATATCCTTAGTGCGTTTACAAAAAACAGAAACAAATTACAAAGTTTAAACATTTTATTGCTTAACTTCTTGCTAATCTCGAATCGTTCTAACAAAATATTTCCTTCCAACATTTGGGTACTTAAACAAGAAGATTTAAGAATGCTCCTACACATATTTTGAGACTATAGATAAAGATAAAACCATTGAACAGATAAATTTATAAGTTCATGCAGTTAAAAAAAGTCATTATTCTAATGGTTCTTATACCTAAAAGTTGTATATATTTCGATAATTACAAAACTCTACAGTTGATGACTATTAAATTACGAAGTCAGTTGTAAATATTCCAGTTCTACAGAGGGTCAGTCCTAGTATGTGTAAATCAGTGGTAACATATTAGATTGTGAAGCATCTGAGTTATGGGAACTCGAATTTTATAGCGAGTTCCAATTTCCTCAATATCCCATGTACACCTTACTGTTGTTGAGTGTCAATTAACTTAAAACTAAAATCCCAGAATTTCATACCAGTTACCTCTAACCTTCTGGAATATTCCTGATTTCTCTTTTTTTTTCTTGAAAAATTTACAATAACCTTTTCACATCTGTTTGTCATAACCCATTTTCTCTTTTTTTTCCCTAAATAAAACAATTTTAATTTTAGACATGACAAACGTGGGAAACGTAAACTAAGTGAAAGTTCTTCATCTTTGGCACATACTAACACATCTGATTGTCAATCACAAAGTGGTCATAGTCTACCCGGTGGTGGTACTACTACTACTACTACTGTTGAACATCATCTACCGGAACATTTAGCTTCAGCATCATATTATGGTTATTTATATAAATTAGGTCATCGTAAATTTTTACAACAATGGAAACAACGTTTATTCGCTTTAGATACAAATCGGCATCAATTGAAGTATTATGAAAGTTATGCTAATGCTTCACCTCGTGGTTGTATTGATTTACAAGATGTTAGAACAGTGAGAATTATTAAAAATTTTGCAATTCAACGAAAATCACCTGCATTTGTTGTATTTGAAGTGAGTTATTGTCTGTTTGATTAATATTGATTTTCGGTATTGTAGCAGGTCCTAAGTATGTTTACAACTTTCAATTTTGTCAATCAATAATATAGTATAGGGGTTTTATAGAGATTATTTAATGTAGAGATTCACATCAATAACTAAGTGTAACCATTGGAAATAAAAAAACTCTGGTGGACAGCTGTTTTGTCTTAGAATGGGACTCACACTAAAGTTCAAACCTAAAATATTCAGATCTCATAGAGAGAAGTTAACTTTTATACTACTAAGTTGTTATTCAATCGTTTACATGTCCAACGTTTATCAGTTCAGGATATTGTACAACAATCTTCTAATGCTATTGGTAGGTAACAACAGGTGAGCAATTTGTGAAACTCGATAATCTCCACAATTTACGTACATTAATACTAGTTGTATGCTTACTGAATAGTTGTTATATTTTGAAACCCGCTGACCAAAATCACTTGCCGCCACCAATGAGGGGCTTGATTCTAATTTGATCGATTTTCTATGTACTATTCACTCTGTAGCTTATTGTTTTCCGATTAGTACTATTGATCTTAAGCCAAGAACTAAATTTTTACTAGTCCAGTATTCATAATCTTCTCTTTATGTACAAAAGATTCACCAACCAACCTATACTGTATTTATATTTGAGCTAGAGTGCCTTATATTTACACATACTAGATCTCATTACATTATAAAATAGAAAATAACGATCATAGTGGCTGTGAATAAAGGAGACTGTGAGTAATCGAATAGCAAAAAAATTAGTAATAGTAAATCATATAACCTTAGTTAGTAGGCTAACCGAAAGCTAATGATAAATGGAATTTATACATAAATAGTAATGTAGTTGCTCAGTAATGATACAGCATAAATACAAAGAATAATAATAATAATAATACATTCAATCTATACATTCTTTTTCCATAGCTTGAGACCAATAATCGAACATATAAACTCGGTGCTATCAATCAAGAAAGTGCTATGCAATGGATTGAACGTATACAAAAAACTATTCAATAAGAGAAAACTTTTCTAATTATGATTTAAATTTGTAGGTAATGCAAATTGTTTCATATAAGCGAAACATGCTTATCAATGGTTATACATATATAATCGTCTAATTATCATCAAGTAATATTGCTATTGTTATGGGGAAAAAAAATTCTCTTATCTTAAATGTTGTTTGTTTCTTGACGAAACTGTACAGATCTTATAATCATTATTCATGTTCTACAATTTGACTTGAATCATTACTTCTTATACTGTGATCAAACAAAAAGAAGTACACAATGAACAAGATTTGTATACTTTATATTCAATCATATTTATACACTGATATATTATACATTCTTAATCATCTTCTACCCCCCAGACATGTTCAACTATTTAGGCTTCTATTCTTTAATATTTTACAAAATAAAAGTGAAAATGATGCGCCCAATATCTTTTACAGAAATTTAATCTAACTACTACTCACACACACATTTTTCCTGCTATTACCACTTCTCATTCTTCTTCTATACAAACTATCTACTTTTGTTCTCATATAATTTTACAATAACTCATGCATTTTGTTGTCGTTGTGGCTTATTTAGCACTTAAATCTTTTATTCAATTCAAAGCAAAGAATGAAGATTTTCTTTTTGCTCATATAAATCTTTGTATAATATATGCAATCTATATATATATCACTTTGTTCTATCTACTGTTCTACTCATGAGTAGTACAGCATCAACATTGTCATCATTATTCATAATGTTATGTAATTAATTATTATGTATTTGTGTTGCAAACACCCATTGTTCATGTTGTACCGTATTGTGTTGATGTGATATTTGTTGTTCATGTTTATTCATCATTGTAAAATGTGTTTGTTTTTATTTTCTTCTTCAATAATAAACTTGATCGATTACTACTCACCATGACCAATTCATGCTTATTGTGAACACTAATTTTTCCCCTCTTTTGTCTACGTTGATAAACCTGGATTCATGAATATAATAATGATTGTTATTATTATTATTCAATTACTATTCAGATGCATCGAATTTCAGTTAATTTTATTGTACAGTTTTTATTCAATATTTCACATATAATGATGATGATAATGATTAATAATCTAGTAAATATACATGTGATTTTGGGTTTTTTTCTCTTTTCTTCTTTATGTTACTACTATCATAGAAGTAAGTAGTGGTGTGATGTTTCACTAGATTCGTTTTTCTTTCTAATCTCTTTATGGAAGTGACTGATTATTACGTCATTAAGTAAAATACAGTTCAGAGAGAAAGAACTCTATTTTGAACGATGTTATTTATTATCAAATTCGTACAAATTATTGTTTTATAGTTATTTCACAGGTTGAGATCATAAATAAGTGGAAGCTAGACTACCTTTGAAAACCTGGAAGCACCGGACGGTCGTTTCGTCCCAGCATGGGACTTCTCAGCAGTGCGCATCCACGATCCCGCACCACGCGGGGCTCGAACCCAGGACCTACTGGCTTCGCGCGCGAGCACTTAACCATTAGACCACTGAGCCGGCATCCAACGGTGTTAATGTCTAACTTCAACCAATCCACGAAGTTGCGTCATCGACATATTGAATTCTATAATAAAAATAGAAAATTGTTGTAACATGAAAAAAGATAGTGAAAGTTCTTTCTAAATGTTAAACATCTTTACGTAATATCCAACTGATGTAAATCACATATAGAATAGATGGACAAGATCGGAAACAATTTGCAAAATAAGGTGAGTATCAGGATCGGGATAAAATAAGGGATTAAACTTTTCTGAATCCGAAGACTAGGCTTAAAATGACGTAGTGAGAAGAGAAGCTCCCTCTATACACAATTTATTACCCAGCTACTTTCTTATAACCAGTTTGTGTGATTTCGTGAATATAACAATAGAGCTTATTGAGTCGGTATTGAAAAACGTATCAGTATATTCGAACGCGAATGTTCCTAGTTTTGAGATAACTTTAGATTCCATTGGTCAATTCAAGTTTCATCTGAAATATGAGGTTACATATAAAGTGTGATCCAAACGTCTTAGGGACTGGTTCATTCACGATTGTTTGTCAATATCGGGTAGTGGAGATTGTTGAGTTTCATTAAGATCATGAGCACTGACCGGCCGTTTCTTTCCGGTACTGGAGTCGCATCTACTATCCTGTACACGGGACTCAAATCCAGAGATTTCAGTATTGCGATCATTGAGCCAGTATCCGACGGTGTCAAATATACAAGTCACACCCAAGTAATGTGATAGAATGTTTAACATTTGGATTAATCGGTTTTTAGTCATTACTTAACATCGTCAATTAATAACATTCTTTAAACCTGATCTATAAGGCTCGCTAGGAAACTTAGACCAAAAACTTCATGGGTTAGTACTATATGACGGACTATTCGGAGAATTACTAAAGCTCTCCTAGTCCAAGTTAAACTAGATATCACTGTATTTCTGTCCAAATCAATTCAGACTACCTAGGTTTACAGCTAATTCACTACAGCCTACATATGCAACATAGTGTTAACTCAGTGCTACTGATATTTTGTATTGTTTGCAAATAATTCATAATTGTGCTACGTGCTTTTCCGCAGCTGGTATAGCAGATGTGCCATCATGGTCTGTTGTGGGAAATAGGAATCTCACCTCATAAAGAAATCCGCCAATCACTGAGTTTTTCTTCAAATTATTAGTACGTATACACTCTAGGAGGTGAATAGAAAGGCCATTATTAACCGCTGACTAGTAATACGTCTGACTTCGCTTCATTATCTTGTATATTAGACACTCAAGTGTTCATCTAACAACAACTGAGGCTACGAATATCACAGCTTTTAAATACCATGAAAATACGGAATCGAGAATCTGACTAATCACTCTCATCTACATTCTTCTACTATCATATTATAAACAAGCTCACTCCGTATAATCATGCTTCTGCCCTACTTTGCACACATCGGCGCTTTGCTAGCTTCAGTATATCTTACAACTGCTAGAATGAAAGGATGAACACCACCTCATCTTCGATTCCGGCAACTATATAACAGCAATGATCTTCATAAAAAATGTGTGGCTCAAAGACAAGAATATAAACTTATACATTATAAGTGAAAGGCGTGATTTTAATTTAGACCTCACTCAGAAACTCGTGTTTTTTACAAATACGGACCTGCCTATATATAGTCTGATATCGCTGGTTACTTCTAAAAGCTCTCAGCTGATTTGATATAGTAATACCCTTCTGAAAACGGTGCTGAAACTCTAATAAAGATAACCTGTAGCATCAGTACTAATACTGCACTAAGAGTTGAGGGGTGGACACAACATAGATCGCGACCTATTTGTGACCTGGCGCACATTCTTTACAACTCAAGTCTGGACTCAAATAGGTCTTGTCAAAACCAGTAACCGATGACTCATCCACACAGGACTAATAGACATTTTGAAGCGCATGGCAAACGTATCCGGAATATTGGTGACCAAAGGAGAAATTGATGTTAAGATGCTGATTACAACTAGCATTACAGATAAAGTTAAATTCAAGACAAGATTTAACCCCACTGAGGATAGATGAACATTTTAGATAGTGTTTGGAGGTAGTCAACAGGAAACCCTGGACCCGGGTTTCGTGCTACTTGGCACTCGTCAGCAAGGTGTACCTGTAATCTTGAGGGAACTGGTGCTCCTTGGCGGATTCGATCTCGTGTCACCCAGCTTCACAGTCACAGACGTTACCAGTGAGCTATCCGGGCCGTAACCGACCTCCTGTAGGACTGAGATGTAATCAAAATTGATTGATTACTGGGTGGTGATCAATGTCATGCTTGTCTAGTCCTTATTAGTGCAGATCGAATGCTATCGACCATGTTGCAATGTGGCCACCAGTCTAGGTGACTCGACACTGTGGGCACTATGTATTGAGATTGTAGATGGTGGTTGGAGATAGCCAACAGGAAACCCTGGCTCGGATAGCTCAGTGGTAACGTCTCTGACTGTGAAGCTGGGTGACATGAGATCGAATCCGCCAAGGAGCACCAGTTCCCTCAAGATTACAGGTACACCTTGCTGACGAGTGCCAAGTAGCACGAAACCCGGGTCCAGGGTTTCCTGTTGACTACCTCCAACCACCATCTAAAATCTCAATACATAGTGCCCGCAGTGTCGAGTCACCTAGACTGGTGGCCACATTGCAACATGATCGATAGCATTCGATCTGCACTAATAAGGACTAGACAAGCATGACACTGATCACCACCCAGTGATCAATCAATTGTGATTACAAATGAACATTAGATCCACTAACAACGCGCAATGAAAATGAACGTAAAATTATTTCAGGTTTAGCAAGACTTACGTTTGATTGTCAACTGATCTCTGGAAGCTTCTTAGTTATTAGCAATGATCAGCTTATTGTAAGAGACTATGGAGTACAACAATTCGTGTAATTCCGTTTAACAGAAAACAGGTGAATACTTCACATGAGATGATCAATGTACTGTAAATTGGGGGCACTAACTGCATTTAGAAATTACTAGAATCCATTCCAGCTTATCCAACTCTGTGAGGTATCTTAAAATCTGGGTGGAATATTCCGAAAAGCAGCTAAGTTTACTGTCCCAACAACTTTATAGAAACCGTCTTGCACTCCGCATTTCAACTAACGAGGAGTGAATTTCAACTATGTTAGCGGGACATAGACTAGATTAAAGCATGCTCAATGCATGATTGCTTTGGTGCACATTGATTGGCTAATTCTTATCCAATCAGCACTGGTCGATTGTTGGAGAATACTCTGGAATCTTCTTATGTAAAAACTATAAATATACTGACGTTTTCCCTATTGTGCTTCTGGCTTGCATCTTGCCTCCATCTAACCTTGTTATTTGGAATATAACCTCTTTCCTGTTCAACCGTGTTCTGATTTGGGGTCTTGTCGAGTGAATCGGTGTCCGAGAATACTAAGCAATAGGAATAGCTGGGTCATAACCGTAAGAAAGAGATTAT